GCATGCTTGATGTGTGAAGAAACAATCCACAATTTACACACCAGAGCTTCCAGCTCTAGAAACGCCGTCATCCATTTCCGCCGTTGAGTTGGCCCAGTGTCGGAACTGCCTTGCCGGTAGCCGCGACTCAAACATGCGATCAATCTCTGCTGGTGTTCGTCCCTTCATCTCCGGAATGCAGAGGAAGGAAATGACAAGCCCGAGGGCACACAGCCCTGCGTACACGAAACCGGTCTTGGCTTTTAGGTTGCCTTTGTCGGGGTTGAAAATATACGGCAGCACGAACCCGAAGATGGAATTATTCGCGCCGGCCGTGAACCAGCCGATACCTTGGGCTTTGGAACGCAGATGTAGCGCTGAGGTCTCGGCACCGACAACATGTGAAGCAGGCCAGACACCCAGCCCGGCAATAATAACAACCACTATCAACGAGATAGAAGTGTACCTAGGGCACGTGGTCAGTCTATGTATTCAAACCCCCAAGCCTGTCTTAGGAGAACTTACCAAACGGTTACAGGGCCCGACCAGCAGCCGGAGATGCCCATGGCGGTCCATACGACTGTCAAGAGAGACAACGTGGTTAAGATGAGTCGTCTGCGTCCCACCTTTGAGAGGACCCAAACACTGGCGATGTTCGCGATCAAGCCGCACACGAGCCCTAGAATAAGGACGATCACGCTCAGGTTGGCCTTCATGCCAACCACTTGCACAAAGTAACTGGACTTCGATAGCAGGGTCAAGCCGAAGATGTTCGGCAGAGAGTTGGCAAACATGATGATCAGGGTCCGTCGAAGGTTCACCCCGCGGAACGAGTCGACATATGTTGCATTGGTCTGCCGGCGTTCATGCTCGATGTTCTGACGGATGGCATCCAATGTCTTCTCTGGGTCCATTCCCGGTGTGTCCAACCTCTTCTGAGCCTTGTAGGCTTTCTCATCCTGATTTCTGCGAATGAGGTAGGTCGGGCTCTCTGGGATAATGAAAGCCATCACCAGGGGAATGATCGAGAACGGCCACTGCGATGCGAAGCAAATGGTGTACCCGTTATCCAGGTTGAGGCATGCAAAAATGACTGCTGCGCCAATCAATTGCCCGAGCAAAGTGAAGATGGGAAAAAAGGCAAGAAGCGGCCCTCGCAGATTCGGTGGAAGAATTTCGGACATGTAGGTTGATGAAGTTCCCATTACCATGCCAATGGCTCCACCTTGGAATCCCTTGCCCACAAGGAAGATCACGCGCCGTTCATTAATGTCGGGAGACAAGTTGGAAACGAAACAGATGGCAACCCCGACTGCAGACAGGAACGAGCCGACTGCAAGTAACGGGCGGCGGCCGAACTTGTCTTGGAAGATACCACCAACCAAAGCTCCAATCATGGAGCAGCCCGGGCTGACGAAGTTCCAGAGACCAAGCCATAGAGACGGAAGAATCATCTTGCCGTTGAGCCTTTGGCCAAAGTCCCGCCTTCAAGATTCTCGTTAGCCATCGTGTGCAGTGAGAAGCCATGGGAGAGGAGGAGCCGTACTGAAAGCTGGGCATGGCGGATACGGTGCCAACGATGACATAGTCGTAGCCATACAGAAGGATGGCAGATGTCATGCCTATGCAGTAAAAGACGACGCGACGCCACCTTTTGATGGACTGCCACAGCGTGAGGTGGCCGTACTGGTTCGTCTCCGGCTCCGAGGTGCTGGCTATGCTGTGTATGGTCTCGAACCGACCGGCGTTCAAGGACTTGTCGCCCATGCTGTTTGGAACCGCCATGGCATTTCTCTTCGATGGAACAAAGGACAAGGCGGAATTCGGTGATATTGGGGGTTTGTCGACAAAGACCGGAGATGGTAATTGCGCTGAAAGTCGCTTGGCGATACTGAGGGGGTGTGCTTGATTGAAGAAGTAGGCGTCTAGAACGGCGGGCGAGGAAACGAAAGCATTTTGACCCAAGATGATGGCATAGGGTTTGCGCCATCAAATGTAGCTCAACATCTCCGGGCTGGACATGCTAACCCGCTTCCAGTTCTTGGCGATGCCCCTTGGTGGAATCCGCATATCCCCAAGACAATTTGGGGTTGCACTGCACAAGCGCCAAGAGCCTGTATTAGCCAAAGTGAGGTTGTGGCTGGCAAACTCCCATCAGGGACCCTGGAGATTGACCAATGATCATCGGGTGACTTGGTCGAAATGCTACACGTCGATATGTCGGCCGAGAGAAAGGCTACGGTGCTCGCCTGCGACATGCAGAAGTGGCCGTTTGAAAATAGAACCATCTGCACGAACCCAGGAAGGCTACCCTGACCTGGAGGGCACAAAGGCAGTCCTTAACAGCTTCGCAGGTGAGACATTCGCATTCGACTGCGTACCAAGGTAGGAGTCTGAGGAGACAAGTATAACGCGATTGAGGAATGCTATGCTAATCTATCCGCGATTCGACGTGGTAGAGAAGCTTTGCGCCAAGCAAATAGGGTCGCCCAGGCTCTCCTCGTGGCTTTTGGGCTTTGTCTCTCGCGGGAAAGTTCAAGGCGGAAGACGGCGTCCGGGATACTGGATCTGAATTCCTGGTGGTGATGATGAATCGACTTGTGCACCCGAGAAGACGAGGCCGCGAATACGTTTCTGAGGCCATGTTCGTTCTCTGGCGGATGATATCGCAGCGTGCTGGTGCCGTGTGACAACTCTTCTCTCCTCAGTGCCCCCATGTTGCGTCAAGTGGCCAGCGTTGGAGTCTCACCGAGTGTTACTCGAGCAGGGGTGTCGGTGTCCGTTTGGCTATGGGTGCAGAGACAGTATTCTCCATCAGGACCGTTGCAGTTCTGCGCCAACGTGCTTCATCGATATTTACCCCGTAGAGAGCAGGCAATTGCGGCAATGCTCATCTTGCCCGGTTCAGGAAGGGATCGAGAGGATTTCTGTGATCCCTGCTGCAGCTCCCGTACCTTACGGCCGATAAACTGGATGGACAGCCATTTGAACGGGGGGATCTGCACGTGGGCGCGGTGCCGTATGCAGTGATGCGGGGAGTGAGTCTCGGCGCTGTTGGAGGTGCGATGAACTGTCGAAGAGGAAGATGGCCGAACGGGGGATCTTTCCGGGCCCGTTGCTGGCGGAGACGGCGGCATTCCCGCGTCGAAGGCCGGCTGCAATTGCGCAGATAGTCAGGGGCGGCGGGGTCCATCTGGCAAGATGCGAGTGGCTGTCTGGAGGCTTGGAAGCATGCAGCTGAGGTGCATTTTTCATGTCAAATTGTTCGTGTTGATGGAAATCGGCAGAGAAAGTCGACGCGCCAAGGTGCAGAGGAAAAAGCAAACATTGGTTTTGCAGCCAGGGGGCGTGACAAATGTTTGCTTTGCTGTGCCTTCCCACTTTCCCCAGGAAGGGGCGACTCTCTCGTTCTTTCCCCTTATCATCCAAAATTGCAGGAGGAGGAAGGTGCAGCGGCCGGGCCGATCGCTCCTGCTTCCTCATGACGGGAAGCTCTTTCTGTCTCTGAACGAGGGAAAGAAGGAAGCAGCGATGCCATCTTCACGTGTTTCCAGGGTGCTCCTGCTTGAGATTGAGAAGGTGCATTTCTTCCTGCGTGCCTTTCTTCTGAACTGGCATGGTCCAAGCTTCAGAAGCACAGGCCATCAGATCTCGCTTAGGCATGGGATAGTGGATCCCCTTAGCGGGTCCAATCATTGACATCACCACTGTCGCTGCACTGAGGCTGAAGCTGGGTTTTCCTCGACTCTTGATGTCTGCCCCTGAATATCCATGCAGCTTTGAATTCACTCGCGACGCCGCCAGTGAGACCTGACTTCTCCATCCAAATTGTTTGTTATATGATCCGTGCCGGCATAGTAAGAATGGCGAGAGCAACACGGTCCAGCACCCGGCTGGCTGCAGCCGCAAAGCCAGCCGAGAAATCCGAGTCCACAGCACAGCAATCAACGCCAGCGTCTAAGAGAAAGCGTGCATCACCGAAGTCGGCAAATGCAACTCCGTCCAAGAAAGTAAAGAAGGAAGAAGATGTGCCCACATCTCTATCTGATGTCCCGCCAACGACGCCTCTCAAGAAGGAAGACGTCAAGTCCGAAAGCCCAGAGAAGAAGCTGAAAACCGCCAAGTCGCCAAACGACCTGCAGTCCAAGAAGCTCAAGGCGTACTCGCAGTATGCCGATAAGTCGCCCTTCCCGGATTTCCCACACCCGACCCCGGACGAGTGCCGGCTGGCCCACCGCATCCTCGCCGACCTCCACGGGAAACGGGAGCGCCCCAAGGAGGTCAAGGCCTCCACAACCCGGGCCGGATGTGGAGACTCGCCCTCCGTCCTCGACGCCCTCGTCCGGACTATTCTCAGTCAGAACACCAGCGACACCAACTCCACGCGCGCCAAGCGCAGCATGGACGACGTCTACGGCGGCAGCGACGAGTGGGACAAGATCGTCGAGGGCGGCATCCCCAAGCTGCAGGAGGCTATAAAGTGCGGCGGCCTCAGCGCCGTCAAGAGCAAGGTCATCATCAGCATCCTCAACCAGGTCAAGGAGAAGTACGGCAAGTACTCTCTCGACCACCTCTTCAGTGCCAGCAACGAGGATGCCATGCAGGAGCTCATCAGCTTCCAGGGCGTCGGCCCCAAGACGGCGAGCTGCGTGCTGCTCTTCTGCCTGCAACGGGAGTCGTTTGCTGTCGACACCCACGTGTGGAGGATCACGGGTCTCTTGGGATGGCGGCCGAAGAGCGCGTCGAGGGACGAGACACACGCGCACTTAGATGTTCGGATACCGGATGAGGACAAGTATGGGTTGCATATTCTGCTTGTTAAACACGGCAAGGTGTGCAGTGAATGTAAAGCTGGTGGGAAAAGCATCGGCAAATGCGAGTTGAGAAAGGCATTTAGACAAGAAAAGCTCAAACATGAGGAAATGGCGTAAATCCTATTCCAACGGTTATCAAATCAATTGCATCCTATAAAGCATTGCAACTAAATAGTTATATTCATCAGAGACCCATCGTCATATGGACTAATCTCTAAATCGCTCATCGTCTTCGTCGTCGTCAGGTGCTCCTTTTCTCAGATATTTGATCCAAATATCGCTCCAACCACCAACAAAGCCTGTCTCATGGGTACTCACACAGGGTCTCACATACTTCCTTTTCAATCCGGTCGGCCGCGACGGATATGGCTTAGACAGCAGTATATGATCTGGGTAATAGCAATCCGTGTCGGGTTTATCGTTACTCGGGTCGTTCATCTGGACGTGATGGGAAAGAAACTCCTCCGCCGCAGCACTCGGAAATGTTTCCATGTAATCAAAGTTGCTCAGCGACCTAAGTTCGAATTCTAGACCGGCAAGGCCTTTCAATGTAGCTACCCTCTCCCAGGCGTTAAGGGTGTCTTGGCTAGGCTGTGACTCCCCGGTACTCTCGTAAAGCGCAGTAGCAGAGCCTTCTCTCGCGGAGTATTGAAAATGGGCAGCCAACGGCGTGCGAAGGTGAAAATGAGGTCCTGGATATGAGTCTCCCCATAGACCCAACGACTCGAGCCGAGGCATTCTCTCCGCAGCTTTGGCGACAAGCTGGAGTATCTCGTCCGGGGTTTCTGCCAACGGCACTCGACCCCAGGTAAGATGTCGCATGTTGGGCCAGGTGAGTGGCGCACTACCCGCTTGACCTTCGCACAATGTCCGGAGCGGAATCTCACCCCACTCCCATACTGCATAGTCGACATGGAGTTCTTCGAGCCGATTTGACAGAACGGACCACGCTGGATCGTCGTTCCAGTCGCGAGGAGGTGCGACGTTGCGCATGATGAGACGCGTGAGGCCCGGCGGAAATGGCCTGACTGGCAGTATACGTCCGAACGCTGTCATGCTCTGACACGCATGTCGTTCACAGCCCACCGACAGCTCCTTCATACTTGATGACATCGTCCGTAGGATGAGATTGAGCAGATCCGAGTCCTCATAATCGCCCACGTTACAATCCATTGAGGGGCCAATATTCGAAAGGCGTCGAAGCGCGCGGACACACTCAACCGGCTGCAGATTCTCTCTCAGCCAAAGATCGCTGCCGTACTCGATAAGGTGATGTCCGCAGTCTATAACGTCGTTGATCTCCAAGTCGAATGAGGCTTCGTGGCCCCAGTCTCGGAGTACATCCATGAACCCATCAATTACATCCACTAGGCCTGTTCCAAGCTTTCTCCGTTGCATTTGCATATCGTAGATGCTCGTAAATGTGACCATATCAATGGCAATAATCAGGCGCAGCTTCTTTAAAAACTTGAGCCGAGGCCCGCTGAGAATTGTCGCCAATTTCTCAGGGGTATGGCTTCCCGACAAAATACTGGCATTTGTGACGTGAAACGTCACTTCCTCAAAGATGAATGGTTCCATGACCACTTGCCACTGTCGGCAGGTACTCCCGTAAGGTGCGCGGTTCCCCTTGTCGTGGGTCAAATAGCCCAGGATCTGGAGCCTTAGCTCGTCTGGTAGATCGTCCCAAACTGCCATCGCGATAGGGTATTGTGGACTTTGCTGACGTTAGAGTCAAGAGAAAAGAAGGTGATGTAGAGAGTCGGAAAAGAAGATGCTCCAAATTTTGATGTGTGCGGTAGTATGTGGGATTGGATCAAACTAAGATGCTGGTACTGAAATATTTTGCCCCTTTTTATCATTTTCGCGAATCGGTCTCCGACCCTTTGCTACATGCTGCATTTGGATTTGACTTTCTGGATCGTGACTCAACGCGCCACCCTATCTAACAGTACAGCCTTCAATGTCAAATAATGACAGCCATTCTCAAGGTCCTCCCTATTTCGTCTGTCTATATTTGCATAAATGTAGATTGAAGTTGAGAAAAACGAAGATGAGTCACAAAAGAATTCCACTATGACTTTGCAGATAAGATTCAAAGAAAGCGTACGCACCTTTGCGTTCCAGTAGCCAGCGCCCATACAACGGTACAAGCTTGGACAAACCCATATATGAACTTCTCGCGTCTTTGCGCTCAAGCCTCAAGGTCACCAAGATTGTTTTGTGTAATGATGACGAGTCATTGACCTGAGCCATACTGGAGTCTGATGCGTCAGACACCCGGGCGGTCAACGTGTGGGGTTTGGTAACCCTTCTTGTTCATCGTGGGCGAGCGAATACCCTTCGAGCTTTGGAAAATGAAATTGGCTTCCTGGCACCAAAGCGCCTGCTGTAGAGCCTGTCTTTGATGAGGCCTGAAGTTTGCGATGCCAAGAGGTTTATTCTCCTTTCAGAAGCCCTGTAGATGGCGTATGCAATATCAAGGCGGGATGCAGTCCAACCCATCAAGATTCTACTCCCGCAGAAGAACTTAACCCGCGCCCCATCGTCAATTAGGAATCACTGTAGGGTCGGGGCGAATTGGCACAATCTTCATCTGTTAATTTCCCATCACCACCATGCCAATACCGTGTGTGCCCTTTCGATGATAGCTTCTTCTAACCGACCGCAGCGATAATTTACATACTAACGTCCTGTTGAGCGACGACACCATATACTCTGTGCTTCTTCAAGTCCAATGGATCATAATCACTAAAAGGGTCCACATGCTTCATCGCATCCTTCGGCCGATCGAAGTCGTACTCCAGCTCCTTCTTCTTGTACCCGCGTTTCTTTGCCTGTAGGTACTCATTCGTCTTGAACATCTCAGTCTCCTGGCTCGTGTCCAAGTCAAGTTTCTGCAGGTACGGCGACTCTGCGATGGGCACCAGGAGTTTGTCGTCGTTGGGCCGGGTGAAGAAGAGAATCCCAATGCGCAGCTTTTGCCGCTGGTCCACAGGCGGCGTCACGACTCGGTGTATGGTTGCTTTGAAGAGACTGCCGGTGAGGAATTCAAGCGCTTCGCCGACGTTGACGATGAGGGTGTGCGGGATGTACTGCGTTGTCATTAATCAGCTGTAGTGGATATCCGTCCAAACTCCCGAATGACTTACTCGGACCCATTTCCACTGATTTTTATTATCCAAGATTTGAAGAGCAGAGATGGGCTGCGAGAACAGGATGGAAAAGGTACTCCAGTCAGCATGGCCTGGCAAGAACAGGTCGCGGGACTTTTCTCGGTCGGCATCGTTGCGCGGCGAGTAGCTCATCTGAATGTGATACAACGTCAGAGGGGACCTTATGTCCAATAGTTGTTGGGGGGATAGCTAACATATCGGAAGTAATTCGTCGTCGAGCCACCCGGTCGATGCATGGCGAGCACAAGTTGCTCGGGAACCTCCAAGACCATGGCCACGAGAATAAGTAGTTTGCGATGAATATCACCATTCAGAGTTTGCATCAGATGTCGGATCTCTTCCTTGAACGGGGAGATGATTTGCGGATGTGGGCGCGTTTCGAAGTCGTGAAGAAGCATATTGTAATGGTCGACCTGAGATACGATCAGTATTGAAGAGCTCTTGATTCAAGCCAGAGCAAAGATGAAAGCCTGGACTTCTTTGTGGAAGCCACCCTTGGTGCCGAGTTCTCCAGAGGGTTTGAAACCGACGTAGATGCCTTTCTGATCTTCCTCGGGCGTTCCTTTGGCCCGGATTAGCTTCGCCATGATACATGGAGTCGGGCTTTTTAGGGAGGCACACCTTCGTAAGGCCTCTTTTCTTCATTGCTCAAGTTCATCACCGCATTCGCGACGTCCATTTGGTGATCCCAGAGCTTAGTGGAAATGCCATGGTTTGAAATGGTGAAGAAGCCATGCTGGGTGACGGCCTGGAGCAAGTCCTTGGCTAGTTCCTTCCTGGTCTCTAGATGTTCGAACTTGCTGAGGTCGAGATCGATAAGCTCAACAAAGTCCACTGCACCAGTTAGCTGCTTCTCAGTAGAAGTTACGGATCCAAGGACAGGTACAGTAAAAGTATAACGGTGGCTAGTGAGTTGGGACGAATTATTTGGCGCCGGAAGGGGGCCTCGACCGGGCTACCATCAGCCATCAACGACAACTTACAGTTCTCTTTGGTGGGCTCGGGGGCATTCCACTTAGGAATGGGTGCAGACTCGTTGACCGTAGGCATGATGGTCCTTGAAGTTGATAAGATAAGACTAGTGCTCAGTTGATGAAAAGGTGCTCATTGTGGATTTCCGGATTCTTTACTTAGCTTTGATTGATCTTATAAGACGGCTATCAATCGGCCAACATTGATAGATGCCGAGGACTGAACGACAATCAGATAACATCTGGGAGAAATGCGGAGGCGGCGGCGGAGTCGTCCGGGGGAGGAGACGGACGTGTCCGTGGGGGTGGAGGCGGAGTGCTCGTCAAGATAGCCGCATGCATAGAAACAGGATCTCATACGAGTACTCGGATTCAGATTTGATGTTCTTGGATAGGCCAGACGGTAAAACGATTGCCGCTTCACTGATAACTTGATAGCCCGTATCATATCAACATCAAAAGTACACGCAGAATGCAGATATTCCCGGCTGCACAGCTTATCGCACACCGGACTCCAGCGGTTTAAATCAGCCGATATGCTAGCAACACACATAAGCCCCCAGGATCTCACAATTCTCTTGGACTTCTCAAGCAGGGACAACAGCTTGGCAACAGACCGCATTCCGTTCCATTCCTCACCTTTCTTGACCATCGATAATCCTCTTTCTCACATTCGTTTCAAGAGACTAATTACGTCTCAGTAATAAACGAGTCAAAATGACGCCCAAGACGGACGCGGATGTCTTGCCCGTCAAAAGCGACAGCGAAGCTCCTGACATTGACGTCGGTCAAGTGAAGCTGATGGACGACAGGGATGTTGATCCAGCTTTGAAACTCACTGGCGGCGTCATGATCGAGTTTACACCGGAGGAAGAATGCCAAACCCTGCGAAAGATCGACATGAATATGCTGCCTCTCATGTGCTGGGTGTACATGATTCAATTTGCTGATAAAACGACGCTCAATTATGCTTCTCTCATGGGTATTCGGGAAGACACCAACCTCAAGGGAAATGAGTTCTCCTGGATCTCGAGTATTTTCTATGCAGGCTATCTTGCTTGGGAGTATGGTTTCCTACCCCTTCTCTCTATCTTGACCCGCTCAGGGATGGGTACCTGTGCTAATTGTTGCATCTGTCTTAAAGGTTCCCCACGACGTACCTCTTTCGCCGCCTTCCCGTGGGCAAATATGTATCAGCCAACATCTTGGCTTGGGGCGTCGCCTTGACATGCCATGCCGCTACGCATAATTACGCTGGCTTACTGGCCACGCGATTCTTTCTCGGAGCATTCGAAGCAACAGTCACGCCCGCCTTCGTTTTGATCACGTCAATGTGGTACAAGCAGGGAGAACAAGCCCGACGAGTGGGATACTGGCTGTCATGCAACGGGTTCTCCCTGATCATCATGGCTTTGATAGGCTATGGACTATCGGCCGTTGAAGAATCGTCAATCCCGCCGTGGAAGATTCTGTTCCTCGTACTTGGTCTGATCACGGTTCTGACTGGAGCGTTCAACCTCTGGTATTTACCCGATAATCAGGCAAACGCCAAGTTTTTAGACGATCGGCAGCGTCTGATTGCAGTTGAAAGAATTCGAGACAACTTTCAAGGCATCGGCAATCGAGTATGGAAATGGGACCAATTTCGGGAAGCATTCCGAGACCCGAGAACCTATCTTTATGCGTAGTTTTCATTCCTGATGAACATACCCAATGGAGGCATTACAACTTTTGGTTCAATCATTGTTAATTCCTTCGGCTTTAACGCTCGACTCTCACTCCTCTTGGGCGCTCCATCTGGACTCTTCGATATTGGCGGAAAGCTCTTGTTCACTTGGCTTTCCGACAAGTATATGGATCAAACGCTATTTGCACTCGTCGCGATTATGTTTCCTCTCATCGGTGGTATCATGATGATCGCAATCCCATTGTCCTCAAAGGGAGCACTTCTCTTGGGCTATTGGATGATTAGCGTTTCTGGGTCGTCCTGGGGGTTGGTCATGGTCGCTATCTCGAACAACACTCTAGGATACACCAAGAAGGTCACTGTCAATAGTCTGCAAATCATTGCATATGCAGCTGGTAATTGGATTGGTCCACAGACCTTCCGGGCGGACGACGCTCCCCTCTACAAGCGAGGAAAGATGATGGTGGCCATTATGTATGGCTGTGCAGCGTTGGTGCTGTTGATTCTCCGTTTCGTAAATATTCAGGAGAACAAACGAAGGGAACGTTTGGCGGCAGCATCAGGAGTCGAATTGTCTGAGGAGACAGCTGCGCTGGAGCTTGAGCGGTCCAAGTTCATGGACTTGACAGACTTCAAATTGGCTCGCTTTCGCTACGTTCTTTGAGTCGGTCGGGTTTCGCAAGAATCATTAGGTGCAAAAGCTGCACCCTCTAGATGTCAAAAGTCTCATAGCCATTGGTACAATTGAGATAGAATCATCAAGGCCGATCGGCATTTTGCATCTACTCTCAAACGGGCGGCCTCAAGCCTTTTCTGCACTCTTGCTAGCTGTCTTTTAACTCCCCAAACTTTTAATGTAGAAGGAGACCGCTTTGGGAATTCCAAATCCGGACTAAACTCGATCTCAGTCTAACGCCAGGCGAAAGGGGCAGCAAGCTAGTCTGGGAGACTGCGCTGTGATGGCTGAAATAGGTAACGCTATCGTGTTGCCGTAGTCGCGCTTTAGGCGACGGTCTGTTCTGGCATCATGCTCAGTGCGCCCAAGTATACTAAAATAGGTACTCGGTCATATCCATGCCGGTGTAAAAGTGCTCATTGTCTTCGCTTCAGGACGTCATATCTTTAATGGGCTGATTTCTTTGCAGCAAAGGCCGATGGCTCTGGGCGTGGAGCCCAGTTGTTCGGACTGGCAACGTCGAAACATTCTACTTGCTTTTGTATTCTGGACTTGAAGAATCTCTTGAAAATGAAATCCCCGTCAATTGAAGGAATTTCCATCGAACTTCATTTTCTGTTGACCTGTTGATGCACCTGTTGTGAAAGACTTGGAGCAATCCGTTAGCTCTAATACGGGAAGCAAGGTATCACAACTTTTGGGCAGTTGGATAACGCGGAGTATCCCATCGCGTTTCGAGCTTCAGACGTTGTACATGCCGAACTGTGTTTGAGGTTGTAACTGCCACCTGCTATTCTCGGATTCTCGCAGGGGTTGCCATGATTCAACGGCCAGCCCAGGTTCAAACAAGCGATGCCACCCCATCCAACACCGTCACAGTCTGAAACTTGACCATCCGGCTATACCGATCAGCCCTATATTCAGCTGCCCGCCGCGCATTAAACATTTGGTTCACCGCCTGTCATCTGAAAAAGTGAATAAGAGTACCCAAACGGTTGGGGAAAGCAAATTTGTATGTGGGACGGGGACCTTCAATGACGGTAATTTTGCTTGTCTGTATCCTTGGTCAAAATGAGTGGAAAATCAGCGACGAACAGCTTGACGAAAGAAAACCCTGGATTTCAATTTGATTCAAGTAAAAACGAAACCGACTGATGTGCTGATCAGCAGAAGCTGATCCACTAATGCAGAAAGTCTGGAGGGAGAGCATCAGTCGCTTACTACATGTGCAGTGTGACGCTGGCCCATGCGGGTAGTTAAGCATACTATTAACCACTTGACACCTTTGAAGCCCACCAACGTCGATCATACTCCTCAAAGCTGGGGACAGCTGAGACGTCTCACGGCTCCCACTCAGATCTCCACGCCACTCAGCAGGAGACTCTCTCTCTTCCCTCAACACCAGTTGCTGCCATACTCAGTGAGGTAATCCAAAACTCTATATTACTTCCACGCTTCCACCCCAACTGATGCCGTTACTGGTTATTCATTCAGTCTTCTCACCTGCCTCACTCAATCAACTTCTATTCTCATCTGTTGCCGGTCGACCATTTTACCTTCGATAATCCACTTTTTCCAAGTCTCAGTCAAGATGCAGTTTTCCATCACTTCCATCGTCGTTACCCTCGCTGCCATGGCCTCGCTTGCAGCTGCCGCTCCGGTATGACACAGACTCAACTTTGATGCGGAGCCGAGTACTAATGTGCGACTCTAGCAACAAAATAACGCACGCGAGAACTTCAAGAACACCAAGTGCAAGAGCCAAGCATGCAAGGACTCTGTCGACTCCGGATGCCCTCTATCTAACATTAACTTTGTGCTTGGTGGCTGTGACGATCCCAGCTCCTAAACGGTCCATTAAGCTGCGTAGCACATGGAATATCTCGTCTCAACTGCTGTCTGACTAGAGGTTAGAGGATGAATAAAGAATGTTGAAGCTGATGTTATGCTTCTGGTGCACCCGGCTGCCGTGTTGATTAAACCTCGAAATGCATGGCTTTTAGCCTCCAAGAACGACCAATAACTGTCGCCATGTGACATACTAGGCTACAGAGCTTCACCTTGCTGACTGCCGTCGTCATTCCATTGGCCTATAGTCAGGTGACACTCGCGTGCGGCTACCGAGCTCAATACGAGTGGAGATTCAATGCGAAACCGGTCTTATCACGGCTCTTTGCCATAGCTCCGGATTGAAATTCGATTGCTTCCTTTTCGACGATCATAGGTTCTTGGCATTAGACACTCAGCGGGAAAAGTTTTTCAGCCACCTACGACATCACCACGTTCACCGGACACCGTGAGACCAGCCAGCATCTCTGAAGCCGGTGACGTTGTTGAGACACTTCCCAACAGTCAGGAAACTTCAACCGCGATTCTTCTAACCGGGCTAGCCGACGGTGGACCAAAATGCGGTTGCGCGGGAACGCGTGGGAAAAGTAAGCTTATCGCTCACGGACGCGCCTATTCTGGGCGCACGATCATGGAACCTGCCGAGCTCCTATCCAAATGAGCCAAGCCGCTCATTAGCGGGAGGCTTCAGCCGGCGCCGTGCCATCGGTGCGCAGCGCTATCCTCGAGGACACGAACAACAACAGCCAGGGTTCACGACCACGTTTTCGTGATCTACCTAATGTGAGTTTCCGTGGAGCCAGACCATTCAAGTCAGCGACCTGCCGGCTTGGTGCCTGGCAAAGCTTCTACCTCGAACTTTGGGCTGCGTATCCCAATTTTTGGCGGGTTGCCACTGCAGGGGCACTGATGCTTTTTCTTCTCCCACCGGATTGTTTTCCGTTCACCCATGTTCACGATGTGCGGTTCCGTGGCGGCGGTATGCATGTGCTCAAGGTAAGACGGCGGGGCCATGCGGTGTTTGCTTTTCCTCGTGGTTGCCGAGGCGCTACTCGGTCCCTTGCATCACACTTTGTTTTCTGGGAGGCAAGGAAATGATGAGCTCTGAGATTTTCATCATGGATATAATAAGGCCAGCGTAGTATCTGAATTCTTGAAAAGTTTTCAGACAGACAGGACAACAACTCCATCTTCACCTTCACTCTCTCAATCAAGGGACATCATCTGATACCCTGCTTCATTCTTTACATTTACCACATTCGTTCTATCAACACACTCACTTCTATCAAGATGAAGTTCTTCACCGTTGCCTCCCTCGCCGTCGCGGCCTCTGCTGCAGTTGTCGAGAATAAGTTTTGCAATGCCGACAACTGCCTTCGCGCCGTTAGAGCCACGCGTTTCGGAACTGCTACGATGGTCCTTCGTATGGCGGAATGTAGCTCATACCTTGCCGTCACTGAGACTCCCAAGCCATCGTAAGTTTCTTTTCGCTTGTCACGTCAAGCGGTGCAGAGCTTCAATTGACAATGACAGCACCACCTTTGTCACCGAGACAAGCCTCGAGACCATCACAGTGAACGCTACACGGACAATCTTCGACCGTGCCGTTGATACCCCGGCCTCCACCACCAAGAACATTCCCGCCTACGCAACTGCTTGCAAGAACGATGCCGCTTACCGCAGCGCTTGCTCATGCTTCGGTGCCACCGGCGTAACGACAACGGCCCCCATCCCGATCATAACTTCCACCATCTCTGTTGTCGCCACCACCACTGTTGGCCCCTTTGTCAACGCCACCCGCCCTGCCCTCGGCTGCAGCAACCCTTGGACCTGCGGTGACAAGACCATCCCCACCTGCTCTCTTGACAAGGCTGGCGAGAAGGGATGCGTCTGCTTCAGGACTGTCGAGGGCAGGGATGTCTGCGCTGTGCCCAACGACTGTCAGCCCTCCTGCAACACCACGAACGACTGCTCCGGTGGTGAGGTCTGCATCAAGCAGAGCTGCTGCTTGGGTGGCACCTGCATGAAGGTCGATGTTTGCTTGAACCAGATTCTGCCCAAGATGATGTTCAAGAAGCGCGCCGGAGCTGGTGCCTGGGTTAAGAGACAGGGGAAGTTTGACTTCTCAAAGCTCAGCTTGTTCCCTCACGATGCTAGCTTGGAGCAGTAGGAGTCATCCGTTGATGACTCCACCTAAGGGGAGATGACCGTGGCGAGCTCTTTTGAATATGTACATATGCGGATACCCTTCCAAACAGCAGACTTATAGACTTTTAAATATTTTCTATTGTTTAATTGCGGTTCTCGGCTACAACGTGCAATCTCTACCCACCGTTTTCTACGTTTTGTAAAACGGACACACCCCCAACCTACCCCCCTGGTATTGTCACATTCACTCCGCCAAGTCCGCGATGACTTCCTTTGCGCCCCTGATACCAGCTTGCACCGCCCCTTCCATATACCCTTTCCAGACCAAAGATGTCTCAGTTCCGATGAAATGTATGTGGCTTACGGGCTCACGCACAGCCTTTCCAGCGTCACTTGTCAAGACTCCTGGGCCCATGACTGGGCAAGGAGCTCCTCTCGCCCAGGGATCCTTTGTCCACTCCTTCTCTGAGATGTTGATTGGTTCAAGGATAGAGTTGACGCAACAGAGAGAAGGACCTTCTTGCACCGGTACATTTGGCCGGATCTGGTTAAATTAATACAGCCCCCGCCTGATTGAGTGATCTTGGATACCGGCATTGAGAGCTTGACTGCCCGTCGTTGAGACTTTCGGCAAGCCGGGTTGAGAATGTCTGATTTCCTAAAACCAGCATTAGCTCGCATTAAGTTTCCCGGAGTATACTCATATGACTTACCTTGGCGATTCCGCAAGTACTGAGCACCGTCTTTGAGGTCTGAGGAGATGTTCTCCAGTCCCGTTCCAGCTTTGATGTAGTCGATGACAGGCAGAGCACCAACTTCGCTGCTTTCAAGGCCAAGGCAGGCTCGAGACAGAACGTTCAAGACGACCGAACCAATGCCGTCTCCAATCTCCTTTTCTCCCAGCTCCGCGAGCGTGAGCAAATTGAGTCTCTTGGCATCGGGTCGTAACCACGGCTGCTCTGAATTAGAACAGTCCACGATAACAGCCGTCTGCCCAAAGGCGTCATAATGCTGCGCCTCTTGCTTATCGTCCAGCTACAGCATCCAGATTAGTGGTGCACAAATATCGCCTCAACGCAATAGCATGTGTTTGCGGACCATCATAGGCCTCTGTGACTTACTGGAAGGTGTGAAAGACTGTTTGATTAAAGACCCTGTCAATTGCGATGGCTTTGCTTCTGGAACTGCACTGACTTTTACCAAGCCGCCAACATTAAATAGTGTTTCTCATCAACGTCCCTTTGGTAGTGCATCTCACCGTCTTACTCCATTGCTCAAAGCCATAGGTCTAGGTCATGAAGTCCGCGGACTTCTTTCATGATGGGACGAAACTGTGTTACGCTGGCGTCTTGCTGATGCGTGGAACAAATCCGCCAACGAGCCCTTGGAACAAGGCGCCAAGATACGCCGGGATACGCCGGGATACGCCGGTGATAAGCGTGAGCACGTCGTTCATAGCAGATGGGTCAACGCCAAGAAGCACTGCGTACACAAGTCTTGGCAAAGCAATCTTTCGTACGCCGTCATGCTGCACCGTAGAAGCGGGACGAGAGGCGCCGTAAACGGCCCCACTTCAAGCCCGGTGCCGGGACATGGATCGGGTGCCGCGGCCTGCGGGGCGAATGCTTTTCTCTCTCTTCACCGCATATGCAGTTCAAATAGCGGGGGCGGAGAAATCCGCCATCACGTTTCACAGGGCCTGACATTTTATTCTCGTTCTTACGCATCATTTTGCGTCATTTTCAAAATAGGAGCGCCTCCTCCTTGCTCGCTGAGGGTCAACATCCGATTCCATCGTCTTGCAGTATTTTACCTAGTAACATAAAACGGAATAGATTGAACATCTATTCATGTGCAGATACCACTCGCTCCACCATCCCATCCAGACGAATCATGCGCAACTCATTCTGTAGCGACATTCCCTTTTGGCTAACGAAAGATGCCCAGTATTTTGCTCCGTTCCATTTCCTACCGTTGCATTCTTTCGGATGCTGTCGTGGTATTTGCCTCAAATTTTTGGTCAAGCTGCTTGGTTATTGTTCTGCAGCATAATGCAGCGACACTGGTAACATCGTACAGTATACATAAAAGGTTATTACATACAGGTGGATTAGTCTTCATTCAGCTACGGAAAAACATCCTAGCTGCGTCCTGTTTCTTTTCACAACATAGAATCATGCAACCACTTCAACGTGTGTACGCACTAAGCGAGCTTCCCGAGCTCAAAAACCACGTCTTCTTATCCTTAACACGTCATCTTCACGCCACTAGGGCACCGGCGATGGGAGGCGCTGCTGCTGCTGCGGGCTCAGCGGGAGCGGCAGGTGCAGCAGGAGCGGCGGGTTCGGCAGGAGCAGCGGGAGCAGCTGGGGCGGCAGCGGGAGCTTCGGCAGGGGGCGCGGCCGGAGCGGTAGCCGGAGGGGGGCCACCGCCGCCACCGCCAGCACCCTGTGCCGGGGCTGGGACAAAGGCAGCGTTTGCGAGAGGGATTTGACCAACAGCTCCGCCGACAACTGTCTTTCCATCGACGTTGGCCTTGGCGGCTGCTGCGAGCTTTGAGTACTGAACGACTTGTTGCGCGTTTGTGCTAATTCATGGTTAGCTTTCATGTCATACTAATTCGAGATGAGTGACACTCACGGGTTGATGACCAGCACCTGGCCCTCTTGACAGTGAGGCCCCGTGGCGCAGTACATGAACATCGTGGCGGTACTCGTAATCGGCATGTTGAACGTGCCAACCATCGCCTGGCCGTCCTTGAAAGGAATGTGTCCGCTGTGAATGGCGGTAGGCACCGTGTCCTGCAGCGGCTGGCATGCTGCACCCTCCGCGCTCTGCGTGACCGTGTGGTTGCCGTTGCTGAACTGGAACTGTACGACATCGCCGACCTGCGCCGTGATCAAGTTCGGTACGAAAGTATCCTGCGCTCCGCCGACCACTACCGGGATGAGTTGATTGCCTTGAGGAGTAGCCGGTGCAGCCGGTGCCGCTTGTCGCCTGACTGTGTGAAGTTGTCAGTTTTAGTCCTTCGTATCACATCCCGTGTCTCTTACTTCTGAAGGGTCGGTGAGGAACACCTCCCACCACAGTTCCATCAGGCGGGAAGGGATCTCTCTTGTTCAGCGGCTGCGGCATCGCGCTGACGGTGGCCGCTGCCATCAAGGCCCAAGCTGAAAGAACCCTCATATTGAAGCCGATCGCGGATCGAGAAGAATCGAAGGGAAAGTCCGAAGGAATGACTGAAGTGAACACTGCTCAGCAGTGACTCGCGCCTGGCTGATTAAAAAAAAGGGTAAATGACAGTAAATGCCGATCAAGAAAGAAAATCTCACGGCTTGTCCTCACTAGGAGGGACGGGATGAAGAGAAAGGAGTGAAGATGGAGACACAGGATGGTCAAGACCCAGATTCAAGTAACTCTAAATTTTGAATTATATTAGCTGCGGCGGAGGGCACATATTTGCATCCGAAAAAAGCGCGAAAGCCAAGACTCAAGAAGCCTTTTCCCGGGTTGACTAATGACTGATGAAATGCCGACACAGGGGGATGCCCGAGTGGAGGTTCTCCGGTGTCTCCTCGTACACGCACTGCAGAGTCAAGACCACGAAAGACGAACTCCTCCTCAACCCTCCCTCGCGCCAGATGGTTCAGGCTCGGCGTCATTGAGGCTCGTGCTGCCAAGATGTCTGATGATGTTCCGTGATGGTTTGAGGCTCTACTGGACGATTCCTCTTCGGGCAGTCGGAACCTCGCAGGGTGGGTGGCGATCTAGCGGGAGATCATGTCGATTGGATCGTCGCCGTCCCTTCTCTCCACCGAGGATCATGGGATGGCGTAAGTCTGCGTTTCCGAGTTGAGATGTCAGTGGGGCCGAAGTGGGCGGACGGATCCCGACGAGGAGAGCTTTCGCGCCCTTCTGGCGTTTCAAGTCGCCTTCAGGTCGTCTTTTTCGGCTTATGTGACGGGCCCCCTTCCCCCAAGAAGCCCAAGAAATACCAAGGAGCACATGGTTTTGGGCTGTTCTGGAGGGAGGGTATCCACCACCGAGACTGCGACGGCTTGTCAGTAGGAATGTCATGACATGATGACAGGCCTTGACAGCGCTCTCGTTCGGACTGTGCAGTCGGCACCTGCGTTCGGCAGGGCGCCAAGAGGCTTGAACTGTCCGCTTAGTCAGTCCCATTGGGTTGACGGCTGAAACGACAGCCCAGGATTGAGACGAAAGAGGACATTGAATCCATGCTTCGGTAACGTTCCGTAGCGCGCGGGCGCGTTCGACCACAATAAATGCTCCGCTGTCCTCGCCAAAAGTTGGGGGCCTCGCCAAAAGTTGAAAAACATCGACGGGTCCCAGGAAGATCTCTCTGAAAGATCGCCAGCCTCCGCGTATCAACCAGCTCGCACTTCTTGTTGGCAGTCTTGGTATGCCACGACGCCATTACGTCCACCTCTCGCACTTGCGACAGAGGCTGTGCTCTTGTCGATTCAAAACCAACAGTCTCCTCGCTCCTTGACCGTTTCTGCGTGTCGCTTCTGCCCCACAGCTTGACTTGCCAAGCAACTCATGGCCCTTGGTAAAATCTCGGGTTTTCCGCTCGGCCTTCGTTTTGTCTGTTCCTGTCGATCTGTGGGATGGTGAGGAGCACCCTGCGACAATTAGCGCCAGGCACAACCCATCAAGCCGAGCCTCAACGCATGATGCCGTCCCCCCCGAAAAGAAACTCTACTACGACGGCGCTTTGGATGAGAAGGTTTGTAAGCTAGACGCGCACTTTGCTTCATCCTCTACCGACATTCTCTACCGACAATCAGCTACAGCGAGGTCAGCATTGCCGGCCGGCTTGACCTGTTCAAGTCCGATGGATTTTCGTCCGAGTGGAGCATCTTCAAGACTGCAGACAGGTGTTGTAACCAACAGGAACACATTTGTAACAAGCAACCTCCTTGTCACGGAGGCCAGGGGCGCACCCATATTTTCCCCGGCGGCCGAAAAAACCGGCGCCGGTGTTGCTCCACTCCTGCCCTATGGGTCCGTCCTCGTCTGCCAATCGAGTTGATTCCGGAGATCGCGCATCACGAACAACATCATCGTCAATTCCATAAGCCGGAGGCGCATCTTAGGGGACATCAAGGTTCACCTTTTTTGCGCCCTAATTCTTTTACGGAATCTTCTTCTCTGTTAGCCGACGGGCGCTGCACAAATTTTTGATTCTCTATTTTCCAATTAGAATGCTGTTAGTTTGTGAAAGACGAACCAGCCCCGTATTCCATTCCTCCATATTCAACGCTGTGAAAAGTTATTTGCCCCAACTTCAAGAAAGGTTGTGACGCATGCTTCATTCGTCGTCTGCCTCATTTTCACTCTCTTGCCACATGCCAGAGATTACTGATCCCATGAGGCGCATTGCGTCAGATAATCCGACTTGGTGTGGTGGAGTCCTCCATGCTTTATGTTCGGTTCTACAAATCTAGCATAACCTTCTCCATACTGTTCTTGCTACCAATGCCACATCTTATCCCATCTCAAGTTTTCCACTGGTCCGAGGAACGTGTGCCCATTTCGCAATCAAGACAAAACATTGGGGCACAGGTTCTCGGAAACTGAGCTATCCGTTGTAGTAGGATGCTACAAAGATGCGATGACTGCCCTCAGGTAGATGGGCCAAGAATCCACTTCCAATGTTTACTGGGGGTTTCGTCCGGACCTGGCTGTAACATGTTTTCACTCTTATCTCTGGCTGACAAACCGAGCCTCCCATATGCAGGATGCCTCTGGCGGGACCCGAAGTTCGGCTGCTGCACCGCTTTCCAGCCCAACACAAAGCTCGACTATCAAAACATCAATCCAACATGTTGATTGCACTTTTAAACAGGTGCTGTAACGTCTGATGGCGCAGATACCCTCGTCTAATGCGACTATCAATCACTGTCTCTAAGAAAAAAGAGGTAGAGAGACGTCCGAATTTTTTGCTTACCAAGGTCAAACCACTACACATGTTTGGTGCTGAGCCACCATGTTTTCCTTGAGAAGAAACCAACCACACGCCAGCATAGCGATTCGTGAGTTTCCACGGCCGACAGTGATGCGAGTCGCTCTGGTGTCCATCTCAAAAGAGTTTGGCTATCCGGGCGGGTAGTGGGCAAATACGATAATAAGGACGACAACGACGACGAGAGTCAGGGAGAAAATAGAGATAGGGGCAACAGAAACGACAAGGGCGACAGGGACGACAGGGACGATGCGAATAATGAGATTTTCAATGTAAAATAAACTACAAGACCTAGCGTCATAGCCATCTGCCGGCTTAACTAGAGCTAGCCTCCCGGGCAAAGACTCATTCCAGAAACTGTGTGGTCAGATGCTGACCCCGTTATCGCAGTTGACGCAACCGCTGCAAGAAGAGGTTGAGCGCAAGAGAGATGATATATGAAGTCAAAGAATGCCTTTTCCCAATTATGGAGACTCATGCTGGATTAACCTCATAGACATATAGCTCCAATTGCTAAAGTTCGACCATCCACGCTTCTCATGATTCATCTTCACTTAGACTTGGCTTTACGGTTTGGGAAATACAGTTTCAATTACGTAATTGGACTTCATAAGTACGCTAAATATATCAATGAGGACTAAACGCCCTTTGCTCTGTCAAGCCAGACAGACATACATAGCTTACAATAGCAACAATGTCAATACCAACAATCAGAATGACACAGAGATGACGACACTATTAAGAATGAGAATAAAATCAACTAACACAGCAGCTAGGTAGATAACAATTGCAACAGATCCTTAACAAGTACAACTACATATCTGAAGAATTCCACGGGTTTCAACGACACTTACCTAGATTCATTTGTTTCAAATATCATTCTGAGCCACATGGCTTTGGTGAGTATTCGGAGGGAGCTCAGCGGAGCTTAATTTACAACAGAAGCATCACAGGAGAGTCAAGATATATATAGATCAAGTTTATTTACGTTATCTGACCAAAATATCGTTCCATAAGAATAAGATAAGTCATACTCTTCATACATAAAAAACATCCTTCATTGACCGTGGGTATGTCTGCTAGTCGTGCTTCGCCAAAGGCTCTCCAAAGATTAACTTCAGCTCAGGTGGTAGCGACGGCCGTGGCGAGAAGCCAATTAAGCCCTGACAAGGGTGAGGCCGTAGGTGGAGAGAATCTCGTTGACCGGCTGGAAGTAGGTGGTTCCGCCGGAAGAGCAGTCGCCGGAGCCTCCAGAGGTGACACCCTGGGCCTGGGCACCAGAGTAGAAAGAACCGCCAGAGTCACCGGGCTCGGCGCAGACACTGGTACGGGTGAGACCAGTGACACGGCCCTCTTGGTAGTTGACGGTAGCGCCGAGGGCGCCGACAGTGCCGCAGAAGACACCGGTGGTGGAGCCGGAGCGGCAGATGGAGGCACCGACAGCGGCAGCAGTGCTGCCGGAGACGGGGAGGTTGCCACGTCCGTAGCCGTCAATGTAGCCGGTGAGGGTGGTGCCGGAGACAGTGCGGATGTAGGACATGTCGGCGGAGCCGGGGAAGACGGAGCCGGAGAAGGTTCCGAGGGAGGCACCGGAGCTGGTGGTGGCAGTGGCACCGACGCTACCGCAGTGACCAGCGGAGACGAAACCGGTGGTGACAGAGAAACCGATGGAGCAACGGGCAGAGCGGTTGATGAGGTAGGCGTCACCACCGTAGACGGTGGCGAAGGTGGAGGGCATCGTGGAGACGGTGCGGACCTCGAACTCGCCGGCGGCAAGGCCGACCTTGGCAGCGAGCTCCTCGGCGTGGGCGGTGCTGCCCTCAAGAGCCTCAAGAACGAGCTTGTTGGCGGCAACGTCGACGTAGTAGGAGGCAATGCCGGAGTCGGCAGAGTTGGCGTCGCGGCGGGCGGCGGGCTCAGCGATGTCAATGCCGTCGAGGGCAGCCTTGGCGGACTCGAGCTTGGTGAGGTCGTTGGCAACAACAGTGGGGACGGCGCCAGCGTTGGTGATCTCGGAGGTCAGGGCCTCGTCGGTGACGGCAACGTTGACGGTGGTGCCGTCCTCGGAGATCCAGGCACCGGCGAACTTGGCACCAGCGGAGTTCTTGATGGACTCAATGACATCGGTGGAGCGCTGCTCGAAGGCAACACGAGCGTTGGCATCTCTGGCATCCAGACCGAAGTCGCGCTTCATGGCAGCGAGGATCTTGGGGTGGAGGCTGGTCGCGGCCTCGGTGGGAGCACCGTAGGCGACGGGGAGGACGACCGCGAGGAAAGAGAGGAACTTAGTGAGCTCCATGTCTGCTGACTTGCTGTAGACAACGAGTGGGTGAAAGAGGTCTTGATGTTGTGAGGAGGAGACAGTAAGTCAGATGAGTCCGATGCTGCTGCTGCTGAAGAAAGGAAATGTCAGACTGGAGGAGAAATCCATCCTTATTTATACACATCTTGATCATGATATCGTGACGAGCATCATGGTCATGTTGCCGCTGGCCAAAACAGAGGTCTACTTCGCCCCAGCCATCGTCAGATGCCTCCTTCCCAATACGCCTCAATCCGTTCTGCGATGTTACTGCAGATTCCCGTGAAATCACCAGGGCCTTCCTCAACAGGCACTTGAGAAGACAACCGACATGTGGTGTTACCGTGGGCTTCCTTAGTGTCAACAGGGCCTTCCTCAAAAGGCACCTGGAAAGCATCCGCCCCACGATGTCACAGTAGGATTAATCGGAAAGTCCCTAAAGGGCACCTCTGAAGACTGTCTACCCCGCGATGCAATGGCTTACAGCCGAATAGGAAGGAGTAGGTTAGAAGATATGGACCAGATTGCAGCATTTCATCGATAAGATGCTGCATCTCTTAGCTGGCAAAACGCGGCCAAGAACTCGCGCTTTTCGCGGGCTCCTCCGTTGGCTTTGGCAATATGCGAAGGCAAGTCCAGAGCATCGGCTTCGAGCCGGCTGTATCTTCGAATCTGGCAGGCGAGCGGTAACATGCCGGCCGGTGCCATTTCTAGCCATTTCTGGTGCGAGGACCGGACGATCGCCGCCCTCGACCTGCAAGATTAGGTCGGGTGGCCGGTAGCCGGCGCTAGCAGGAAATCTTATGTAGACCTCAGCCACTGGTCATGAGTTGCCAGCTTTGCGGAGAATGTTGCAATCCTCCTGCTGTCGGTAATATTCTTATGTAACTCGTACTTCAAGGCGGCCGGTAGTGGTATGCATGCCCGTTTACTTGGTCAGGAACACTCAGATGCACAACCGCCGAGGGGCAAGGCAGTTGTTATTCGCTACGGGCTCGGTCGGTCCTCTGTTCAGGAAGGTAGCATAGTCGTTGGCAGACCGAGCGTATTAGGAAGGCAGAGGCAGGCCGTGATGTGCGAGCCCCATGTAGAAGGTCGAGAACCGTGGTATGAAGGATGAGGTTCCTCGGTATTTCATTTCTCCACCTCTTATCCGATCGTGACGCCATCGTTGCCAAGGTGCGGAGAGCGCCAATCAATAACAAGCATTCTACACTAAATTCCCGGTGAAACCAGTTGAGAGCCTCGTTTAATAGGAACTCGGAGAAAAGGGCGGGTCCGTCGTTCTTGGCGTCAACTCGTGATAGGTTGGCTGGGCGCCAACCTGTCCGTCATTGTAACCCTACTATCTCTTGGCGTCTGACAAGCAACTTGCTTGATGGAAGGATACTGTTTGGATCAGGCGACTGGTGCCTAGAAACTCGAACCTTGATGGCTAGCAAGCAATCAAGTTATTCAGGATATCGTGGTCGACTAAGTCAGTCTGGGAACCCCGTGGGCAGAATTGCTTGATGATAACATTCCAACAAAATATGTTGAAATTGTTGCATTCAAGTGTTGCAGCAATGGAGGAAGCTAATTGACGAGGCCTGATGCATCGGAATCTTAGCGTCCAAAAGCTTTTGAGTTATCGTTGGGTTAGCCGTCGAGATTTGCACAAATTTCGGTGTCGCGTTGTCGCCTTCGTTGCAATTTTAGTCGTCTTTTTGCCAGCTACACTGGCCCTCATGGTCCGCAACATTCACTCGGCGTCAGAGCTTGGCATCTAAGGAAAATACCTCAATCTCTTCCTAATTGACGTCGGAAGAGCCTGCTAGACATTGTGCGGGATGGGCCGCCAGCCAACGAGAGTTTGTTCGATGAACAGCTTAACCGGCTGGCCATCGCTGAAGAGGAAGGTGGCGTGATCGTCCTTGACGTGGATGAATTCAGGGAAATGTCGCCGGCGCCTATTGTGTCCCACTTGGAATGACTGCGCGCGAGGCAGGTGGTGGGAGGCCAAACAGCTGTGACATCTTCGACTTGGTACCCACAACACTGGACTCACTCTGCGATGTTGGCGTGGGACTAACGACAAGTGTTGCCACTTCCCTTGGCCCCTCATTTCTTGAGCATGAGCATGACATGCCAGTTCGACCGTGGTTGAGCCAACCTCGACCGTAGACGTGGCCGGCACCGCCGTGATCGCAGCCACATCTCCCGCACGCGGGCGGCTTCAACATGGGACTGTCTTGTTGTTAGCTCTTGATAGGGGTCTTGCGCCTAACACATATCTTCTCCCATACCAAAGCTGACCATGACCATCATCATTAAGGGAAGAAAAGGGGTCGCAACCCCAAGTTACGAAAAGATCGGAGTTGATCAAGGCTCGACCCGTCTATATTATTCTAGTGCTCAGAAGGAAATGTAATGCTGGTTAGGAAATATGAACGAAATGAATGATGTTGTCGTAGTCAACCGGTTGTTGTCACTAGAGGGGCTTCAGTAAGTGGACGCAAGAAGTCTGTTGAACTCCGCAAGGAACAGGTATCCCCGTAAGGTTTACAGGGTTTAATTTTTAAGCACATTGCCAAGGCCTAGTCGTGTTCAGTGAGGCCAAAACCAACGAACAAATGATCGAGCGTACGAGCGAGCGTGTGCGTGGTTGGCAATGTGATTTGTGGCGATTGAGGTTCAACTTGTAGCTTGCGGACGACATCTTGTCTAAACCTTGGCTGGAGGAGTATGGTGAAGAGAAGAAGAAGGGGCGAGTAGCCCGTTTAAGACCGAGCATCCTTTCACATCACTTTACGAACGGGCCGATCCGCTGATGTGCGACTGTGCCGCCGTCCCGCTCAAATTCTTTTTCAGCCTCTCATGAGTCATGCGTGAAAAATCCCAACCACGAGTAAACACAGGACTGCGGGTCGATCCTCTGGCGAACAATAAGTCGCTAGCGCATGCATTTGAAGCCCGAGTAAGAGATCAAGGACGTACAGAATTTCCTTCTTCGCGTTAGATGTAATGGCAAGCCCGCCAAGCCAAGGAGGGGTCTTGAACGACAAGAACTAAGTTGTTGACACATTGAGGAATGATGGTCCTGGCATTTATGCTCAATCATTTGATAGACTTGAGATCACTTTCTTTAGAGGTAAAAGGAAAGAAAGACTTAACCTCACATGAATACTGACCTGAACTCAGAATACAGGGTCACCACATATTAGACTACATCAATAAAAAGCTACGATACGACTTGCTGCGATGTTTCATGAACATATAACCACAATCGGAGAACCTCCAAACCTGAACTCGAAAGTCCAAGTGAATACTTCACAGTTCAGAGACCGGCGATTCCGGAAATTAGAATCCTCTTTCAAACGGACGATAACCCGCGTAAAACTTGATCATCCAGCTCCTCAGGAATGACCTACGTTGCAGACGCGTTCTAAGCATACGCTTGATTTCAGACCTTGAAAAAGCGTCGGCACGCATGAAACCGTCAGACAATACTTGGTGTCTTTCAGCGTCAGTCATGCGCAGCAGCTGTGCCATGGGACTTATGCCACCCGAAACCAGCCGCCAAACATTGGAAATTTCGTCAACAGAATCCAGGCCTTCCTTTTGTCTAATCGTGCGCAAGGGGGCTATCATTTTAAGCCCACGTCCATCTCTTTGAAATAGGTATTCCCGGCTACACTTGGGGACGCCCCCATCGTCACAAGAAAATCGATATATTGGCACGCGCCGCCCTTTAGTTTCTCTATAGAAAACGAGAGCCGGCCCTAGGTTGAGTTCGTTTTGCCGCTCAAAGGAGGAAATTGTATTGTTGGGTATTGCTTCTAAGTCTTTTGACGTTTGTTTCACGGACAGCCGTGTCCATGAAAGTTTCGCCGAATGATAAGTCGTATCGCGTGCTCTGACTGCTTGTCCAAAGCTTTGTGTCGGATCTCGTAAAACAATCTTCGATTTCTTAGATATCTTTTGTTCCACCGTCTCCATATCAACAATCTCACGCAAGACCAACCACAGGTACTCGTCGTATCTGCGGTAAAAGAACTTGACGATCTTGTCGAAGCACTGCCAAACGGGAAAGAGCCCTTCCTCTAATTCCCACGTGCAAAGAATCATGTCCAGAGAGCAGCATAATTCAAGCTCTGAGCTGCTTTCATCCGGAGCTCTGCCCAGATATAGGGACTGAACATAGATCTCGAAGCACAACACCGCGCGTTGTTTGTAGAAGAGGTTCTCCGCATCATCAGGTTCGGTTGTCCATTCGCTTTGACTCCGGCGAGAGGATGGCAAAAATCGCCAGGGTAGAAAGTAATATTGCTCGGTGTTTTCATAGTCGTGAACCCACAGCCCTGAGAGTACGATGCAGACCTCCTCGATGACCTTTAGCAGGCCTAGGACAGAACGAATGTCTTCGGGCCATAAATGATCAGGTGCACGTGGACCAATGCCGGCCACCAACTCGCGGACCAACTCGACGAGTTCGTCGGTGGTCGGCTTTACGGGGTTTCGTGTATGCATTTGTCGGAGTCTTACGACGGCCAGCAACTCGGGGAGCAGGTTGCAATCAATATAATTCCCGAGTACTGCGGATTTATAGTCAGTGACCTGCTTGAAAGCCTGTGGGTTTGCGGCTATCCACGAGCGGAGGTCTCGGGGGCAGTTGATGTTTGACATTATCAGTAGATGTATGTCTGGCGGCAGACCACCTGGAAAAGCCGACATCTTGGCCGACGAATGAGATAAAAGTTGCTCCGAATTTCACAGCGTAAGGTACCTATAGAAAGGTTGCGTGTGCTTGGCGTGGCATGAGGGGATCAGTTTAAATACGTTTCGTCCAGCTAGGTACCTCAATCAATACCGCGGCTTCGGATTAAGGTTTGTCACGGTAGCCCTCCAAAATTTAGTCGCCCTTGTCCAACATAAGCCATCTGGCGTTGAAAGAGTCTACAGCAGAGGAGTCTTTCAATAAAGATGGTTTATTGAGGTTATTCACCTGGCTAACCCAATCAAGTCGCCCAAACGACCCAGTTTTACTCCAACTCTACCTTAACAAGAAAGGCTGGGTGGGCTCTCTGACATCATCACGGTAATCCATGATACTGTGCCAATGGTGCTGGGCGCTTGGGTGCCTGTGGTACTTGCGGCTACTTGCCCGCTATTAGCGCCTGCTTCTAAGGTAACGATTTCCTGCCGAAGCTGCTAGTTAGGCTATTATGTGCCGTAATCAGTGAATCTTCAGCTTGTAATCCTGCAGTGCTAGAGACTTTGACCTCGTATTAATTAAAAAAAAAAAAAAAAACAGTGCGTGCAATTGCTTTTCTAGCGGTCGCAACATGTGAGTTGAATAGGTGCTGCACTTTTTATGCCTTTTTGGTAGGTGAGGTGGGATCTGGTGGTGTCTCTAATGCCCCCTAGCATCGCTGGCACCCACTGGCGCCCGCTACCCTGTGGCCCTGCGCCCCTATTCTATAGCGTCGGAGCTGTGGTCTCAATTGGCAGTATGCCTACCTTACCTACCTAAGGTAAGGTGTACATTTCCTGCCCGTGTGTGTATTAGTGATTTCGAGAATGATAGGGATAATGACGATAGGCGACGACAACAGCAACGACGATAGCAAGCACAAAGGAATAGTAGTCGCTCTGACATAGCAAAAATGGTAGCCTAATTCTAAGAACCCAACATTTTCTGCTACGGTATGTAAAGAAAAATATAATTATCTGGCTGGTTGCTTTGGTATACCTTGTGTTGATTCGCTCTATTCCGCACTAGGTGGGTTTTGGCGTCTTGTAGTCGATAAGACATGCATAGTTTGTATATTAATTTGTCATGTTATCCAGGCGAGGAATGTTGTGAACGCGATTATTTGTATTCAATTCTGAAAGTCCTTGATGCTCACAGTAGAATCACACTTCACAACCTACCGCTCAGATTCACCTGAGAGCATCCAACTCTTCTCTAAGTTCAACCCTCGAAGGAGACTGGACGACAATGAACGCAAGCTTGGAACGTCGAACAAAAACCCATCATTTCCACCATGTTGCCAGTCTGATCTGAAACTTAATATCATTCTGCGGATTGAATCGTGTTAAGCACCATCCACTGAGAATAAACAACAACAAGCAGTGTGAACCGGGTGGTTGTTGGCACCTACCCAACGCCATCTCTGCCTTACAGCAGGATTCAACACCAAGTTTCACTGCCCATTTTGATTGTTTGAATATGGTGGCACACATGTCAGAGTCATTCTAGTATCTTGACAAACGCCTTCTGACACATATTTTGACTGAACAAAACAAACATGCCCCAAAAGTCTCGCATCATGATTCCAAGCTACGAGTATCAATAGTACCAGAGAGTGGAATGGCTCATCTGTTGCAGCCACCCGAAGGGCAAACACAACGTCAGCTGTTTAAGCATTGTTAAACGCAAGCACTAGTCGCTGGATCAGATGCATCCACAATCTGATCAAATTCTTCATGATGATTGTATTATGTGTAGATTTGCAAAATTGCTACTTTGTACTACGCGTGGCACACATGAGTGATGGTGTCTTGAGAAAGTTACTAACGAAGATGCACATAATTTTCATTGGCAGAATGGGATGAAAGCATTCATTCTTGTCATGCCTATATCATCTAAGTTGTTATAGTGCTCTGGATTTATGAAATCGCTTGAAAGTCCATACCGTAATGCTGAGCTTTTGAATTCACATCTCATGAGGGCATTATTCAAGAGGGCATTAGCAGAGGTGGCATGGTAAAAGATGGTGTAGTGTAAACTGATGATTTGCATAAAGTTGATTGAAATAAATGAAGTGTTGTATATCTTCAATCGCCATTTTGTTCTTTTTGAATGCAACTGCAAATGCAAAAAAGCGTCATCGTAGAGTTGCACATTGTCGGTTTGTTGACAATTTCCCCAACCTCTTTGCACGCGCTGGAGCTACAGAGGTTGATGGCCAAAGAGGTCAAAAAAACAGCAACCTTGACTAGGCTAGTTTTCGAGGTGGTGGCCAAAGAGGTTAAAAAAGCAGCAACCTTGACTAGTTTTCCGTTGATCTTTGTCACCAGTCAAGCAGCAAACAAGCAAGCGGTGGCCTCTACAAGGTTTTGTTTTCTTCACGTTTGTCGACGCATACGCTAGAAGGCTGTTGTTGTCATATATATTCACAAACACGCATACACAAGCCAAAAGAAGGTTCTGTCACATTCTTCATTTAGACTGTTCAGTTCCTCAGTAGATCTGTGCCCATCTGAGTACATAAATTCAGCGATTTCCGGTCCTTAAACTCTTCTCTTCGTTCGGATCAACGGAACAAGTCATCAACTCATCAGCTACATTGTAATCATGACCTCTCACCTTGTCCCTGGTGGCGTGCCGGGAGGCACACAATGGAAAAGACCCTCCGCCAATGTCTCATTTCCTACCACAACTCCTCCTCGCGTCACCCCAGACACCATCATCATTGGGGCAGCTGCCCCAAACATTGAAAAGGGTCATCCTACGCTCGACGGATGGTTTCTATCGGATTTTTACGCATTCAACTACCTCCTGAAGGGCCTTGGGTCTAGACAGGTCTGGCTGACAGCCGCTGTAAGTGTCCATTCCCTATTCAACACCCTCGCCGCCGTCTTGATCCCTCTCTCTGTATCTGCTGTTGGCATTATCTGTGACTCTGTCTATATCACGGCTTGTATATCTATGACTTACTTCAGCTAACAATGAAGGCAGGATCCTCACAAATTGATCCAATCTGGACAGCATACAGATCGATTCATGCATGGCAACCCCTATCAGACGCGGAAGGTTGTCTTAGACAAGCACCTACTCCAAGCCCAGGAGTACACTCCAGTCACAATCGTGAGAAGTGCGGAAATGATTGAGAGGTTCTTGAAGGAGGTCAGAACTGCATCACAAGAGGCTGTGAGCAAGGGTGTTCCTCTCCTTCTCCTGATATTTTGTCATGGCAAGGGGAATTGGGAATTCCTCCTTGACTGTGGCAAGGCCAATAGAGGCCTTTCTGTCACTCGAGTTAAAGAAGCAGTCGCAACCGGCTGCAATGTCACACTCTACTCTACTGCTTGCTACTCCGGCGGGTGGGTGGTCCGGGACTTGAGCAAGCCCGAACACTCCCCCATCAATGCCACCATGCTAGCAGCAGCTGACCCTAAGCACACCTCGAACGCCTGGCAGGACTCCCCCTCCATTGGTCGAGCCTGCGGATCTGTGTTTGCAAGCACGGTCATCAAGTCACTCACTTCCTCGGCAAGTCCGTTGCAACCAATACTCCCCGCTGGCGTTGAACAGCTTGAGCCAGAAAGCGACAACCCTACTCAGACGCAGACTTACAACGCCTTTTGCCATTCGGTTTTGAACATCTGCGCCACTCAGGTCACTACGCTTCACGGCAACGAGGCGTTTACGTTCAGCGCGCAAGATGATCAGTGGGATTGGAGCTGGACCCGTCGCACGGGGATTCCTCTGAGCCATTTCCAGAAGCGATGGGATGCGCTCCCTGACGTCCCCTTCAACACTAGAAACCTCCTCTTGACCCACAAGAAGACATATTCGGACCCGGACCCCAGGAACGCTTCATTCTCCGGCTCGGCAGGTCCCTCTCAAACCGGCGGTGGCGATATCTCCGAGGAGTTTGTCAAGAATCTGACAAAGAACCGAACTGCAGCCATGGCAAGGACATTCCTAGAGACTTGCCCTGGTGATTGGGATAGCGGATTTGGCCCGATCGCCCGTGGCTGTCTTCGAGCAGCTGCCAACCATCAGAAGGTTATTGACCCGGACGTCGACGTTGCTGCCATGATGGCATTTCGCTGGGAGGTCAGTCTTCTTGCTGATTACATCGTTCAGCATTTCAACCTCAAAGCGCCCAATGGTGAAACATGCCTCATGTGGGACCGTGGCAAGTGGCAAGCGGAGGGGTTTAAGACGATTCCGAATTATGACAAGCGGTACAGCGCAGTGTGGAGCGCTCTACAAAATGCCAACATTGAACCCGAGCCGGCAACCATCCAGGGATACCCTTTTGTTCGGTTTTCCGAGTATCTGACAGTCGCGGTGGTCGCACTAGACCTCTCAGGCCCGGACACGATGAGTCTCGCCTCGAAGATCGGCGATTTCATGGAAGAGTTCAGAAAGTTCCAGGAAACCCGTAGCATGACCACTGCTACCAGAGACCGTGGTGTCATTCGGAAGGCTCGTGACTTCTTCAAGGTGATGGGACAGAAGTTCTCATCCTTGGACATCTGAAGTGCGAGGGTATGGCGTAAAAGGTAGCAAAATGCTCACGTCATTTGGCTAACCTTGGAAGCAATGAAAGAGACCAGAGAAATGGAGGATCACCTGTATGATTCGTGTTCGCTCGTTAGGTTATCAGCTTTTTATGATAGTAAAGTGCGTCTCAGTACACGCATCGATATTCCACAGGAGTGTATTGGGCGTTACAAAGGTGATGTGCTGGTCTCTTTAGTTGCGTTCATTATGTTATGATACTTCAGACAAGCTCCCTATCGAGTTGAAAATAGCAAGTATTAGCTGATACCATGATAGTGGCTAGCCCATCACCTGGAGCAAATTCATGTAGATATTTAACGAACCAATCCTCGAAAAGGTATGTCACCATGCAACAACCCACGGTTGGACCCCAAAATGCGAGCCTGGGTAGTAGTCTATGATCCATGTCTTCAAGTTGCCTTGAAACCATTGCAGCGGGCTTGTAGTTGCCTCTATTGCAGACCTGCACTTAGAATTGGCTCGTGCGAGTGCTCCTATTGTCTCTGTTTGTCTTTCACCCTCGTCAAGACGCAGCAAAGGAGCCAGTCTACCGATACCACCCGATAGAAGCTTCCAGGCGTTGTGAATCCCGTCCATACGATCCCAGTTTTGTTGCTCTTGTAAAGTTTCGAGATATGCGACCGCCATGAAGCCATCATATCCATCCTTGACGATGAATTCACCCGTACATGTATCCATGCAGGCAATTCCATAGATTGGAACCCGGCCTTGATCCATGGGTATCAAACCAACCTGTGACAGTCGTAGAAGTCGGCGAGCTACAGCCCCAGTCATGGACTCTATCCCCGTCCGCGTCCAAGTCACAAACTTTCGATAATAGCTCCAGCGTGCCGAATGAAACATGACTTTCGGTGTTCCAAGCGCTTCTTTCAAAGTTTGCACTCCTTCTTGCATAACCACGTCTGAGCCCCAGAAAGGCTGGGCATCAACCTGCCGTATGTTCAAAACCTGACACAAAGCTGAATCAATAATACTGTCGCATGTGCGGCAGAGACAAGAAGCAAGCTTATCTATATGCTCGCCGAAATCGATGGCACGAATGTCAACTTGCGTTGATATGTCCTCGGTTGCCATTGAAAGAATTTGGAACGGTGTTTGATCGGACGTATGATCAGGGAATTCCCTGCCGTGACAGAAACACAGGACGTAGATCTCGAAGAGTAGAACAAGCTTTTTCTGAACGAACATGCTGTGCTCGTCTTTCTTGCCCCAGAAACTATCGTGCTGGAGTAATCTCGTCGTCCGCTCGTCATACAATATGAAATCCAGACGCTCGGGTTCCTTCGGGTGCTCGAGGTGCTCGAGGAGCCACGGAGTCTCGAGCCAGAACGTGTCATCTCTGTGGCGATTGTTCTGCATTGCCGTGACAATGCATTCTACCTCGTCCATGAGTTCTAGCAAGGCTAACGCTGAAGCTTTGTCCGTGGGCCACACCAAACCAGGGGTGCTTTCCTTGGCGGCGGCTTTCGACTTGAAGGCGGATATGACGAGATCTTTAAAGCTCGGTAGCTCGGTGGACTGCTGGTGGATTTCGCGGAGACGTAAAACACTCAGAGCCGAAGGAAGGAGATCGCGGTCCGTAAAAGACTCGAAAACCATTGACTTATTTTCCAGGAGTTTCCGTAAAACCTCGGGATCTACTCAGATCCAAAAAAGGAAGTCTTTTGGGGACGTCAAATAGGATGCCACCATATTCGTCAGCTCTACTGGAAGACGAACGAGAGTCGCCATCTTGCGCGTGACGAGCAGTTGTTGCAATGTGTGTTTTGGCTTCTGTTGATCTGCGGTGTCAGCTTAGATGATTGACGTGTAATTAGGTTCGTTTGTTAGGGGTGCTGAGGTCAGTACTGAAGCATGGAAGAAAGAAAAAGACGTCTAATATTGGGAGGAAAACCTAGATTGCGAAATTGTGGATCGACCGGCCCTAAAAGATATGACTGGTGTGATCAGTCATCTATGTATTAGACATCTCTATGACCCTCGGGATGGTTGACACGTGGCTACATCTTTCGCGGCTATAGGGACAAGTCTATTCAATCTACACAACTTTGCAGCCCTTGATGCGAATGCACAGAGGCAACTCTATTTGCCTCCGTTCTGGCTCACAAAGCCCTGCTTCGTCAAAGCCTCCAGATACCCACTTGTCCTCTTCACACCTTCATGGCCACTTGCCTTCGCTGCCTCAAAAGCAACACGGTACACGTGCAATCCTTCGGAAAACAACGGCCGGTGGTGTTTCCAGCCGGTAAGGTTCGTGAGCTTTGTAGAGTCTGTCCACTGCGGGAAGTTTATAATTCCATTTGGCCAGGGATTTTCGTCATTCTTCAGCTCGAGAGGGTCGACATACTTCAGCCCTCCCGTGATGTTGTACTCCTTGACCAGAGCTTTCGCCACCTCGTCGACAGTCTCGTACTTTTGGGCAGAGATGTTGAAGACCTGACCTTCAGCTTCGGATCTGTTGACGTGGGAAGCTATGGCGACGTATGCTTCTCCGCAATCGTCGACATGGAGGGCATGAACAATGGTGTTTGGTGGGGTGGGCAGCAAGAGGGGCTTGCCATCAGCGGCTGCCTTGGCTGCAACATCGAAGAAGGCCTTGTAGAAGCTTGAGCTTCGGCCGTAGACGTTCGTAGGTCTGACCAAGACCGGAGCGAAGACATCGCTGTGATCAAAGATCTTCCTCGCATGCGTCGCACGGTTGATGAGGAAAGGCACTGTGTTGATCGGGGAGTCCTCCGTGTGCGGGGCGAGGTCCGAGGCGCCGTGGTAGTGGGGCCCGATGCCGTAGTCCTTGCAGCCGGAGCTGAAGATCACAATGGGTCTAGTTCCTGCGGCAGAGCTGGCGGCGCCAAGAGTTCGAAGAAGCTTGATCGTGTTGTTGTAATGCGGCATGTAGTCTAAAGGGTTCTCGGTTGCCGATACGATTGCATCGAGGGTGGCCGGAAGGTGAGCCTGGATCTCCGCGTGTGCGGACAGGTCGTCGATCGCGCCGACGATTGGGATGATCTCCTCTTGGGCGAGAGCTGTTGCGGCCGACGGAGATCGGACGAGTCCGTAGGTCTTCCATCCGGCGGCAACGAATGCGCGCGCTACAGCGTTGCCGATATAGCCGTTCGCGCCAGTGACGAAGACAGTCTTAGGTGCCATTCTGACTTGATTGCAGGGTTTTGATGGTCTTCTCTTCGTCATTTTGAGTTTCGGTTCGTGATTTATAGTCACGACTGTTAATTCTTTCAGACGGTTGATGAAATCTCGTGATAACGTTGACAGCTCCGTTTCCTGAAATCATTAGCGGGGCAAGAAAAGAATCTGAGATAATGCGGAGGAACAATGTGGCCGAGACGGCTGGTTTATGGTAATACAGCGGCGATGGCTGTGACGGGGATGGTGATCCATTGTTGGCGTGTTACCACTACATCACGCAAGTTTACACCAGTCAGAACGCAATGCGACCTGACGTGTTGCGCCTCCTGCATGGGCCACTATGCAGCGGATGGGTTCATGCAGACCAGAAGTCAATCGTTTCAGAAGATCTGCGATCTTGTACAACTGATTCAACCAGGGCTCCTTTTCGCTGTGTCGACATGCAGCACCTTTGGCTGTCGATGGATCGCCCTTGGGGCGGAATTCATATTCCGCAAGGGACCCCGTGCCGCTCGAATTCGGCCGAACGATTGCTAAGCTCGGCGCAATGCACGTAAGATTATCAGCCCCGGCATCCCACTTGCACCATGGGCGACTATTATTTGTGGGCTGTTTGAATGCTGCGCACTGTAGCAAATGCACGTCATTTTCATTGAACTGAAAAGTACGGTCCGTTAGAGTCGCCTCCGAGTTGTCTCCGGCACCGGAACCTGGCAATACGGGGCAAATATCCGTGTCCGGCCGGACCCGAAAGTCTGTGCTAGAAAGTCAGTCCTCGATTGACATACAACGCTTCCATACTCAAAGTTTCTCCAATCTTGTTATTTGATTCATATGGATACTAGGTCTTCTATCTGCCCAAACCTTCGTCTCCTAGTTCGTGGTGACCATGTTCAGTTGCTAGTCAGACACCTTACTTTGCCACCCTGCACTATCTCACAGGCCTGGCCTTATTCGCAGTCATCACTGGCCACAGAGTCGAAAATGTTGGGTGGAGTATTGATACCGCGACGGCCATTGGCATCGCACGTTCCCTGGCGGTCTCTTTGGTCGACTCTGCCGGTGCAGGGTTGTTCCTCCTTGCTCGCACCGGTCGCCGCGCCGGTAGAGGCCCCAGCTGCGCCCTCGGCCGCACCTCCGGCGGCAGCACCGCCAGCGACCCGGGCTGCTTTACCGCCCCTGGCTGGAGCTCCAAAGGGAGTATTAGTAGATGTATAAGATAAGTTTGCCTCATAAACATGTTACTCACAGGCAAGAGTCTGGCCAGCCAGAACAGTTAGGAAAAAGATGGTGAAGGTGGAGAATTGCATTTTGACGGAGCAGCAAATAGTGTTATGCCAGATAATAATGAATTAGACAGTAAGTCTCAGAATTCGAAGGGAAGAAGAGAGATGTGATTAAAGTTGTTCTAGAATGCTCCTATGATTGAGGGAGAAGGTGTTATCTTAAATACTGAGTGTCACTCGACAAGCTTAAATGTTCATAAGCGCTGTTTTGACGAGGCAGTCCAGTTGACATATTGACAGCCGTACTGAACCACTGGTCTCAGGGAGTGACGTTCTGCCTCAGAACTTTGCGGGGAAAGCTTCAAAAAGCCAGGGGCAGGCATAAGCTAATGCCAGTCCGAACGCCTCGCTGGGTTGAGTTTACATCGCTCCTTAGGGTTGTGGGTAAACATGAGCTCGATTATTCGTTCTTTTGGCTGTTAAGTAAAGTCTTTGCTACCTCGCTTAAGGATCTGAAGCATTTTATGGGCTGCGTTTCTATAGAAGTGCATCAGCGGTCACCCCGAACTGTCTTTGCCTCCTGAGTCTGAATGATTCGCATCTAGAGCGAACGACATGACTCTTTCCCCTCCAAACATTATCGGACTGCTATGAACATAGTGGTACATATGAGCCAGAATCGGGGTTCTGGCTTAAAAGAATGGCTAATCATAGCCTTGATGTTGGTGCGGCTTCTGGCTTAAAAGAATGGCTAATCATAGCCTTGATGTTGGTGCGGCCGGTGGTTGTCATCCACGTTTGCGTCACAGCCCGTACTTCGTTCCATGTGAGTCTTTAGTGCTCAGATTCATTCTAACTAGATATCTTACGGCAGGTAAACTGTAGCTCTCGTTGTAATAATTAGGCATCGGAAGTATCTTACCATAATGTTCTGTTTAGATTGTCTGCGTGTTGACCGGCATCGACAGTACCTTCTTAAATCAACGGATGTGATGAACACTCCAAATTTTGGACTTTATAGTCCCGTTTAATTTGTGACTTTTGCAGTTATGAATTACCCCCATGCTATCGTTGAAGTGTAATTGGCACCGTCCCGTTGATGGTATGCAAACACAGGTGCACACCAGTAGCCGCCCTCTGCACGATCAATCTCCACTACTGCATGCATCAATTTGCTGAACGCCGGAACAGAATATGATACGATGCCGTCTGCACCAAAATATACCATATCAAAGTGAACTTCAAGTCTCCAAATGCGCCGTTGACACCCCCCCCCCCCCCCCCCCCCCCCCNTGTCCCCCCCCCCCCCCCCCCACCTTGAAAAAGCCGTCTCACTTCTATTCATCATGGCGCTTATCCTCAACGTCTTTTCGAATCGAGATATGTTGAAATAATTCAACGTATTGACTGATGGTCCGGGCTTTCTATAGATCAATTGCCATAATCTTAGGCTGACCTTCCCGCCAAGGTACCCATCCATGGATGCTAGCGTAGCAGGGGAATTTGCTAGCCTGTCAGTTAAGGCGGGAAAAATCACACCATCCGTTTGTAATACAAGACAATGCCGAAGGATCTTGTAGCATTCTGCCATCAAAAGTGCCAAGAGGGCTTCTGCCTTGGTATGGTGGGTAACATGCAGGGTCCATAAGGCTGCCTGGGATTGGGGGCTATCTAGATGACTGCGCATGAACGGAATTGGACATTCTCCCGAGCTGCGCCTGGAGGCCAAAGGGAACCTCGGCATTCCTTCGAGGCAATGCAAATGGTCAATGCTAGTCAAATGACCAGTATGTTGCCTCTCTCACTATCATCACGTGTCTGACGTAAGAATGAAAAATGGTCCGTTCCACAAGTGCCGGCTCAGGTAAAATCAACGTCGATGAGAGATGCCACCGTCAACATTGCATGTTTTTCCATGAAGATAGCCTAAGTGCTTCCTCCAAGCATTTTCTTCCGCGATCCAGATCAAGAAAAAGGATATCACTATTCATTTTCCGGCTTTCGAACATGCCAGGGCGAACAACATTGCAGGATTGCGTATCCACAGCTGCTTACGTTGGGGGCTAGCTGGTGGCTCAGTTCCCGACTCTTGGAATAAGATTTGCCCGATCACGTTGGTGTTTTCCAGCTCGCAACTCGTGTCTGGATTCAGTTCTGACTAGGAAAACTGGTTTGAATCAAGGTTCCAAGGTAGACGAGTATCTCCACAAATCTAGCAAAAGCCCCATCAAGTCATTGAAAGTTACCTAGACCTCCCTGAAGTATTCGACATAATTGATGACTGACGAACACGAACGGCACGGCAAGGCCCCAGCATGTGGGTGATGGCTGTGTCTGCCAGCTCTAGAAGACAGAGGGTCAGACGATCCTATTAAAAGGGTCGCGCGAGACGCTGTGGCACTTGCTTTTCTTTACCCAAGCCAAGCATACCTGTACATTCAGTAAACATGAGATCATTTACATTGGAAACCTTCGCCTGCTTAGCAGTGGCTGCATCAGCGCTGCATATTCCCCGCCAAGAAAATACCCTCTTGGTCGACGTTGCTCCCGACTATCCTCGGCCATATGTTCTACCCAGATTCAAAGGTCGGGCTGTCAAACTGACCGGCTCAGACATTATTCGGTTCGCCATCACTGCGAACTCATCTGGAGGTGCATTTTCCATGGTCCAGCACAATGGCAAGACCTCAGGCTGGACAGCCGCCAGACCCCACACTCATGAGAAAACTCACGAGCACTTTTATTGCACCCGAGGCCGCGTGGAGCTCTGGGCACAAAAGAATATCACCGGCGCCAACCACGAGGCCCGAGTTGCTTCCGTGGGCGACTACGGGAATGCGCCTCCAGGCACTATACACACCTTTCAACTTATCGACCCGGATAGCCAATTGAATCACATTTTTCATCCAGCTGGCTTCGAGAATCTCTTTGCGAAGCTCAGTCTCGGCGAATACGAATCCGAAGTTGGATCGCCATACGTTGCGATTGAGAAGGACCCTGACCCGTTTGGAGTTCTTACCCCTGAGGTGTACGAACAGCTTCGATCCATGGACTTGATTGCCGCTTCAGCAGAAGCATTCACGCCTAGAAGAGATTTGATCAACGGCACTGCGGGCGACGCCGGATCACCTTGGCATGACGGACCAAATAGCTTTCCATCTGATCCAACTGAGCCATATTTCATTGCCAACAACTACGGCTCAGCATATCTCAACTCCGAGGACGGCTACAAAGTCATACAACCTCTGGTCACACCCACGCAGACGGATGGAAACTTCACCATGGGTACCATAGTACTCTCCCCGAAGCTTGATAATCAAGCCCCAACGACGGTCACACTACCTCATCATTTTGCCCTAGAGCTACAAGAGGGCCAACTGTCTCTATCCGTGGATGGGTTCGAAAGTCTGAGCCTGCTGCAGGGAGATGTCGCCTTCGTATCTGCTCACAAGACCTTCTCTTTTTATGCCACGGTGCCCTTGACCAAACTTCTTTACATGAATGGCGGGGACCAAGGATTGGATCATCAGCTGCTGCAGAAGAGTGCCCCTTGGGGGTTTCCAGTGTATCCCTCTTAACGTCTACTTCTGGACTTCAGAATCTGACTTTCATATATCAGTATTTATAGAGTTCAAGTCGCCAGCTTTGGGACGAGAATTCTTTTAGGTTTTTTCACCAGAACGGAGATGCACATAGAATATATTATCATGGGGGCTTGTGTAGAATGGATACTTTATGCAATATTTCTGATTTCTTGGACTCTGCCATTAACAGCTCTCATGAGTTTAGTGTGTTCCGTTCACACCATTCGCCTTGCCAGCCAAGAATTCTTTCTTGAAGACGGCCTCCATCTCTTTCCTAAAGGCCACAGCCTGTGCTTTTTCGCTGTACTCGACGTCTTGCCAGCTCAGTCCCTGGTCCTTCTTCACATCACGCTTGAGAACAAAGCCATGTGCCAGGCCAATAGGCAAGCCCTCAATGGCCATAGAGTTCTCGGCAGTGGTAAGCTTTCCGTACACGGTGAAGCCGCCTTCACCATCCAATTTTTCGCCTGCCTTGAGATCCCGCTTCGCTGTGGCAACAACATCTCCCGCCCAAGTCTTAGTCTGACCAGTTGGTTCGCCGCGAACCATTATTGTCGCGACTGAGACGCCAAGCTCCAGACCGATGAGATGATAGGGCTTGTACTGAGCGGCATACCAGCCGGTGGGGTCTGTCTTTAGGCCGTATTGCTTGAAACATTCCCTCTGGTATTCTCCGGGTGCTTAGGAGAGAAGGCATTAGTAACCCGTCTAGAAAAGTCTCATCTGGTTAACAATCACTCACCTTTGATGATCACGTAAACACCCCATCTGAGATCATTGAATACCCATCGACCGTCTTTCTCCATGCAAGACACAACTTCCACCGTGCCATTCTTCTCGAGTTGGCCTCCTTCGCTGGTGGGCTTCAGCACCGTAGGGAGGTCCCACACACCACAGGGAGGGAACCTCAGCCCATCCGAAGGAGGGCTCAGGTCGCATCCGTTGGCAACGGCAGCCATCTCCAAAGCACTCTTGGTACCATCGAGGAAACTGTTGAACATTTGCGGGTTGAAGTCACCCCCGGCAAGCTGCTCTTTGGTGAACCCATAATGGTTCCACACGGTATCCGGCGTGGAGTAGTGGTACTCGGGCAAATGCTTGGTTCCCTTGCCTGCGCACACGACTTCAAAGCCAGCCGTCTTGGCCCAGTCAACCATCTCAGCAATGAGTGCTGGCTGATCGCCGTACGCCATTGAGTAGATAATGCCAGCCTCCTTCGCCTTTCGTGCCAGCAAGGGACCAGCCAGAACATCGGCTTCAACATTGATCATGACAATGTGCTTCTTGTGCTCGCAGCATAGCAGGGCGTGTCGGATGCCCGCTGCAGGGTTTCCAGTAACTTCAAGCACGACATCGATTTCAGGGGTAGCGATGAGTGTTGCCGAGTCTGTCGTGATGGCTGTCTTGCCTGCAGCAATCGCTTCTGAAATGCTCAGAGAAGCAGTTGCGTCGAACTTGCCCTCGGGATAGCCAGTACGCTTCAAAGAAGCCAGGGCCCGGTCAGAAGAGAGATCCGCAATGGCCGCCAGGTGAACTCCAGGGGTACGGTGGGACTGAGAGATGTACATGGATCCGAACTTGCCAGCGCCAATGATGCCGACCTGAACTGGCTTTCCAGCCTTTTCGAGGTCGGCGAGTTTTGTTGAAAGACTTGTCATGATTTCGATGATATCTTGTTCACAGAAAGAAAAAGAATGGTGATTTGGGTTGAAGAGCTGGTGTTTGATCTTGAATAAGTTGAAAAGAAGCCCACGTTGACTAGTGATTATACAGCCGCCTGTTGAATTGGGTCCATGACCATATTTATCATATGGATTCGTTCGCTCCCCTCATGCGCCTAGTTCTGTAACTTATTGTGAGGAATCTACGATGCGTAGCTTCTCCACCACCGTATGAATCTGGTTGGATGTTGGCCACCGGCACTTCGCCGATTTCCCGACACCTCCACTCCACGCCGGGCGTGGTCGCAGTACCCCGCAGCCAACGTCCAACTGGAGGCAAGATTCTGCTGTTTGCAACGTACTATGCTTTTCTTTTTCCGGGCCAACCTAGCTGTGAAGTCGTCTGATCAATGTGTGCTTCACCAGGCATTGCTCCGTGCGCATCATCTCTCGTGAGGTCACTACTGCATAGTATGTGTTTAGCATTCGGTGAATCGGCCTTTGAAATCATTCGGCAAAGCTTTCCCCGGACTATCCACCCCCAGATATTGCAATGTTAGCGTGGTTCCTACTGCCCTTCAGAATGCCCAAGGCTGGGGTTCCGGGTGCTAAGATCGCCCGGCATTCTGCCCGTACCTTACGAATGTGATTAAAGGATTGCTGCCATTGATAAGATAGATCAATTGGTTACAGGAATAGTACTTAAGCTCGTGCATCTCTACGTATTAACTGCTTGCCACAATTCTGAACATTGACAACTCAGTTTCCGTCAATACCGCCACTCGTTCCTCTCAGGCACTCAGATGCTATTTTTGAGACTACTTTCTTCAGTCGCCTGAAGCATGTCGAAGAAAGAAAATGAGGTCGACTCTGGGCCATCTCCTGTGGACTACGCAGCAATAGTCGCGTCCTGGTCGCCCGAAGAGAGGTCTGAGAGGGAGAAGAAGTTTGTCCGAAAGATTGATTGGAGATTACTGCCGATTTTAGTCAGTGAAATCGAGACGTTGGCTTAACGACTTGGAGAAGAATACTGACTAGCTCTCCCCAGATCATTGTGTACATCATGAACTACATCGACAGGAATGCCGTTCGTAAGTGCCTTTCACACTATGTATCTGTACTCTGCTTCGTCAAGATTGTGAAGACGGAAACCATCCGGTGCAATGCTAACTCGATGTCTTGACTTAGCCCACGCCAGAGTTCAGGGCCTCGAAAAGGACCTGAACATGTCTGGTTACCAGTACAACATTGTTCTCTCGGTGACCTTTGTCGGATACATCTCCATGCAAGGTATGAACACCCCTTGGATCACCTTGCGGCAATACTAACCCTACCCAGTGCCGAGCAACATGATCCTCACCAAAGTTCGGCCCAGCTGGTATCTCTCTGGATGCATGGCAGCGTGGGGCATCGTGAGCGGCCTGTCAGGGGCAGTCCACAACTTCACTGGTTTGGCTGTCAACAGATTCTTCCTCGGTGTCACTGAGGTTCGTTTGAGTGTCGCACACTACCTTGAGGTACATGTACTAACCATATTGTGCAGGCACCCTTCTTCGTTGGTTGTGCCTTCTTGTTCAGCGGATGGTATACCCGAAAAGAGCTCGGCCTACGACTAGGAATTTTCTACTCCGCCGCGATGATATCCGGCGCCTTTGGAGGTTTGTTCGCTGCCGGCATCGCCGCTGCCTTTGCGAACAACCGACTCGAATCATGGCGTTGGCTCTTCATCATCGAAGGTATTGCCACCGTTGTGTTTGCCGCCGTCACCGCGTTCGTGATTCCCGACTGGCCCAGCACGACAAAATGGCTATCGCCCGAAGAAAGGGCGCTCGGTATTATGCGCATTATTGAGGATGCCGGCGAGGAAGAAGAAGAGATCAGCACTGGGGCAGCCTTCAAGTTAACTGTCCAGGACTACCGTGTCTGGCTCTGCGTCATTGGCCAAACATGCCTTCAGGCCGTGGCCTCTCTCACCAACTTCCTGCCCACCCTGGTTCAGAATTTTGGGTACAGCACCGTGCATACTCTACTTCTGACTTCCCCTCCGTATCTGGCAACGGTTTTGTTTTGTCTGTTCAACACGTGGTATTCGGACCGTACTTCGAAGCGATCGCCTCATATTATGTACCCCTCCATGGCCGCCGCAGCGGGCATCATCATCACCATCGCAACCACCAATACCGGAGCGCGGTACTTCGCATTGTTCCTCATGCTGCCTGGAACCTACGGCTGCTTCCAGGTATCGAATGCATGGATGGCCAATATTGCCGCTCGTCCGCAGAAGAAGAGAGCCATTGCGCTGGCGGTCAATAACTCCATCGGCAATCTGGCTCTCGTGTGGACGCCTTACCTGTATCCATCGAGCGCGGGGCCACGTTATCTGGTGGCATGGTCTGTCAATCTCGCCATGACGGCTATCATCGTCGTCAGCACATTTATCTTGACGATATACTTGAGGAGGTGTAACAAGCAGATGGACAACTTGACGGACGATGTGACTCTTGAGCAAGCTGGTGTGGACGGCAAGGACCACAGCACCCACATTGAGGAACGGAGTGACATGGATCATGCAGGAGGACAGCAAAGCAGGTCGAGAGCGACGTGGAAATATCAAATCTAGGACACTGATATCATAGATGAATCTGATTATGCCTTGTACAGAATGGGGCCATCCACGACGTATAATGTCCCGACAATGATATTATGAATCTGGACTAGTCCAATCATGAGATGCAGTGTAAATGAACCCAGGCGGACTTATGACCGGCACACAACTGTCTGCAGCCAAAATCCATGGACGCTAACCCCGCGTTTCTCTCTGCCGAATCATACATGACGGTGTGTTGGTGATCCCCACTCCCCCGCCCTGTGCCCGGCAGTAGTCTTCCTACCCTCGGGATTTCCCCGAAGACCCGATGCCGCAGACCTGGACGAGAAACCAGCCATCCATCCATCGGATGAAGCCCGTGATGTCCGACAAAGGCGTGTGCAATCGACCCAAGAGCATAACGAATAGGAAGCCAACATGCCATCACCAGACTTATCGCGGGTAGAAACACAGTCTGAGGCCGGTACTACTCCGGCAATAGCATCGACGAACGGCGGCAAGGATGGTCGGGTGGGTGGTCCTGGTAGGAAGTCGAGAGCTTGTAAGTTCGACTGCGAGTTTGGGATGATGGATCTGAGGAATAGGGATTGACAATGACTCGACTCGTTCAGGCTTGGAGTGTAAAAAGCTCAAGATGAGATGCGAGGTATTTCCAGGAGACAGAAAGTGCCGGCACTGTCTTCGCCGGAACGTCAGCTGCATCATTAAACGATCTTACGATGCCGATGTCGACACCGAGGATGATGTGACAAGAGCGCTTGAAGCGTACGAGTACGTGCGAAAGTCGTTGGACGGGTTCTTTCTCGGACCGCTGATACTGTATTACCTTCAAAAGGAAGATAGACTCGATGCGCTCGGAGATCGAGCAGATGAACAACAAACTTGATGCGGTTCTAGCAGAGACGGCTAGGCTCCAAGCTGAGTCCGCAGCAAACGGCCCCCGTCGACAGCTTCACGCACGGAGCCGGTATGAGGATCCCACAGCGCCTGTGTCCCACGAAGACCCTCCGTCTGTTCCGTCTCACCAATCTGTTGCTCAACATAGCGGTCCTCCGTCCGGAACACCGGGAAACATGACGAGTCCCGCCGGCATATCATGCAGAGAGGACAATACGCATATGGCCATGACACGGGAGAATTCGCCAGACCCGGTATCTCACGGTGACCCAAGCAATGGGTCCGTAACTGTTGAGGATCCAATGGGCAGTTTGTACGAGGTGACCAGGCTGCGCAATATCCGTAGCAACAAGTCGAAAATGACAAGGCCGCTTCCAGAAGGCCAAGGACAGCTCAACGACTTCATTTCCAGAGGGGTCATCGCTGAGGCAGAGGCTGAGGAGCTATATGAGATGTAGGTCTTATAGCTACAAGTACTAGACACAGCATCTGACAAACCGAGATAGATTCCATACGTCGTTGAACCACTATCTATGGGTCGGCCTCGAACAAACGCACCCATCTTTCATCTCAGTTCGACGGTCCTCCGAGCTTCTGACGGCGACAATCCTAGCCGTGACTGCCCTCCACATCCCGACCTCCGCAGCAGCAGCAACCTTCGACATATGCTACAAGGAATTCCTGTCTCTCATATCCTCTTCCATGTTCTCCCGATACCACTCGATAGATGACGTTCGAGGCCTTTGCATCGCTGCATTCTGGATGTCCGAGGTGTCATGGAAGCTGTCCGGACACGCCATCCGTATCGCTACGGAGTTGAACATTCATCAGTCCTTCACAGCAGCCTTGGACGGGAACAAAGAACACTTTCTGCGAGCTAGGCTGTGGTATATGTTATATGTATGCGATCACCACTTCAGCATCGCCTACGGACGCCCGCCGATGATTGCCGAGAGCATCCAGATTCGAGAACACGAGCTTTTCCTAGCCAGCCCATTTGCCAACGCCCTAGATGCGCGAATCCTAAGCCAGGTCAACCTCATGCAAATCCTCACGCGGGTGTACGACCGCTTCGCAGAGAGAAAGCTGCCGGCCCTCAACGAGATCAGGGGCAGGTTCGGGTCCGCCAGAGACCCGGTCACCGGATTGACAAGCGGCACCAACAGCTTCTCGCAGGGCAGACCAGACGCAGCCGACCAGTCTTCCAGCAACGACCCTTCCACCGCCATGCTGGTCGAGTCGGACTTTGAAGCCCTGCGCATGTTCAACCTGGAAATCGACCAGTGGCGCATGCGCTGGCACGCGCGCCAGACGCGAAACTTCTGCATCGGCAGCTTCCCCCCGCTCGGCATCATCCTCTACTCGTACTTTGCCAAACTCCAAATCAACTCGCTGGCTGTCCGCGGCGTCTCCCTCGCAGGTTCGTCGCAAGACCAGTTCCTCTCCACGGAACGCAAAGAGTTTGCGAACCTGGCTGTTTCTGCCGCCGTGAGCATCATCACGTTCGTCCTGGAGGAGGACGACATGCGCCGCGCGCTGGTTGGCACACCGCTGTATGTGCACACGATGATTGCGTTCGCGAGCGTGTTTTTGATGAAGGTCGCGACGCGGTGGAACTCGGTTATGGGCTTGAAGGTGGAAGAGGCGTACGTTGCGAGGCTTTTGGGCAGGATGATTGGGGTGCTGAAAAGCGCCGTCACGTCCGATCGTCATGTTTTGAAGCATATTGCAACGGGCCTGGAAAAGATGCTGGAGAAGATGGAAGAGTCGAGGCACCGGAGGCAGAACTCTGAGAATATGGGAGCAGCACGCGGGCAGATGGATGCGCCGGCGGGCATTGGCATGATGGGCAGCTTCGGCAACCAGCAATATGGAGTCGGCTGTGAAGTTAGCCCGAACGCGAGTAGAGGAGTTGACGCATTCTCGCGACCTGCGGTAGACGCGGGCGGGTTAATGGGTGCGCAGCTGAATACCCCGGCGACTTGGGGAGCTGGCGGGTTGGGGCAAACTCCTAACCAGCCTAGCCATCACTCTTACTTTGGCGACGGACTTAACCTGATGGATGATAACTTGATCTTTGAAGCGTTTGGAACGGGGTCCGCAAACGACGTGTACAACCTTCTATCTAGTCAATTCTCGTCTGGGTAGGGCCATGTTTCTCAGCGACACAGCCTGGAACATCAAGTCTGTCTACAAAGGTTGTGTTGGCTTTCTGGCTCTTCTACAACTACTGCCAGCACTGAAATCACTCTTCGTCAGCAGGATCGCTAGGCCAGAAGAACCAGGACAAGACAATAAAGAACTTCATCACCGCCGCAGTCCACAGCGCGCCCGCAATACCAACCGAGCTGTGCGCGAACAAGCCTCCGCAGATGGCCCCGATGAGCAGCAGCACAGGCGCGCCGACCCTGCGGTTCCGCTCCGCATTCCGCACCGAAAACAGCTCGGCGTCGGAGAACAGGTCGCAGTAGATGCTCGTCAGCACGACGCTGGTGAGGGCGTTGTACTTGAGCGCGCGGCTCGTGACGGCCTGGCCGCAGCTCTGGAAGGCGATGAAGGCGATGGGGACCAGCACGTTCCACGCGATCTCGTCCTTGCCGGCCGCCGGGCCGAAGGTCAGAATGAGGGCCGCGGCGGTGCACAGCAGCGTCTGCAGGATGAAGGACGCGCAGAGCACCCAGCGGCGCTTCGGGGAGAAGAAGCGGTGGAAGCGGCTGAAGACGAAGGAGCCAAGGCAGAAGGAGCCGAGCGAGGTGGCGGACTTGATCCAGCGGGTGGATTCGGTGGGGGCGGCGAGGCCGAGGCCGATGTAGACGGTGTTTCCTGGGTGTTTGTGTCAGTCGCAAACGCTTTGGGGCGAAACGGGAAACAGTTTTTTCTTGTCTGTTGCTGTGGGGGCCGTTGAGGAAACACGAGGAAAGAGGATGTACCTGTTTGCATTGAGACGAAAGAGCCCCAGATGGAGATGGAAGAGCTGTCGAGAAGACCGGTGATGATGTAGCATGCCAAGAGGACGAGATCGGCCCAGTCGCGCTGCACATCGGTGGTCAACTTCTTGCGAAGGGACTTTGTTGGCTTGCTGCTGCTGCCGCCGCCGCCGCCCAGCAGAGGCTGCTCCTCATCGGCATGGGCATGCGAGTCGCCGTTGACGACCGGCACCGAGTTGGTGACGGAGCCGTAGTTCCCGTTGGAGCTCATCTTGGATGCGGAAGAGTGGTGTGAAAGTCTTCCTCTCTCGCGGGTTGAGCAGTCCAATGACTGACTAGTGTGGAATCGGGAAAAGCAAGAGAAGCCGGGTTGTCTGCAGAGAAGACGCGCGATGTTAACAGACAGATATCGTCACTGGGCGAGCTATGACCTGATTAGGGGAGCCGTTACCCACTGTAAAGCTCTGACCGGGTGATGAAGTGTTGGCGTTATAAATAAAATAAGGCCGGATGTTACAAACGGACAAGACGGGACGCGCAATGTGCCAGTGCCGGTCTGCCGCGGTCCACACTGAGATTAGAGATCGCAGGGTCGTTCGCGAAATGTTTCCAGGTTTTCCAGCCTGGTTTATATGGGCCAGGGAGGATGCCGAGCAGGAAAAGGTGCGGATAGCAATGCCGAAGAAAAGCCAAGAGCTCACCCCGCCCTTGAGACGACGCTGGTGTCCCTTGGTGTTTTTGTGTGTTGTGTCTGCTTGATGAGGGGTGAAGGGTCAATGGGCACTAAAGATAGGAAATCAAGAGGGGGAAAGGTGCAATGGCATCCATTGGAGAAGAGCTCGAGGTACGGTTAACTGAGATTGGATGAGATGTGCAAAAGGGCTTGCTGCAGTGAAACCTTTGATCCCAGAGCCTGGCCGGGCCAGCTTCTTCTCCAGGATCTCCGACATATTCCCCGTCCAATTGCAGCGGGATGTGGTCCTTGGAGTTAAGCTCAATCCGCAGGAACCTGCGTCATGACCGCTGCAGAGTCCCCCTCGAGTGGATTCGCTCTAACATGTTTGCACGGATATTCCAGTGAGATGCAAGTGAGAAGCAGCAGTGAGAAGACAGCAAGCAGGCATTGAGAAGCGCTGGGGCTAATCCGATTAGAGTGCATCGGCAACTGATGTCCCTCCCCTTCACCCCTCTCGCTCCCGTCACTCTCCCCCCTGCCACTGCTTGTCACTAAAGAAAGACGAGCTGAGTGGTTCGCCGTGGTTCATCCCCGCACGATGAGCGCTCGCCCTATGCCGCGTTTCACTCTCTTGCGGGGATGGCAGCTCAGCTCCGCCAGGTTACGGCCTCTTGTAAACAGAGCGAGTCTAGTCAAGCTAGAGGTGTAAGAGCACGTCGCAGTGTGCCTCGAAGCTACTACCTTGCCATGCTGCTGTAGCTGCGGGGGAGCTCCGGATTGGAAGCTCGGGGGTTCGGCATGTGCGATGGATGAATTGGATTGGTGTGTGTGGTGTAGCAGACGGATATGCATGGTATGTGGGAGACAGACAGAAGAGTGTGTGTCGACCTGCAGCGATGGGCAGCCGAGGTGATGCGCCGATGACTACGAGCTCTGCCTTGCCCTTTGTAAGCTCTGTGTTTACGTACCACATCTTTCCACGGCCTGCGACAATGGGTAAGGCCGAGGAAGAGGTCATGGCAAGGTTCCTGGACTGGCATGACATGACATGATTTCAGGAGAGGAGGGATGACGAGATCAGAGGAGGTATAAAATCTGCCTGTCTTCCCACGATCACAGGCTCAATTGCGCGAACCCTTTCTGCATTCGCACTCTCTCTTTTCTCCTCTGTCTCCTCCAAAGGTTGACAGCTTCTCCATCACGTCTGCTTCCCTGCCTTGAAGCTCATTTTTGGCAGCGATCAAGCGTCACATCAAGCCCCCCTCACACCCCGTCAACCCATCAGCGCCCAGCCATGCAGCTCACCCAACCCACGGCAGCCAAGCTGCTGCTCCTCTGGGCGTCCGTCGCGACGGCGATGCCGCACTTTGACAGCCCGCGCGAGCGCCTGCTCCGGGGCATGGAGATCCCCGCGAGCTACCGCAAGAAGAGCGCCTTCACAGACGAGTCGAACGCGAAGAACCCGTACACCCCGGGCTTTCGGGACCCCAACGACGGCGCCGTCGACTCGGTCGGCGACGGGCTCGACCCGCTCCCGTACCGCAACGGGCTGGGCTCGTCGGTCCTGGGGCCGTGGAACAAGGAGCGCTCGCGCCAGAACCCGGACCTGGTGCGCCCGCCGTCGACGGACCACGGGAACATGCCCAACATGCGCTGGAGCTTTGCGGATTCGCACATTAGGATCGAGGTGAGTTGCGACACGCTAATTCGCTCTTGAAGGGCTTCAATTGAGCTCCGGGGAAGCATGCGCAACTGACACAGTTACTCTGCAACAGGAGGGCGGCTGGACGCGCCAGACAACCGTCCGCGAGCTGTCTACCAGCGTCGAGCTCGCCGGCGTGAACATGCGCCTCGGCGAGGGCGTCATCCGCGAATTGCACTGGCACAAGGAGGCCGAGTGGGCGTATGTCCTGGACGGCGAGGTCCGCGTCACGGCGCTTGACTACGAGGGCGGCAACTTCATCGCAGACGTCGGCAAAGGCGATCTGTGGTATTTCCCGAGTGGTGTTCCTCACTCGCTGCAGGGATTGAGCCCCAACGGCACCGAGTTCCTCCTCATCTTTGACGACGGCAGGTTCTCTGAGGAGTCTACCTTTATTCTCTCTGACTGGCTTGGTGAGTGTTTCTTGCGGATGTTTTCTTTACCCTGGCCCGTCAGAGGCTTGTACATCCAAACGTCGCTCTACAATGGCTTTGGTCACCAAACACCATGGAGAGCAACGAACCAACACCGTGAATGAAGCCCAACTAACACGCACCTCGCAGCCCACACCCCCAAATCCGTCATCGCCGAAAACTTCCACCTCGACCCCGAGATCTTTAAGCACATCCCCGAGGGCGAGAAGTACATCTTCCAAGGCACCCTCCCCGGCCCCATCGAAGACGAGCGGCCGACCGGCAAGCACGCCAAAAAGTCAAAGTACAACTTCGTGCACTCGATGCTCGCGCAGGAGCCTGAAATCACTTCCGGCGGTGAAGTGCGCATCACCGACTCCAAGAACTTCCCCATCTCCAAGACCGTCGCCGCCGCGCACCTCACGATCCAGCCGGGCGCGCTGCGCGAGATGCACTGGCACCCCAACGCCGACGAGTGGTCCTTCTTCATCAAGGGCCGCGCGCGCGTCACCATCTTCGCGGCCGAGGGCACCGCGCGCACGTTCGACTACGTCCCCGGCGACGTTGGCATCGTGCCCAAGAACATGGGCCACTTTGTCGAGAATATCGGCGACGAGCCGATTGAGATGCTCGAGATCTTTAGGGCGGATGAGTTCCGCGATTTCTCCCTCTTCCAGTGGATGGGCGAGACGCCTAAGAAGCTTGTGATTGATCACCTGTTTAAGGGTGACAAGGAGAATGGCGAGAAGTTCTGGAATGAGGTGAAGGAGGCGCAGAAAGATCCCGTGACCAAGTACCAAAAGACAGATGTCAAGGCTGGTGGTTCAGTTCTCGACGGGGCTTCTGATGAGTTGTAGAGGAAAAGGAAGGGTGTCTTGAAATTGTATAGTACCCGCTTGTTCACAATCAAGAAAGCATGTTATCCACGTTGAACCCAGTCGCAACGATCATTTTCATACCAATCCAACTCTCACTTCATTGCGCCCTCAATGTAAGCCTCGAACATATCAAGTCACACTAGTGTACAATTCCACCGATTCCCACAACCAACACCTCGCTCAGTTCAACTCGTGGTTTGCCTTGATCGCCTTCGACTTTCCAGTATCCAATACCACAGCCGGGTCGTCGGGGTTACCGTCGCGCGACACCTCGTTTCCGTTTTTCGTCTCGATGGTAGTCCTGATCATGCCATGTTAGCCATCGCCCTGCAACAATCTTTGGAATCCGCAACTTACTTCTCCTCCTTGACATCGAGGACTTTGCCCTCCGGGTTGCCATTGCCCCATTGCCAGCTGACCTTGTCGCCCTTCTTGGGCCCCTTCTTGGTCTTCTTGCTGCTGCCGTTCTCTTTATCGTCTCCCTCCTCCTCGTCATCCTCCATCTCTTCGTCGCCATCATCCTCCTCTTCCTCCTCCTTCTCATCCTCTCCGTCCTCCCCTTTCTTGGTGGTCTTGCCCTCGCCTTGGCGGGTCTGTCGCTTCTTATTGGATCCATTCTCCTCGCCCGACTTCTTTCGCTTGTCGCCAGTCTTCTCTTCATCAGCCTCCTCCTCTTCCTCCTCTTGGCCCTCGTCAACCTTCTCAACCTCCTCCTCGGCCTCTTCCTCGTCGTCTTCCTTCTTGCTGCCATTCTTCTCCTTCTTGGACCCGTTGGACTCGGCCTTCTCCTCGTCACCGTTTTTGCTCTTCGCAGACTTGCCATTCTGCTCGCCGCCCTCCTTGCCCTGGGCCTTGAGGAAGTCGTGGCCCCAGTTCTTCAGTGACGCGTACGACTTGGTCTTCTTCACCTCCTCGGGCGACTTTTCGCTATTGCCTTTGGCCTCTTGGGCGAGGTGGCGCTTGCTAAACCTTCCGTTAGCCATCCACTACACCATCAAGACCGCCGAGCGGCACTCACCAATACGCGACGACCTTGCGCATGTGCTCAACCTGTTCATCCGTGTACTCATCCTCCTTCTTGTCCGGGTTGGCCTTCAGGATCTCCACAATGTTGCGACCGCTGTCATGCCCGACAGTCTCCCCATCGCCCTCGGCATCGTCCTTGGGCCAACCCGCACTGTTCGAGTCTCCCGACTTGAGCCATGACTCCAGCTCCTCGGCCGTCATGTTGACGTACTCGTTGAACTCGGAGATGACCTCTTCCTTGCCCTTCATTTTGGCGGTATGTGTATGAATGTAACGTTTCGGAGGTGATATCGATAATTAGTTGTTTTGTTGCAATTTGCAGCAGGGCGCAGAGTCACAGTAGCAATCAGTAATGGAACGAACAAGCCGGCTCCTTGCGGGGGAGCGGGTGGGAGGGCGCAAGAGCTATTTGAACCAAACTCAATTGACTCCCACGCCTTCTTTTCCTCCCCTTTCCTGCCTTTGTGTCACCCTGACGCTTTCCGACACACCAGCCTCCTCCTCCTGGTCTTGAGACGGTCCACAGATGCGTTCACACATGGGGCCCTTCTTTCGCCGTTCGCGGCCAATTCGTCATGGTGTCTCGTGTGGAATGGTGTCGTCATAGAAACACGATCGATGCCCCTTGCATAAGTGGCTGCGCTGGGTCGCACTGGTGCAACAGCCCTTCGACAAAAGAAGAACGAAGCTTATTTTAGGCGGAAAGTTGGAGGAGGGGGAAAAGTCAAAAAAGCAATGAGGAAGAAAAGCTCAGCTCTGAGCTTGCTTTTCCCCTCATGTCCATTGGCCAATTAGAACCCGATGAACATGGGAGAGCTCTGTGAGCTTTCGATTGCTTGCTTCAGCTACGAGGTCTGAGCTCTACGGTCAAGTGTCACGCCTGCTGTCATCGATTGCCCTGTTCGGATGCGGCGTCAGTGTCACGGCAACTTTCAATCTTTGTCTCGGCGCTCGTTCACTGGGGAAAATGCTGTATTGGGTATAGAACATGTCTAGATGCCGCTCATGCTGCGGGCTTGGGCCTCTCTGGGGTTTGCATGTCTCACGTCAAATTATCCCGACATGTTCAAGCGCCAGACACGGATTCCTCATGTACCCCAGATTATTCTTCCCCATTGCTGCCCGTTACCGTCGTTTGCTCCATGTCTCAGGTGAACAGGCAACCGGTCTGGTCGGTCTTGACAACGTTGTCCAGGTTGGAGCCGAGTTGTCCGGCACGCGCAATCCAGGTCTGGCCGAAGGGTCGTGGTGGTTAGTATGTGTTTCTCTGGGCGAGGGTTGGCGGTGGTGTTGCAGCAACTTACATCGAGGACCTCGTCGGCGGGGTTCTGCTCGCGGCTGAGCACGAACAAGGTGCTGAAGTTGTAGGCTTGCACAACAGCGAAGTCAGGGGTGTAATCTACACGGCATGGTCAGTTGATCTGCGCACAACAACCGGTTGAAGCGAGGTTATTCGCTCACCTTGGACGATGTAATTCGGGCCCGCGCAGCTGGGCGCCGGTTGACCGGGGAATTGCACGCGGAGCACGCCCTTGGCGCCGTACGACGGATCGGCGGGCGCGGCGGTTCCAAGAATGTTGACCGGGGTGGTGTCGGCCTGGCAGGTGTTGTTTACCAGCACGGTGCCGTTGTCCTGGGGGCGAAGTCAGCGGTGATCCTCGTATCGCATCGTACGAGAGATTAAAGGAGTTCCTCGCGTCTCGGGCACGGGAACTTACGTTGAGAGAGTACTGCGCAAAAATGCACTTGCACCCGGCCGTGAAGGGCGCGACGGTTCCGGCGACCTGGTACCAGCGGCCGAGATAGCTCTCGAGATCGAACGCGGAGTCCGGCGTGGGGTAGTAGCATTCCCCGTCCCAGACGGCGGGCACGACGTTCGGGATCGTCGGCTCAGAGGTGCCGTTGGTCGTCGCGGCCGCCGTTGCGACAGCGGCGCATGAGAGGAGGGTGGGCAGGGTTGAGGGCCGCATGGTGGAAGTCTGACAACTCGTTTTCTTACAGTAGAACAAGTCTGATAACTTTCGGCGGCACGTATCACGTCACGTCGCAAAGAGCTGGTGTTCGTCTCAATTGAGCTTGAAGAGCAAGGGAGAGCAAACAATGACATTGCCGTTCATCCCATCATTCCCTTTTAACTACTTGACCACGACAGGCCTCCATCGTGGAATCGTCCCATGGCGGTGTTGCTCTGTGTAATGATGAACACGCCAATGCTTGTCCTCGCAGAAGTCAAGTGTCCGAGGTCCGAAGCCAGCAAAGCACCTTTTGGCTGTCCAAATACTCTCAAAATCATGAGAGCCCGCCGTCGCCCTGCAAAATGGTGACGACATTGATGCCTCTTTGGGCTACGAACTCGCTGTACGCCAAGTCGGTAGGGTGCGTGGCCCTGGGGCGATGTGGTGCTGTGGTTCCTGAGCGTCCATTCAGCAGCTGTTGGGAACTTTGGTAAAATGACAGCCCCTGGCGGTCCCTGTTTTTAGTGGGCTTTTTGGCTGAAAGTCCCGCGTCGATCGTCATGGCCGTGTTACTGCGGTGCCGCTTCTCCGCACCTTGGGGGCTTGCCAATCGGCGATTTCAGCTTTGGATCTGAGATGGGGGTTGGTAAATAGAGGCAGGGTCTAGCCAGTGCCGAGCCTGTTGTCTAGTTGCAATTCTGTCTTCGTTGAGAGGTGCAATTGACACCGCATTCTCAGAGACGGCGAACTCGTTTAGACCTACAGCAGTGAACACTACAATCCCATCTGCCAGGGCCCTATTCCTGACAAAAGGCTGATGATCCAACAGGGGCCGGGACTATATTCAACACGAAGTCGGTGGAAATATTAACAATATAAATCGCCCTAAACATAGCACTCATCGTGCAGCGACTTGATAGGCTGTAGGAATTCCGGGCTGCTTCGATTGGAATGCAATCAGACTTAGCAAAATCTGCGAGCTCATTACTGCTAGCGAAAACCGGAACTAGACGCCTACAAGCTTTTTACTGCCTTTCGTGCCATATATGGCGAGCTCTTAAGCCCGCTTTCCATGGCGCTTCGTCATATGTTTATCTGCCTCGCCGATGAGAATATCGTTGAGTTCCCCAAAAGATATCTACATAGATCTCCATCAAAGGCCCTGTTCCAGACTCTAGCGTAATGTGCTTTATGATCTTAAGATCATTACTCGGCAATTCTTTTGAAGGTGCGTTCCGCATCGATTCGGTAGAATCCTCACTGTGCATGCCGACTCTCCCGCGAACAATAGGGAGAAATTGTAAAGTAAAGTTCTGTCGATTTTTTGCCTCGGCGATGGATCTGACTGATACGTTCGGATTACGAGTGCCAATGCCTAGTGACCCGGACGCCTGCCATGGGGTGGTGCTGTCCCATGTCTTCTGACTTGTGGCGACGCCCGTGTGTCTGATATATGGAATTGACGGCGCCTCTCACGTCGAGAGGCTCCTAGGCGTCTTTACACTGCAATCCATGGAACCTCTGCTCAACTGCTGTGAACAGATTATTCTCATGGTCCCGGACGTCAACTAACACATCCAGGAGAGATGGACCTTTTGGCTGGGCTGGCTGAGGCAGAAGGGCGTGTTGGTTCACAAAAGAAAAAGCATTATTCAACATGTCAGTAGGCCAAGGGTGTTAGCAGGGAAAAGAAGGTTTGGCATTTTATCTGCCCTTAGCGAGTTGAGAAGACAGCCGCATCATGTCAACACACAGAACCCTCTCATATCATCCTAAGCCCGCAAATTTGTCCGTTGCCATCCGCAATGCCATGCCAGACATGTCCAGTCTACGGTCGAGAGTACGCAGGCAACGCTGCCTACCAACTAAGAAATAGGATCTTACGTCCGTGGACCCTGGACCAGCTTGCGTTTCGGGGCGTTTTCCCAGTTGCAAACCCCTTTCTCCCACTCAACCCAGAAATCAAGGTCCTTTTAAACGACCAAGCAAATCTTTCCCGCTGACGAGGACCTTGCGAGGTTATTTCCACACCAGTCACACCCCGAGGTCAGCCACCTCACAGGTAGATTCGGTTGATTCACTGGAATTGCCGGTGCTCACAATATTGTCTTTATCTTACCTATCCTTCAATTAGATATCAAACTTTCGCGACGTAAAGTACAAGGCCACCAAAGTTTCCTATCCTGGCGAAAATGGCCTTGGAAAGTATCCCAGTCCGAATGGGGAGCCCAAGTCTCACAGCCCATCCACTATATTGAATTCTAAACGTCAAAGTCGGGTTATGTTTCTCGGGTCATGATATTACAGATGCATGCCAACTCAAAGAAGGTCGAGGTCATGCCTTAGATCGCAGCTGCTTAGCTTTCCATGTCATGTATTTTACTAGCTTGTGAGACCGGATAAGAAGAGCCTTCTGAAGTTGATTCTGGAGCCAGAATACAGGAGAGACTTATGGCCGTAGGACAGGGCATGCGCTCTTAGTTTAGGGGAAGCTATACGGATAGGATGCATTAGACAACCTACTTTCAAGGACGTACCGCATCTCCGTGGTCCACCATCTCAAACTCTTTCGCAACTTGGACAACCTCCCGAGCTCACATGTGCCCCCTTGACCCCTAGTTTACTACACGTCGCCTCCACTGCAAACTCTTACGAAATCCGCAGCAGCACTGCAGGACAGATTCCTTGAAAGGGCAGCTACTAATCATAGAGACCATATCGGCAGGAATTCAGAGTCTTTACAAGTACTCACCTGCGAATGTTAACCATTCTAGCGCTCATGTTTGGCTCTCGCGGTCGATGCATCTCTCACTGAATGTGACTCCGGCAATAGAAACTCAGTCCATTCCCTAGGTTCGATCATACTAGGGCGTGGTGGCCGACGAATCAACAAACACACATAAGATAGTAGAATCCAGTTATGCGGTTATTTGAACAACCGTCGTCGTGAATTGACAATCATGTACTGGATGTTGATGTAAGTGCGTTCTTCCTTCCGAGACTCAGCCGTGAGCTCGGCCGCAATTGTGGGGCCGCCCCGAAATCCCGGGGGATAAGGATACCCGCAAACAGCGACCTGCATTTCCGAAGCCGTATCTGCTGTCAAGCTTGGCACTCGTTAGCCGGAAACGTGCCCTGTGTTGGTGCGTCCAAAAATGCCGCTACCCAATACTTAACAATCTCAACCTCAACCACGAACCTATCATAGGAGTCAGTCCTGACTGACCCAGCAGGCCGATTTGAGAACCACAAAGATGTCGGAGGATATCCAAGGCCCCGGCCTCCTTTTCGTCAACTCCAAGATCATTCGTCCGGATCTCATAGACGAGGAGTCGTTCTTCAAGTGGTACGATGAAGACCACATTGCAGAGATTCTCGCAACGAGCGGTATCCAGTCCGCCTTTCGCTTCTTCGACGTCAACATCGGTAGTGTCGATCGGCCGTATCTGGCCATGTACCCGATGAAAGATGTTGGATTCACGCAAACCGAGGAGTTCCGCAATATCAATGTCTCCAGCGACATGCTTCCGAACGGCGGCCCCATCTACGACCTGGCAGACTTTGACGTACGGTACTACAAATTGGTCCAGGTCTTTGATCCTACGAGAAAGGGCAAGGGTAAGTAGCCCACGCTCACTCATGTAAGTTGCCTAGCTGAGAATTTCAGGTATCGTGAAAACGATCATAGCAGCTCAGTACGAGCTGGGAGAGCTCACCGAAGATGAGTTTGACAGCTGGTACAGGCAAGAGGTGAGTTGACATACGTAGTCAATGAGGTAACATTGCTGATAATGCACGAATGAAGCATCTTGATCAGTTGGCCGCTGTGCCAGGATATCTACGAACAACCAGGTTCAAGCTCGCCTTTGCTCGGTCCAACGCGCAGTCCCGCGCGTTGAAAGGCTTGTCCACGAATGACGAGCCACCCCCGCAACCGCCAAAGTGGCTGGCAGTTCACGAATTTGAGTCTGAAGAAGTAGACCTGGTGTCACTCAGACAGCTGACTGATACGGAGTGGACTCGTAAGATCAACAGTGTTTCGAAAACGCGCGTATTTCCAGTGTTCAACATCGCCAAGGCTCATGGCACAGGTTACTGGTTTCATGATGTCGCTGAATAGAAACTCGGGCTGATGTGCTTTTTATCGTGTGTTTTAGAGGATACCTAGTTGTGGCAAGTTTTCATTACGCAATGTCCTTGCTTTGAACAATGGTGCCAAATGCGTCCCCAATCTCACTCAAGGCGACCTTGGTAAGCTGGGCGGCATCAACCCCGGGAATGTCACGATCACCAACCGCATCCTCCGCCACGAGAACATCAAAGCCGCGCTGAGCAGCTTGCCTCGCCGTTGTGGAAACACATACATGCGCCTATAAATCTGATTAGCCGCCCATTCCTCTCACTACTCTCCTCATCAAACTCACCATGTATCCCGTCAACACAATCTTCTTCCCCTGCTCCCCCTTCCCTTCAAGGTGCTCCTGCAAATCCGTCCCGGCAAACGACCCAGGAAAGTTCTTGTGCACGATCTTCTCCCCATCTTTGGGCGCGAGCTCCTCAAACTCCTCTGAAAGCCGCGTACCGGGCGTGAAGACGGGTGCGCCCGCCGGCGTGTCGTGGACGACGTGCACGATGCTGCCGCCCGCGCTGCGGTACTTTTGCAACAGGGAGGCGATGGCTCTGCGGGAGGACTCGACGTCGGACACGGCGAGCTTACCTTCGGCGTACTCGTTTTGGGCGTCGATGATGACGAGGGTGCTGTCGGTGGGCGTGGCCGTCGAGGGCGGGGCGCCGATGATTTGGCGGAACGAAGTTGCTGAGGCCATTGCGCGTGCTGTGTGTTCGAGCGGCTGTGATTGACTGGTACGAAATCAAGATATTAGGATCAGTAAGCTTATTTTTACAGATGAAACAATATTCAATCACTGAGAATTGTGAGATATTGGATCATTCTGCGGGAGGGGATCTCCGCACTTTGGTCATCGAATCCCCCGCATTTGTCATCGATCCCGTCATCGAACCCCGGTGAGTGGAATGAGACAAAGACGCCCCGCCCCGATTCCGAAGGCTTGTGCCGAGGGCCAAGGAACTTGACTCTCTTCAATCGGGGCCCGAGAACACCGGAGCCGGAGTGAGGATCTCCGGATACATGTGACACGGTGCCGTTCGACGATGAACGTTCGGCAACATAATGATTACGACATGGTCGATACCAGTCTTTGAGCTGAGAGCAGTCGTCAGAGCTGGACGCGCCAATTCTTCCTGCCGTCCATATCCAGAGCCTGTTGCTAACGTAGAACATTTCGAAACGGACGACAGAAGAAAAAAAAAAAAAGCTAGAACCAGAGGTCACTGTAATTCTTAACAGACGAAAACCACATTGCAGTATTTCAATGTCATCGGAATTCTAGAACACTTGCACCGTTATGCAACTTAATTCTCAAAGGGCGTTGTGTGCTCGCCTTGCCAGGGATACGACGCCTAAAATAGAATATTGCGACTGTAAGCTCAGGGCATCACCTGCATTGGCAGCCAAACAGCCCAAAGTAGCGGTTTACACCATACATAGGCCGTGACAGAAGCCTCTTCAATGTCTAAGACTTCTTCCTCCTTCAGTAAGGTAGTTATTACACGTCCGCATCTGCACGCGCAATTTTTCAAATAACTTTCGCAACTCCGACACAAGAAACAATGGCAGACCCCTGTCATAACTTTGGCAACGGCGACCTTTACGGCATTGGCGACTGTATCTTCAATAGTTTGCGGGACTGTTGCTACGAAACCGTCACAGCTCCTGGCAAACGATCTCCAACAGTTCGGGCTGTTGCTTCAGAATTTGCTCTTCGCAACCCTAGGCCTCATTCGACCTGCACAACTCGCACTGAAACACGTTTGCTGCGACAATGTCAATCCTCGTTGGTGCCATCTTTACGTTTTTCTTCTTTGGGTATCTTTACATATTCTGTACCGGGGAGGTTCGGAGCGAACCCCTCTGCGGTGTCGCGGGCCTGCTGGCTCTAGTGTGCAGCCGACATGCACTGATGGGCCAAATCCACGACGAGTCGACAGGTCTCAGGACCTTGAAATGTTGCTGAGGCCCGGTTGGTATGGTAAAGGCCGGGATTTCATTACACTTAGAACTCTAGTTGAGGGCCTTTTCGTCTCTTTTTCACCTCTTCATCATTAATTTCGCAGGTCTGATTGTTGCGATAGCGTATGTTGAGACTATGATTAGAGATAATCACATATTGACAGATGGGATTTTCGACTGTTAATATGTGATCTTCGAGTCTACGGGCCAGATGATTACATTGACTACTAGAATTTCAAGCCTATGCCTGGCCTGCTGGGAGATAGGGTCAACATGAAGAGAACCCAGAATATCAGCGAAACAAATTTCGGCTCACATGCAATATAGCTCAGCACAGCCTATCAGGGGTCAGGAACTTCGAAAACTTCAGGCACATCTGGCGCAATAACAAGAGTCTCAAACGATAAACTAGTTGTCAAATGCACCGGCTGCCTCGTGTATCAAATGGATTCCATGGATGAAGAATGAATCGCGCCACCTGAATTTCGAATGGGAGCAAATTTGGTCGCTTCTGTAGGTATTTTAGTCCACCGAGACCGCGATCAACCCACAATCCTACGAACTGACAGATAGTCAACTTAGAATGATGTTGAACAAGGTACCCAAACCTGCTTCTTAGACCTGCAGTATGTGCGATCCGACAACTCACATCTTTCCTCCTCCTTCCTGCGCTACGGCCTCCCGCAACTGCCTGTCAACTCTGTCGAGAACCAAATTGTGCACTTTTTCGAGCTCGTCCGCTCTCGCCACATCACCCTCTGCCATCACACATCGCCACAGCGAGCTGGCGGCCAGCTTCGTCTTCGGATGATCTGAACCCAATGTGTCGTTGGCGCTTTTCAACAGGTTCTCGCCTTTTGAGTGGGCCTCTTCTAGCTGCCCGTTTAATCTCAAGGCTCGTACCAGTCGTATCTCAGAAGACAGCGTCTCGGGGTGATCTGGCCCGAGGACCTCTTTGCGAGCATCACAGACTTCTTGCTGCATTGGGATAGCCCTTTCTGCCATTCCGAGCTTAGCGAGAGTCATCGAAAGACCTTGCTTTAGCTCGAGTAGCTTCGCATCGCGCGGGTTCAAGATTGTGAGACATGCCGACAGAGCTTCCTCCTCTAATATCCTCGTCGCCTCAAGATGTCCCATCTGGTACTCGATGGAGGCAAGTATGGAGATCGCGGAAACTACGTCTTTTGTAGAGGAACATGCTGTTTGCCGCGTAAGTTCTAATCCACGGCGAGCGAGTCCCAATGCTGCCTTATGAAGCTCAGAAACCTTGGTAGGATCCGAAGACTTATACGCGACGTCTCGTTTCGTAAGGGCAAGATCGAGATGAAGAATGGCGACTTCAATGTCACAGGCAAACAGAGATGGCCCTCCTATTAATCTCTCTTGTACGATAGCAGCCTCGGCGAGGTTGCCCCTATCGTAGAGTGTCCTTGCCAGCTGGCGTAGAGCCGACCGGTGCTGTCGACTTTCGATGTCTGTTGCTAATGCGATCGTGCGCTGCAGCGTCTCTGCCGTGTCATACTTCTCATCCGCCGCAAAGAAGTTGGCAAACTTCAGATAGTCAGGCGCCCAGTCGGTCTTACTTGCAGGATTTTCTGGCAAAAGCTTCTGGCAGTTGTCATAAGACGCATTCACATGCGGCCGCAGAAACTGGTGGTTAGGGGAAAAGCCTTCAAATGTCGGATAACGAGGCCCGTAGTTGTCGAGAGAGCAGCTGATAACAGCTAGTGCTAGCGTTGCCTGTGCCTGACACTCTTCTTCTGTTTGACGATACTGGATCCAGTCTCGAAGTACAGGATGAAGACGCCACTCAATCCCGTCCTTGTTGACGGTGCCGTAGTCTCGGAGCAAGCACAGCCTACCCATCTCGTTCACCGACTCTTCGAAAACGTAAGAGCTGAAAGAATCTTTTCCGTCAGTGAAGTCTTTCAACCACGCTGGTCGACTCTGAGTTTTCTCGAAATAAGCCAAGAATAACGTCTTCGTAATCGCCGCCGGGCCGAGAAATCCGCACAGCATCAGCAACTGAATCTTCGAGGCCTTGGAAACAGGCGTGTCAGAGAGTATGTCTAGCGATAGCTCCCATGTTGTTGCAACACTTAGGGGGATCGGCGTTCCATCAGTGGACTGTGGATCTGCTCGTAGGTACCTCCAGACCTTTGGCACTGCTGATTGTACCTGTCTCTGCTCTCTATCGTAAAGATCCAGGAAGTAACCTATGTCCATGTTTCTCTCCCGGATATAAGCACTCGCTTGCGCCACTGCTAGAGCTAAGCAATCGAGTCGTCGCACAAGTAGACTGGCCTTTTCTTGTGATGAGTTGGTTTGCAATGAGGACTGTTTTCCAAGGAGCAGGTTAACAGCCTCTTCTTCCGACATGTTTCCAATTGGGATCGAGTAACCAAGTTCTTGGGAGCCTTTATCTCGACTAGTGACCATGACGAAGGTACGACCCTGAACTGGCAGATAGTCCTCGACCCTGTAGGCATCCAAGTTGTCACAGTTATCTAATACAACCATCCATGGACTGTTGGTTTGATAAATGCTTCGAAATACGGCCGCTCTGGTCTGCTCGACATCTAAGCTTTGGAAGTCTTCTGATACGTGTGTTTTTGCGGCAGATAGTAGGCTCCTGTCTACTGTGGCAGCCGATGTTCCATCAATCCACAAAACACCGGCGAAGAAACTGGTTCTTGCCTGCCGACAGTAGTGCAACGCTAGTTGGGTCTTTCCAGCACCTGCTGTTCCGTAGAGAACTAAGACATGGGACTGATTGGATCGGCGAAAGGATTCGAGATGATAATCGACGGTCTTGATCTCTGCTCTTTCTACAAAGTTCGAATTGTCTGCTGGATGATCCGGAAAGACGTGATTGTTCCGTGCATGGTCGGCCTGAACGAGTGGATACTCAGACGAAAGCTATTGAGTTCAATCACCATCCATCAGAGATACACGCGGAATGGGCATTACTCACGCTTCCGAGAGGTAGAACCTCACTAGAATGGCCTCTCAATGCGTCCACAATCCCATCAATTTGGCGGCTTATGGTCTTGTTCCGTAACCAGCCTGCCGTCGACGCCTCAACTTGTCCCAAGAGAGCCCATTCATCTAGCCCGACGTCCCCAACCTCTGGGCCAGCATTTAAACGATAGTACAGTCGATCATAATTTCTGAAACGTTCTGACATGCGATCCGCGGCCTCGTTACTGTCTGTCGCCATTTTCGCGAGGACGCCGATCAGGTCCTTAGGGATCAACCTTTGATATCCCCGCGGCCTACCAAAGGTTCCAGCACGGCGCATACCCGTGCCAATGCTGAGAATACAACCGACATCTCTGTTAGCTTCAAACTCATTCAGAGCCTCCTCAATGACCTGCTGTATTGGGTTGTTACAGCCTAGTGCGCCATCCACAAACTCTAGCTGGCGCAGTTGCTCGCCTATGAAGATTCTCTTGAAGAGTTGAGGAGCGGCAGACGTCGCACGCGCTGCTTCCCAGATCTTGCAATTGAAGCCTGGGTCCTTTGCGGCGGACCAGTTTCGAAATTTCGTTGGGTTCTTGTCGATGTGATGAGCCTCTACTGCGCATACAAAACTTCATGAATGTTAGGCCAGAGGGAAGGCTTCATAAGTAAGCACTCCAAGGCTGGGTACTTAGTTATAGACTCACCTTTTACATCGGCCATCGTGTTCATTCTCATACATCAAGTCGTCACCATGCCCCTGCCCTAGCGTGTCCTCGATGGCTTTTTTGACAGACCGTTCTAAGTTAGTGGCTTTGAAACGGCCATCCTGCCATGCAGCCTTTGGTTTGCTAAACACGTCACTGGCTATTCGACAGTACAACGTGATGGCATTGTCGATTGTGAGCCTCAATCTGCCGAGCAAGAGTGCTATAAGCCTTTACTGTCAGGGTTAGTTTGGTCATCTGAATAAAGCTGCTTAGATAAATGCCTGCCCTCCTGTGCTTGTTCCTCCTATAAGATGAAAGACCTCGGCAGGTGGAATGGGCTCCGAAACGTTGCAAGCTCTTTGGAGCCTATGCATAATTTCTTTGATTATCAAGAGCTCCGAAAGGCCTTCGTAAGTACCAAAGGTTAGGGATAGGGCCGCAATGCGCTGCAAACGGCCTTCCAACATTACCTCGAATTCCACCTCCATCTAATTGCCGGGGACACAACTTAGCGTTCCGCAGAAACATTTCGCAGAGCTATGTGGCTTACCTAGCGACAGCAGACATAACGGACGGTGGTCCTTAGGAGGTAGATTGAATGGTGACATCGTCTTTTGTCGTGCACTTCGAGATGACGGCAGTTGGATGATTTCACAGAGAGCCTGAAGCTCTGTGATTTGTTAGAAACAAAGCAAGACGACTGCAGAATAAGTGTGCGGTAACGTCACATAGCCTGATCTTTGGAGGTGCTTGACCTACCTTACCAAAAGGTGCTCCTGCGATTGCTGGCAGATTCTTCCGTCGCGGGCTTCGTTGGGAAAGTGTTTGTCAAGTAGGTAGATATACAACTCTACTAGAATTTAATTACGTCGGCGGACCTTCATGAACGCCCCGTAAGCACTAGTGGAGAGTTGCATCATCATAATGTGCACTTATTAGCTCACCCTCCCACCATAACAAAAGTACCCCGACTACCTCGGCGGTGGATCTGGCAAGGCTCCAGACGTCTGCAACCTATCGTCAAGTGCAGGATTCAACGCCCATTATCCTGGAAAACAAGTGAGAAGTCTATATAAACTCATGCTATTCCCGTGAAAGTAAGTCTGCACTCACTTACAATATCCCCTATCCATCAACACATACCAAGTCGTTTCCAGCAAGATCCCTAGATTAACTTCCAATACTTCCCAACCGTAATCATCTCTACCAGCTAAGCTCTTGAGTACTACAGTATGCTAATTTTCATAAGATGCCCAGCGGATATTCCGACAAGCACATCGCGGAGGGAGGAGTGGGGTCTGGCGGAACTAGCGGAAATGGTGACTGGGATGTTTCTAGCTCGCAAGCCGTTCACAGCGGGACATCGGCCGATAAGGGTACCAAGAACAGTCACCCCAACAGAAGGGATAGCACAACCACTTGGGCTGGCTCAGATTCTAAAGGACCGTCGGGCTCTTTTCATCAGTACCAGAACAGTCAACCAAAGTTCGACGCCAGTCACTCCCCAGACACTGGTTACAGTTCGAACTCCAGCCACACAGCGCTGATGAATCAGATCAAGTCAAAGGCTACCCGTTAGTCACTTCTGGCTGGAAGCAAGAAGTGGAACGACTACATGTCAAGAAACTGTCAACTTAGTTTGCCTCTTTAAACACAGTTTGAATGAAAGTAACCATGCTATTCTCTTCCTTTGAATTTTGAAAAGGAAACACTTGAGATATTCCAGTGCCCATTTTCAGCCCTAGTTTGGTAAAAGTGCTGGCCCATTTACAGAGAAACTCCAAGCTCGACGGCACAGCGCTGGGTAAAATGAGCTTGGCTGCTTCACTAGCAGTACCATCTATACACCTGCAGTGTCTTCAGTATGGGAATACACTGCATGAAAACGCCCTTCAAACTATGCAATTAGGCTTCTGGATAAGACAGCTGTGCGCAAAATCATCCTAGGTGCGTGGCCGAGCCATCTGTTACCCAACCGCATCCCGAGAATTAGCGAAGTGTTGCACATTCAGAGGCAGGCTGAGGCAGGTTGCGGACAACGTGAATCGGAGTGACTTGCCAGGAAAAGTACCACGCATAAACGAATGCATGTCGTCCAGGTGATGACTGGATCAGCGCCCGCCTCAGAAAAGAAGAAGGTGGCTGATTTTCCCCACCACACCAACATGAAGACAGTTTACTGAGAAAAGCCTCATGTTGGTAGCGAGTGTTCACCGAAACGGTGCCCAAGAAATATCGCATACTTCATGTGTTCGAACATGATTGGTACCGTATAATAGCATCACAGCCTGAAGCCAAGAATCACTACAGATTCGAGTATGACAAGGAAAGAAAATGCTGCCCTTTGGGGGTTGGGAACAGGGCGACCATGCATTCCTCCAGGGCGTTCAAAAATGAGGCTGCTTTGGACGATCAAAATCCAGCTTCCTTGACGCCCAACTGACTTAACATGCACCATTAATTGTTTGGACCTACTGATATAGATTCTCCTGATTGGCTTGCGGTGTGAAGACCTTTGGGTCAAGGATACAGGGTTGGGACAGTGAAATTCCTTTATGATACGATACGCTACAGGGACGATACATGATGTCTCAAATTGTGCTGTTGATCCGATTCGAAGCTGGTCATTTTGTTCGAATTTCCAGTGTTTGTGATGTCAGATTGGCTTAAGGCCCTCCTGGAGCAATCAAAAGTGTATTTGACGTCCGCCTCTATCCGTATGCTGTGCCAAGTTCAGAACTTGCGTGAATACTCAAGTAGGACAGCCAAACACGAAAATGCTTGAATTCGGTCAGAGGAATGGTGTGCTTGCCAACGGTTGTCAATTAGCCGCCCAATGTTTTGCTGAAATCTTTGTCTACACTGTGGGTCCGAAGCTAGCTCGCTTTTAACAATGATGGCAAATCTTAGCATTAGCTCAATAAGCCAGTAAGAATACGTCAAGTGACTGGGAGCTGACAACCAAATGCGAAATCAAGGCAAGCCAAACTGTGTTAACAAAGCTTGAGGAGGCCATTTTTCCTTCGCCCGTTCATCAAGACCACCCTCAAACGTGTAAGTGCCCGACCCAACCGTCTTCTCTACACTTCCATCCGGAAGTGATACTACAGCCGTAGCATTCGGCGGAACCGTCAACTCCAACACCAACTTATCGCCAGCCTTAATCTCCCATCTAGCCCGAACCTGCCCAGTAGGGCTCATGTACTCGACCTCCGCATGTTTCAAACCCCCTCCCGGTCTCGGCCTCACTAGAAACTTTGTCCAACCAGGCTCCAGCGGTGACAACCCCCCAATGCTAGCATGCATCCAGTTCGCCACGCTGCCAAGAGCATAGTGATTGAAACTAGTCATCTCGCCGGGGTTAATCGTGCCGTCCTCCAGCATGCTATCCCACCTCTCCCACACCGTCGTCGCGCCCTTGGTGACCGGGTACATCCACGACGGACACCCCTTCTCGAGCAACATGCGGTACGCGTGCTGCGTGTACCCCGTCTCAGACAGCGCGTGCAGGATGACCGGCGTGCCCGCGAAGCCCGTTGACACCCTGAACTTGGAGTACTGCACCAGCCGCGCCAGTCTCGCCGCGGCGGCCTTACGCTGGGCGGGGGTCTCGTGCAGGTCGAAGAGCAGGGCGAGGGCCAGGGCCGTCTGGGAGTCGGCGACGACGAAGCCTGCCTTGGTGATGTACTTGTCCTGGAAGAGCTGCTTGAGGCGCTTGTGCTCCGCCGCGAATTTGTCTGCGTCTTCGTTGAGATTGAGAATGCGGGCGATTTGGGAAACCACGCCGGTGACGTGGACGAGGTAGGCGTCCGCGACGAGGGTGCCGTCGGTTCTAGCGAGACCGGGTTCGGCCGGGGGTGCGTTCGGGTCAAGCCAGTCGCCAAGCTGCCACAGGTCGGTGTCCCAGAGGCCGTCTTCGCCTCGCTTGATGGAGTTGAGGTAGTCCTTCATGCCGGGATACGTTTCTTGAAGAACTCCGGTGTCGCCAAACCACTTGTATAGAGTCCACGGCACCAATACGACGACGTCGTCCCAGACAGCCTGCGGAAGCGCGGGAAACGGGCCGTCCTTCATGACATTCGGCACAACGAGTGGCACCACTCCGCCAGCATCCTTCTGATCAAAGATCACATCCCTCATCCAGTTGCTCAGCATTCCACCGCAATCATACAAGAACGACGCCGTGGGGCTGAAGATCTGGATATCACCCGTCCACCCCAAACGCTCATCACGCTGGGGACAGTCCGTAGGGATCGAGACGAAGTTACCGCGCATACTCCACACGACGTTGCGGTGCAGCGCGTTGATATCCTCATCAGAGCACGAGAAGAAGCCCGTTCGCCGCATGTCAGTGTGCATCACCACCGCAGAGATAGACTCAAGAGTGATCTCATCGGCAGCCCAGCCGTCCAATTCGACGTATCGGAAGCCGTGATACGTAAAGTGCGGCGACCAGTCCTGCAACCCGCGCCCACCGCCGAAGATGATTGTGTCGGTCTGCTTTGCCCTGCGAAGGGGGCGGATGCCGAGGTAACCGTTCTCGAGGACCTCTGCGTGGCGGATGGTGAGGCGGTGGCCGTCTGGCTTTTTGAGGGAGTGAAGGACGAGTTTGCCGACGAGGTTCTGGCCAAAGTCGATGAGGGCCTTGCCGGAGGGGTCTGTGAAGACTTTGGTGGGTTTAATCGTCTCGGTGATGCGAACCGGCGGGAAGGATGATGGCACTAGGGACGGTTTGGGGAAGGGAAGGGTCTCGACTGGGGACCATTTTGATGTGTCGTGGTGCCAGTCGTCGACTTCGAGGCCGAGGTCATAGGTCTCGCCGTCGTAGATGTCGCTGCCCACGATGGGCGATAGATGGCATTCCCAGGATTCATCTGTGGTGAGGCGGAACTCGGATCCGCTGTCGAGGAGGTCGAGTTGAGCGAGGACGCCGATGCGGTCGCCGTAGAAACACGTCAGACCGTCTCCCCAGAGGACGCGGCCGGCGTACCATCCCTCGCTGACTTCCACGGACAGGACGTTGGGTTGGCCGGGCATCAAAAGAGGCCCTACGTCAAAGACTTGGTATTGAATGCGGTGTTGGTAGGCCGTCCATCCGGGGGCCAGCCACTCATCTCCGATTCTCTTGCCGTTGAGATAGGCTTCGTATATTCCTAGAGCAGTGATGTAAAGTCTTGCACGGCCGCCGTTGAGCTCGGGGGCGGTGAAAGTCTTGCGGAACCGGACGGGCCGGATGCCCCGCTCATCCGGGTGCGTTTCCGACCGCGGCGGTGCGGCGATGGGCTTCGCGGACCAGTCGTCCCGAGACAGTAGGGCAGCTTCGACGATCAAGGGTTCGGACCATTGCGTGTTCAGCTGTCCGTCTTCGGACGTGCCGGAGGACTTCACGCGGATGGTCGCAGTTCCTGCTGAAGCTAGGGGACTATCGGGCCATGGCGCCAGGACTGATGAGCTGCTCTCGACGTGAAACGATTGGGGTTGCTTCCCGCTCCGGGTGATTTCGACGTCGTAGGATGTCTGCTTCCAATTCTTTGGAAGAGAGTCGGATGTCACTCTCCAGGAGATTCGAGGGGTTGGGGATGGGACACCAATGCCGCCCGCAGCATGTTCAAACCGTAAGTCTGTGATGGTGATAGGAGCCATGGTTTAGGGAAGCCCGAGAACGTGTATATGAACCGAGAGAGACAAGAGCCATTGACGGGAGTCAAGGAGCTATCAAATAGTCCTTCAAGAGCTTCTCAGGGTCCAGATAAAGTCAGATCGTAACGCATCTGATCCACTGCTCTTCATCGGCAAGTGGTTTCGGTTTTCTCATTGGAATCAAAGTTGGTTGAGCCCCGCGGCCGGTGACATCAGCACCGAAACGCCGAGTGGGCGGCTCCGCTGAGCCGGAGGAGTTTAGGCCGAGATAACAGTAATACGAACTGTGTGGTGCTGTACTCTAAAAGACGTTGTTCTCTAATTCTTAGTTTCTTCCATCGAACATGGTTTTGCCAAGGTTGTTGTTGAACTCTGTATACTCACACATTTCTTGGCTGTTCTGCCATCAATGAGAGCGCTGACCAACATTGCCTCATTGCCTCGCCCTTGGTGCAATACTCTGAGTGAACACTTCTCATTCGCTGAAGCAACTTATTTCCAAACAAGAAGACGAAGCCGACACAACATGCGGCGAAGGATCTTCACGATGAGGGACAGCCCGGATGGCTCACCGAGACTCACCTACACCACACCTCAACAGACCTCGGTAGCCGCGTTCCGACTGACACCGGGTAAGGGACCAGCAGCATCGGGCTAGGTCCGTTGGTTTCTTTCCCCTTTACCCCTGCCCCCTGTCCATTTACTCCGCAGCACATCCCCCCAAGTGGAGAAACAGTGGACAATGGACTCATTTGGCCGGCGGAACGCGGTGAAGACAGCTCACGAGACACCAATGACCGGCGCCCAGCTCCCCCGCAGTTTCCGCTAACTTGGGTTCCCCGCAGCAGTTCAATGCGCCCTGCCTCCCTGTCTTGGTGCATTGCCCGTTCGGAGAGAGACGCTGGAGCTGAGATCCATTGTTTTTCCTCCTCCCGCATGACCTTCCGAAACCTTCATCGTGAATGGAGCCAAGGGGTCTGTCTGGTCTCTGAACGACAACAACGCTGAAGGCTTGGCTGTGTTCACTGTTGCATGTCTCGCGGCCCAGCTTCAGACTCAACATAGAGAGTCTGTATCTCTCTGAAGAACAGGATGCTCTCGCCAGCGACGATAAACGACTCCGACTCCACCGCAGCGCTGCCCCTCGACCGCGTCGAAAGCACCGGCTCTCACTCTCACTCTCAGTCGCGGTCTCACGCCCACTCTCACTCACTCTCTCACTCCCAGGGCCCCTCTCACTATGGCGCCGCTGCAGTGACTCCCGCTGCGTCGACGTGGGGCCTCGGCGACCCAGCACCCTCGCAGCACCTCTCGTCCGAGGCGTCGACGTCGCCGGCAGAGTCATGGCGTCTGGATGAGTTTGTGACGGACCCCGGGTACCTTGCCTACCAGGAGGAACTGCGATGCCTCATCTTCAACACAGCCCAAACCGCCGCGCCCACGAGGGAGGGCACGCCGGAAGCCGCAGATGGCGGGTTCGCGGCTGGAGGCTTCGCTGCGCCGGGGACTATGCTGGGCGATGACTCGGCGGCGCGGAGACATGCTGGGCAGATCTTAGGGACAGGAAGGAGGTTGGAGTATTTGAAGAACTACGTCGGTGAAGTCGCGCCATGGGTGAGTTCACGAGACACTGTTTAATTTGCAACTTCGGTGTACTGACTCTACTAGCTCGACATGTTCGACAGCGACCGCGCCTTTGGAATTCAAGTCCCGGTGTTGGCACGCAGCTCTCCCGCCCTGCTGTATGCCGTTTTGGCCCTGTCGGCACGACAAATGGAGCGCAAAGAGGGCAAGCAGACATCCTTCGACAGCCTGGAGCTCTACCAGGAGGCCATCCGGCTCTTGACACCCCTGCTCCAGTCCCGAGACCAAAAGATCATCCCAATCTGTACCATTCTCTGCTGCTTGGAGATGATGTCCGCGAGTGCGCAGGACTGGCGCAAACATCTCGAAGGCTGCGCGGCGCTCTTTGACTCTTTCTACGTCCACGGGTTCAGCGGAGGCCTCTTACAAGCCGTGTTCTGGTGCTACGCTAGGATGGGTATGTCCCAATATCTCAGTTCACATTCCTCTTCAAATCTACTCACTGACTGCCCAGATCTCTGTGGCGCCCTCATATCCGACGGCACCGAAAGCACCCTCCTCACACCCTCCAAATGGCTCCCCAGCGGCGCCTCCCACAACGAAGCGCGCGAGCTCTTCCACCAGTCTGGCGGCACCCCCGACATGCACGCCAACTACGCCGTCTACCTCTGCGCCAAGGTCTGCGAGCTCGTCGCCGACAGGACGCGCTACTTCGAGCTCGGCGACGCCGGCACCTGCAGCAGCCCCGACGAGCTGACCGACCGCTGGGTCCGCCTCTGGGAGGACCTCCAGGCCTGGACGCGCGACCGCCCGCCCGAGCTGCTGCCGGTGCAGAGCATCCAGAGCAGCCCGTTCCCGCAGATCCTGTTCCTCCACTGGGCGGCGATATCGTCCAACCAGCTGTACCACACGGCATGTACCCTGCTGCTCGGGTCGATGCCGCGGCCGCTGAGTATCAAGCTCGGCGGCGTCACGGGGTCTGCGATATGGCACGCCAAGTGTATTTGTGGCATCTCCCTGGCGAATCCGCACCAGGGCTGTCTGAATAATGCGATTCAGCCGCTGTGGGTGGCCGGCAGGCTGCTCAGTCACAAGTCGGAGCACGCGCTGCTGGTGAGGCTCATCCGTAGCATCGAGGCCGTCACCGGATGGGGAACGTGCTGGAGGATCGACGACCTCGAGACTGCGTGGGGATACAAGGTTCGCAAAGAGCTCAGGGTCGCTGACATGGCAAGATGATTCTGCTTCAAGGTATCTCTGACAAGGGATTTTACGCCTCGCGAAACTACGGTAACCGTTGGACTGGTATCGTTTACACCAACCCCCAATCTTCCCTCACCCTGGCCGCGAACCCGTCAACATTCCACCCAGCCAGCGCCTTCACGCGCTCAAAACACTCCAGAATCGCCCGCTGCTGCGGCTCGTACGTCATCCGCTGCGCCGCGAGGTACAGCGACGCCACGAGACACAGGTCCCAGCTGTCGCGGCGGTCGTTGTTCAGCGCGATGCCGCACACCCTCTGCGCGTGCCACAGCGGCGACGTCGCCGACGAGGAGCTGCCGCTCGACTTCTTCGTCCCCGCCGCGGCCTGTAGCGTGCGCGGCTTGTTCTGCAGGAGCAGCAGCATCGCGGTGTGGTAGAGCTGGTTCGCGAAGACGGCGGCGCCGTTGGTGAAGAGGATGATGGGGAAGAGGGTCTCGTCGCCGCCGTCGATCTCGACCATCGGCCGGAACTCCTGCGCGCGGTTGGTGTACCACAGGCCCAGCGCGTCGCTGAGCATCGTCCAGCGGTGGACGGGCGTGAGAGGGGTAGCGCCGTTGGCATTGGGAGTGGTGGTCTGCGGCGGGAAGCTGCCGCTGCAGAAGTTGACGACCTTGGCACAGAGGAGGAGAGGCTCGATGGTGTACTGAAAGATGGTCTCTGCGACGGTGGAGGAGGTGTTCCACTGCTGCGACATGGGGTTGTAGTTTAGCTGCTCGGGGACGGAGATGGGGGAGCCTGTTACGAGGGCGGCTGCGAGCTCTGACGGGGGAGGTTAGCATGATGGATCATAAGATATGTTGGACACGAGCTGTACCTAGTCTGATCAAGACAGAGAGAATAACGATTGTCTTCTGGCTTGCTTCCGCCAAGGCCACGGCCCAGAAGTTGTCGTTGATGACGATGGGTAACTCGTGCCACCCGTTGGGGATATCAGTGATGAACCGGCAGGCTGTCGACAACGTCAAATGTGCCAGGTCGCCGTCATTAATATTATTCGAACTGTTTTGGTTCCAAGGTGCTGCCTCGGCAAGGGTCTTGAGATACTCGGCGTCGTTCGTCATCGCGCGCGGGTCTGTCGTTGCTGCGACGGCGAGGAGGGCGTGGAGAACACCCTCGCTCTCGATGGCGAGGCGGGGCACGTAGAGGCCAAAGGTTTGGCTCATGTCGCAAAGATCGAGCTAGGAGGTCGTCTAAGTAAATCCATAGATATGTTGGTTCGCATCTCAGTCTTAACTTACCCAAGGCGCGACCTGGTACCTGAAGTGGCGCAACAACTGAAGCAGTCGATCCTGCGAGATGCTCTTCGCAGCGGAGGCCACCACACTCGAACCCCTCCGTTCCCGGACCGAGCCCGGCGAGACGGACATCAAATCTTTCGGACTCACGCCGATGCCGTCTGCGCCGATCCCAAAGGACCCGGAGCCCTGGTCAGGAGACTGCACCAGGCCTGTCGTCGTCGTGCCCTCGCTGCCAAGAGATAGCAGCACGTTGAGAGCGGTTTCGTAGGCGGCATCGTTGTTGGACGAGGTCCCGTTCAGTTTGCCCGTGATGTCTAGATTCCGCACGGGCGAGGATAAGCTCTCGTGGCCTACGCTCTGCGCGCGCCATTGTGTTGTTGGCGGGGGCGGCGGCGGGTGGTGATTCTGCGAGATGCCAGGCTCGATGGGATGCGGCTTCGGAGTCGGGGGCTCTAGGGGTTGGGGATTTGCTTGGAATGTCACGATAGTTGGTGTCTGCGCTGGGGGAGGATGTGGCGGCGGCGGCGCATTATTCGTCGTGGGTGCATTTTGAGGTTTCTGAGGTGGAGGAGAGGCAGAGCCGTCTTTTGCGCCCTGTTTCGCGGTCCCGGGACTCACGAACTATGTTGTTTGTGGTCAGCTATGATGAAGCAAGGCATCAGCTGATTTTCATCATCGTACACGTACTTGGAGCCTCGAGTACTTTGGCGTCGTCGCCTCAGTCGCCGCCCTTGGCGACGGTGAGACTGTCAATGCATTCTTGTTCAAGAACGTCAGTCGAGGGCCGTACTGGCACTCAAAGTTGCCGTCGATGCAGCGCTGGCAGCGTGGTTTGCCTTCGTCGCCTGTATGGGAAGAGATTAGTTATCGGTCAGGACGATAACATGATTTCACCGAGTGTAACCGAGGCCAGCAAAGAAACACCATGAGTTGTGGGGATGATGACCATGACTCCAGCAACAGCACAGTGGAACTCAAACGCAGTTTCTGAGATGCGAAATACAGATAAGAAAGATAGACTCACATTTGCGCCGTCGGATCCGACACTTTAGACACCCGGTCCTCGTTCTCTTGTGTCTGGTTTTGGACGGGTTCGTCTGTTGACTGCCGCCAACTCCCCCAGCTGCGGCGGCTGCGGTTGCTGATGCTGATTCCGTGTCGTCCGCCATTATTCTCGGTATCCCTCTCGGTCTCTCACTATCTCTCACTCAGCCTGCGACGACCATGCTGTGCGCTGGGTGTGTGCGTGTGTGTGTGTGCCATTGCGGGAAGGGATAATTTTGTCGGATTGGGAAGGCAGACGACGTCCCCAACAAATAGTGGAGGAACGCGGAGAGACGCGGATGGAGGAAGCGGATGTGTGTACGGGGTATTGAGAGGCGACGGGTGCAGGGAAGATGGCTCGACGAGGCGTTGATGGTGGTGTGTGGTGTGGTGGGGATTGGAACTCGGAAACTTGGGGTTGGGAGTCCCGCGCGATCACGGTTCCAGACAAGCGTTGACAGGGAGTTGGCGAGGAGTCGTTTGGTGGAGCTGTTGAATAGCTGCTCTTTTCTTGTCTCTTTGGTAACGAGCCGGCTCTCATTCAGTTGAGGTAAAGATCATTACAACAGTTGCAGCATCTTTCCAGCCGGTCATCATCCGAAGCTACATGGCAAGCCACGTCTTTTCCAAAGCACATATGCAGCATTTCGCCGTGGATAATTGACCCCATTTCCCCATCTCATGTGAGCGGTCTGGTCTTCTCAATTCCCCTCGTGGAACCCGGTCGAACACGAGTCAAACAGGGGGGCCGCTAAGCGCGGGGATGCTTGCCCGTTTTTGCTAAGGAACGGTTAGCATTACCGCAAAGGGAAATCCTAAGCACCGCCAGAGATGCCCCTCCATGACGATGCAAGTGAAATGAGCTTCGGGCTGCGACGCGACGGGTGGTGCCCTGAGGCGGGGTCATTTGAAAAGATGCTGAAATATTTACAATTGGGGTCAGGCCGAAAATATTGTTGACCACGAATTGCTTTTACACTTCTCTTGCTTCACATCTCTCGCTTTCCTCACAGCTGTCTCCTTCAACATCAATACCCCAATTCATACACAAATTCCAGTCACTATGGGCAAGGACACTATCACCCTCGCTTCCGGCCGCGAGATGCCTCTCGTCGGTTTCGGCCTGTGGAAGGTTCCCCGCGAGACCTGCGCCGACACTGTCTACAACGTGAGTTGACATTTTGTCTTGCGTGAACTCCTGTTGAAGCCGACTCTCTGACTTTGACGACATACAGGCCATCAAGACCGGCTACCGCCTCTTTGACGGCGCCTACGACTATCAGAATGAGAAGGAGACTGGCGAGGGTGTCCGCCGCGCCATCGCCGACGGCCTCGTCAAGCGTGAGGACATCTTCATTACCACCAAGCTGTGGAACAACTACCACCGCAAGGAGCACGCCCTCGAGATGGCCAAGAAGCAGAACGAGACCCTCGGCCTGGGCTACATCGACCTCTACCTCATTCACTTCCCCGTCGCTCTGAAGTACATTGAGCCCTCCAAGATCCCCTACCCCGTAAGTCTCTCATTATCCTCAAACAATGCAAGTGAAGCGACAGAAGTCTAACAACGCAACCCAGGCCTGGTGGCAAGACGAGGCCCAGACTATCGTCGAGACCGACAACGTGCCTATCCGCGAGACCTGGGAGGTCCTCGAGTCCCTCGTCGACCAGGGCATCGCCAAGTCCATCGGCGTCTCCAACTTCCAGGCCCAGTCCCTCTACGACGTCCAGTCCTACGCCCGCCACCCCATCTCCGCCCTCCAGATCGAGCACCACCCCTACCTCGTCCAGCCCGACCTCATCTCCATGGCCCAGGAGAACAACATCGCCGTCACCGCCTACTCCTCCTTCGGCCCCCAGTCCTTCCTCGAGATCTCCAACAAGCGCGCCATCGGCGCAAAGGGCCTCTTCGAGGTCGACGCCGTCACCAAGGCTGCCGCCGCGCACAACGCCACCCCCGCGCAGGTTCTCCTGAGATGGGCCACCCAGCGCGGCATCGCCGTCATCCCCAAGAGCAACAGCCAGAACCGCCTGCAGCAGAACCTCGAGGTCAACGGCTTCGATCTGACCCCCGCGGAGATTGAGGCCATCTCTGACCTTGACCTCGGCCTGCGCTTCAACGACCCTGGTTTCTACCTGCCCCAGAAGCCTCTGCGCATCTTTGCTTAAGGTGGTGTTTCTTAATGATGTGAATGACTGGAAAATGGGTGGGAGGATGCGTCTTGGATAATGATCTTCGGGATCAATAGTTACCATAGAAACGGCCAACAAAGGCCTTGATGAATGAATCAAAAGTTATCCGCGTACAAAAATCATCTTTCTCAATTGAAATTCTTCCCGTTGATTGACTTGAAGCCAAGCGACAGGTACAAAAGGTGTAGGGCATGCTTCCCCAGCATCATCATAGCTTCACACGAGCTCAAGCTAGAGCTATCATAGACTCTGCAATGCATGAAGATAATGCGCCCACACAAGCTATCTGTCCTCTCATGTCTCTCGGAACTCGGCCGATGGAGGGGGCGGGGCATCGGTCGCCGGGGGACGGAACCCGGTGCCCTCAACACGAACCTAGTAACCAGCTTTAAACAGCCGGCATTTTCCCGGAGTCTAAACGAATCCAGAACTGCCGGTGAGGTGCTTACGATTTCCGCATCGGGAAGTCTCAAGCATCACCAGCAGACGAAGAGGAAGTGTTAGTCGCCCCGCGTCGGTCAGTTCCCCGCTCTTCCTTCTGGCAAACCCCAATTGGAACCGTCCCGTCCGATTGTCGACAACATTACCGACCGGAACATAGATCACACGACGAGAAATAATTTTGTTTGGTGTGAAGCGGGACGGGACGCGAGCTAGAAGGCCTGTTGAGCTTTCTTCTCCTTTTTCCATTAGACCCTCGGCGAATAGAAACGAAGGAGATTATCCGGTTGAGAGACAGCTCTTCTTTAACAGCTTGTGTTTTTCCGTTTCAAAGTCTACCGCCTTCTTCTCTTCCCTCTGCCGCGCCACGGAACGCAGTTTTTGACGAAAGGATCACCGTTTGTGTTTGCTCAAACTTGCGACTCGTCGTCTCTCGTTCGCTCGATCTTCCTGCCACACACCACACGCCCGAAGATGTGCACAACGATATCCGAGGCGCCCGTCAACGGCGTCGCGCCCACCAAGAACGGCATCGTCGTCGTCACGGAGATGGAGAAGAACGCCGCCCCCGTCGAGACCCTGAAGGCGCCGCTGCCGAACCCCTCACTGGTGGTCACGGCCGACCACCGCCTCAAGGCAGAGGAAGCCCCCGTCCTGGCGCCCAAGAAGGGCGAGGTCTTGGTCCACGTCAAGGCGACTGGTGTCTGCGGGTGAGTTTGTCCACAAGAAGCACCACAATTTCAGTCATGACGGACAATGCGCTGACAACCTCTCGTCCTCCAGATCCGACATCCACTTCTGGAAGACGGGCAAGATCGGCACTCTCGTCTTCGAAGGCGACTGCATCATCGGCCACGAGGCCGCCGGCGTGGTTATCCGCTGCGGCGAGGGCGTCAAGAACCTCAAGCCCGGTGACCGCGTCGCCATCGAGCCTGGCGTGCCCTGCGGCGAGTGCTTCCTCTGCACAGAGGGCCGCTACAACCTCTGCGAAGACGTCCAGTTCGCCGGCGTGTACCCTTACCACGGCACCATCCAGCGCTACAAGTGCCATCCCGCCAAGTGGCTTCACAAGTAAGTGTCCATGTTCCACGAGTTCATGACAGCATCGCGGAGAATATGCGGCGCTAACCCACAAACCCAGGCTCCCCGACAACATCTCCTACGCCGAAGGCGCCCTCCTCGAGCCCCTCAGTGTCGCGATGCACGGCATCCGCACCGCCGGCCTCTCCCTCGGCGTCGGCGCCGTGGTCTGCGGCGCGGGCCCCATCGGCCTCATCACCCTCGCCGCCGCGCGCGCCTCGGGCGCGCACCCGCTCGTCATCACCGACATCGAGCCCTCCCGGCTCGCCTTCGCCAAGACACTCGTGCCCAGCGTCATCACGTACCGCGTCGACCCGGCGCTCGGCAACGAGGGCAACGGCAAGGCGATCCGCGCGCTGTTCGGCGACGACGAGTACAGCGCCCCGCGAACGGTGCTTGAGTGCACCGGCGTCGAGAGCAGCATCTGCACGGCGGCGTTCACGGCGCGCCGCGGCGGTATGGTCATGGTTATTGGAGTGGGGAGGGAGATTATGAACAACTTGCCGTTTATGCACCTTTCTCTGGCTGAGGTGAGTTCTGCCTATCCCGGGTTCTGGGTCAATGGTGCGATATACTGACGATGTTTGCCTTGCAGATCAAGCTCGAGTTCATCAACCGCTACCGCGACACGTGGCCCGCCGGCATCGCGTGCCTGAGCAGCGGCATTCTCGACCTCAAGAGCCTCATCTCGCACACGTTCCCTCTCGAGAAGGCCGTTGAAGCCCTCACACTCGCGTCCGACTACAGAAACGGCAGCATCAAGGTTCAGATCGTGGACGAGGTTGACTCCGAGGCCTTTTAGATGGGGACAACGGGGATGGTTGATGGAGCATTGGTATAAAGGTGATGAATGAGGCACGGTGTTGATTGGGGCTTTGTGTGATAAACTTTGGATGGGTAATGCGGTCGAGCATAGCATACTTAGCGACTTTGGCGTTGCGGTTAATGAATTTAATTCATATGAACTGAGTTTCAAGCCTGATTGTGCTGGCGGGCGGATGATGTGTTCCAATTGGAGACTCCCATCACGTCAACTTACATCTTTGGCCACCACAAGCAGAACAGCTCTCTTGGCTCTTAATCGGGGCCAGTCAGGCATTGCTTGATATCACAGACTCTAGTATGTCACTCAATCTTATCGATTCTGCCAGCGTCCTTTCTGCCGAAAGTTGTACATCAAAATTAAAAATAGCCGTGGCCATTGAAATCATACAATGGTCGACCAGGCCCGTATCCAGACCAATGCTCGCCTTGATCTCTTCTCTGGTCATGGTGTCTGTTCCCCAGGTTTTCCCGGCCTTGACCTCTCCTTTGATTCTCATCTCTGTGGCCCATGTCTTCTCGACCTCGATCTCTCCTTTGGCCACCCTCTCCGCCTCTCATATCATCTTGTCCTTGATGTCTCAAATATCTGACATTCATACCATCATCGGTGAACCTCAACTCCACGTGCGGCTCAAATCGCCGCTGATCAACCCAAAAACCCACCCCCTGAGCATCCGACTCGCTGACGAAGAACTCCCCAAATACATCGACAAGCTGCATCTGCCCGGTCTGTCTCGGTAACATAGCAACCCCAGGGCTGAGGAAGCGCCGACAGAAAGCCAACACCCTCTCTCTCAAATCATCCATTCGTTGCCGGAATTCATCATTCTCCACGACGGCATCGTTGTGCTCAACGAAGAGCTCTTGTAAAGGGTAGAGAATGCTCTGCGTCCTGCCACATTCCCGTCCTTCCCATGTCCAGCAGGACACGAAGAGCTCGAAAGTGCAATTTCCGTACCTGACGTTGAATACGATGTGCGGCGTCCGTTTGAAATAGTTGTAAGGGATGTTCTCATACCCTTCGTCCAGCAATTCCGCAACATCATCGTCAGAAGGAGGTACCGACATGCCGAACATGACATGCGTGATAGCTGCTGGGGCGATTTGTCTGGACCAATGGTTTTCAGGCAGTTCCTCATCGGCTGCCCCGTCGTTGTCATTTACCGGTGCTGGTGGGAGCTCTTCTATGTCACGGTTGTCATACTCAGGGATGGGCTCAGGCCATGGCTCTGGGTCTGGATCTGGGTCTGCGAATTCCGGACCATAGTCAGGAATACGACCTGCGCCTACAGGCGGCTGTGGTCGTTGCGGGTCTTGTGGAATGTCTTGGGGTGGTTCTTGGTTAACAGGTTGCTGTGGTCTTGCTGGTTCGGGAGCTCGAGGAATGGGCCCGTAGTTTGGTAGCCATCTTTCCATGATGACGTTTTTAGTTGTGTTGAATGATATTCCTCGCGTCTTCGGGTTGATGGAATTAAAGCTCTCGGAGATGCCCATTTATATCGGGTAATGCGTGTTGTCATTCGTGGTGGTGAATCAGACACGAACACATTCACCTCTCTTTGACTCAACAGTAGTGATTCGGTCATAACAGATCAAACCGGGCGAGGGCCTTGGGCCCAATTCAATGAATAAAAAATCAAGGCTCGTCTGTCTATCATTCGAGGAATAAGCCAAGCTTCATCCCTGAGTCTAACGCGGTCCGCCTGATGTTGACCATGTTAGGTAACTACAAATAATCGCGGGCCTACACTTATGGTTTCAAAACTGCCGTCGTCTTTAGAAGCCTAGACCGGATATATGGAGATGAAGAAAAACAACTTTGCGGTGGTGATGAGAAAACTGACGTTGATCTCCTGAACTGCGCAATAGTCATTGAATTCCTTCGTGCAACGTCATGTAGTACACAAGAAAAGGTATCTCTTTTCCTATGATCGAGATTTTAAACTCGGAAATACGAAAACCTCCTATGGTAGCCACAGTTAGGAAGTGTATCCCCTCGTGGGAAGTAATATTATCTGGTATCCGGAAAGGCTTGTGAGCTTAATGGCAGATCGAGTGGTCAACTGTTTTGCGAGATCAGTTCCTTGCTCATTTGTCCCCTACTCATGGATCAAAGGCCATATGGCTTGTTCATCGAGCCAAGAATCCAGCTGAGCAGAAAATCTGAACCAATTTAATACTTACGATTCTACATATGTGCTTGCGATTTCATCCTTGCAGCAATTGGCGAGTGCTCAAGACAGCCTGTGGTCTAGGCAATGTCCCACAGAGCACGGGTGCGAGATCGGCGAACTCGCTACCGAGCCAACAACATTGGGAAACTTCTATTTTGCCATGCACATTTCATTCTCGGCGTTCAGGATAACGCGCAAGTCGCGTACGGAGTATGCACATGGGACCTCAGAGATGCCCATTCTGACCTACCCTTGCTCTGGATGATCATGCCGCTGAGCTACTACCTCCGACAAGCAACAAACTCAGTCTCCCTTCACGACCTGTTGCTCCGGCCGCCGAACTCTTCTCCGGATAGTTCGTCTGAACAAGGTTAAGATTAACCACAATCCTGACCCCCCAATCGCACCGAGCTTCTGCCCACATCCCACCTTACCGTGCCCGCAAACCCCCAACAACTGCGCGGACAGACCACTGAAGAAGCCCTGTCAAACCGCCCCAGGATCCAGGATCCAGGATCTCGTCGCGCTAGAGTGTATCAGAAGCTCCATCGTCCCCCAGCGGGGCCGCGTGCTTTTTCGCTTCAACTTAGCGTCGGGGTCCATTGGCTGCGGTGAGCGCTGTCATTGCCTGTCAAAATTGGCTAATTCCTTCGCTTCGGGGCCTGCTCCCTGCTAGAATGTCAATCACTTCCTGAAGGAGGCGTCCACTTTGCGGCATCTCCATCGACTTCACTGTTCCTTGCGTCGTCGTCGGCGGACCGCCGAAAAGTTAGCTGGGATCGAGAAGAGAAAATCGCGCCACTCTGGGAAGGTGAGGGTTTGTGCTCCCGATAGCCTCGGGTTCCAGATAGAGTCGCGGAAGTGCGTCTGAAGAGAAGTGCCTGCATCGCTATGCTCACTATACTCAAACACAGGCTGTTGTCGTGATCCAGTTGCCATTAAATGGCGCCTTGATTCACTGCCCGGGCATTATATGCATATTTGGACCTTGCCTCCAAACCCACTGCCGACCCCGACGCTAAGGGTTACGTGGACTTGGACGTCGAACTAGCAGATAACGCGAGTGAATCCAGGGGCTGCGCATACCGGGGTTAAAGTCGGATTCGGGACGGAATGGACTGCGGTCTGTGGCCCAGCCTTCACTGTGAGAAACTTGGCGTCGGCATCGAGCCAGGCTATTGGGAGCAAGGTGACCTTCTGAATGGGCAGTGGCATCGTGCGCTGAGAGATCGAGGTCCACTGATAGGCACCGTCACGAGATTGCCGGATGCGACCAACACTGGTTCTCAAGCTGAGGTGATGATGCTCTCTTGGAGGAATCAAAGGCTTTCCAGTATCGTTCATCAGTTCCAAACAATTATGCATGCTCTTGGAGGCAAGATGTTTGGCATTGGATGCAGCTGTGACCGGCTGATGTCAAGGCCCACAACGATCAGGATTCAGGAAAGCAAAGAGCCCACGAAGAACATTTCGAAATGAAACTCGATGGGCTCCAAACACGGCACAGGCTAATGCGTTGGTTGCAAATCCTTTTCTCCACTGTATAGCTAGCTACTGCGGACCTCTGAAGGTCTACATCACGTTGCAGTAACAACCATCCGCGGGCCTAGCATCTGTGTTAGTTCAAGTATTTCATGAGAACTGTTCTTGTTAGAAGCTCACCAAACACCACAGCAGAATCCTTGCTTGTCAATGCAACCGCCGCGTATTTGTATCTGCTCTTGAAGATGAGCTTGGTCCGAGCCTTGTGTTTCCGTTATAGGTTGGGTGGGAGCAGGAGGTGGCGACTGCTGCCCCTGAGCAGGTTGCTTGTTTTCACCGGCCATCGTGGGTGTATTTCATTACCATGTGGAGTTGTTTTAGGACCTATTATTCAGAGAATTGAAAGACGATTGAGTACCAAATCACTAGCATCATTTATAGGCTCATGGAGTGTTAATGGTGGGACTGTGAATGGCTGCCAGTTATCGCGGTGAATGGAATCTACCCCTGTCGATGTTGTCTACCACTGAAGTGAATCAGTGGGCTGGAAGAAGCCAAAGTCTACCGGCTACAATTGTAAGCTCCATCGAACGTAGTCATCCATACAATGTGACACCATGGAGTTCAGTATGAAGTTGCAACGAGAAAGGCCGCATGTCTGATCCTCTTGCAAAACTCTGTTTTCCGACCATAGACGCTGCTACAAACAACAGCTTTCGAGGCCATCAACTGAGAAATGCTTTCCACAATTTCTTTTTAGCATAGAGCTAATTATAATGATACCTACTTCTTCTACCCTTTGAGCCCAGCCACATCCAATTTGTGGAGGTTTACGCATGATGATACCTACTTCCTGCCTGCACTCGACTGTCAAAGGTTGACAATGAAAGCTGACATGCATGTAAGGTATTGCATGTTAGTATCTAGGTATTGAAGAATTGATTCGCGATATCGCCAGGGCAGAAGAAAGATCATGACTCTGACGACCTCGTTAGACATGATGATCAGCTCAAGGCAATCGAACGGAGTGATCCGGGTCTCCGCTCCGATCCTCCGTCAAAGATCAGCATTCGCGCGCCCGCCGGCACGTCCGCACCCACGAGTCAGTCTCGAGATCTCTCAACTTCATGAAATGCAGGTACTTCCTCACCAATTGACATTCGTCTTTGCGGCCGAATTTCTGATCGGGTCTCATTCCGACTGTTGGTGCCACTGTCCGTGAGTTTTGACTTTGTGTTCGCATTCTAGAACGATAAGCAGTTCCAGAACGACCCTGGACCATCGTCCGTCTTGGCTTTCAAGGTTCACAGAGGTTCCATGCGTTGTCGAGTTGTCTTGAACTTGGGTATCAAAATAAGCGCCTTGGCAAGTGGCAAGGGAATATCTAGCGCCCCTGAGATGATGCAGGACCGGCGGGACATTAGGCCCCGACGGCTCAAAGTCAGCCAATGCTTTCAAGGCAGAGCGGGATGCAATTCCAGGCCTTACTCATGTTGCGGTCAGCAAAGGCCTCCAGTGGGAGGCGGGAAAAGCAGCAATCATCTACAATGTGTCAAAGTTTCAACTGAAGGACAGTACAGCTTAGTGAAAGTTGTCGTTGAAAAAAGGTCGGCTCCCCGTAAAATAAAGCACACACACCTGCGGCACGGTCACGGCTCTTCAGCGAACCACCCGCAGCAAACTGCCGCCAGTACCGTGAATGCCGCTGTTTGTCGACGCAAACGGCGGTTTGCTGGGGGCATTTTGGGGGCTAGAAGGTAATTAATTTCGCCCAAACCCTGTCCTGCCAAGGCTTCGTATAGGAGGGACCCCTGCTAGACTATGGCGAAGCCCCCCATCTGCAGTCGAGAAGCAGAAAAAAACTCTTTCTGGGATGAGCATCCTGTTTCTGCATCTCAGGTGGTGCAGTTTTGACGGCGCTCCTGTGCGATGGAGTCTCATTTTGCATGCGGACATACGCTGCATATTCGGTAGCCAAGTCCATATTCCCTCGTGGCAAGAGCTTGGATCCCGGCTGCTCGGGATGGGCTCATGCGGCTCAGGACCAATAGCTTGTAAATAGCCACGTGTGTGGGGGTGGGAAGTTGAGGAATGGTCCGACGCGGCGGTGATTTTCTGTGTGTATATAGCCGTGGTAGGAGCATGTCGATCATGAATGAATCTCTTTTCCCCTCTTCTCTTCATCCCTCCAGCATCCAAGCTCAGCGGATCTTACATTCCTTTGAAGACAAGTCTTCCTCCATCTTGTCAAGATGCCTTCTTTCGGAAGAGCTCTGCTGCTCGCCGCGGCCATGCCGCTGGCCAGCTTCGTCGGCGCCCAGAACATCGTGGTTGACGGAAAGGCCATTGGTAAGTGGGGCGCATGTCCCATCAGTCCTCTTCATCAGAGTCTCTTCTAACTTGCTCGCAGAGGCCAACGAGGTCACCGTTGCCCCCGCCGCTGAGGAGTTCCCCGAGGCTGAGATCCCGGAGGAGACTGTCCAGTTGACTGACGCCGTGCTGGCCAACCTTACCCAGCTCGAGCTCAGCAACATTTCGCTCTTTACCTTCCCTGACACTGAGGGCGTTGAGAAGCGCGCCCTCACCAACAACAAGTGCAAGACCTTCCCTGGTGACTTGTTCTACCCCACCGAGCTCGTCTGGAAGGTCTTTAACCTTCTGACTGGCGGTGCTCTCATCAAGACCGTCCCTCTTGGTGCTGCCTGCTACCAGGGTGAGCACTACGATGCCGAGAAGTGCCAGTACCTCCTCGACAACTGGTCCAACTCTGATACTCAGTGAGTAGCTCCACGCAACTATCATGCCAATAACCCTGACTAACTCTTTGAAGCGATGAGGACCCTACCTCCGTCATGTCCCCCATCTACCAAGGTGCCACCTGCCAGCCCCAGAACGCCGCCAACAACCAGACTTGCGAGCTGGGCGGCTTCCCTCTCTACTCCGTCAAGGCCACCAACGTTGCCCAGATCCAGCTTGCTATCAACTTTGCTCGCAACCTCAACCTCCGTCTGGTTGTCCGCAACACTGGCCACGACTTCCTTGGCAAGAACACCGGTGCCGGTTCCTTGTCTATCTGGACCCACAACCTGAAGGGTCTCAAGTTCATCAAGAACTACGAGTCTGCTGGAGGCTACAAGGGCCCTGCTTTCAAGCTCGGTGCTGGTATCCAGGTCTCTGAGCTGTACGAGGCTGCCAACAAGGAGGGCTACACCGCTGTTGGTGGCGAGTGCCGCGTAAGTTGTCAACACATCATGCCTTTTTGAAACACTGCTAACCGTGAAACAGTCTGTTGGTGTCACCGGTGGCTATCTCGCTGGTGGTGGTCACTCCCCCATGAGCCCCGTCGCTGGTCTTGGCAGTGACCACATCCTCTCTGTCGACATCGTCACTCCCGATGGCCGCCACGTCACCGCCGACGACAAGAACAACAGCGACCTCTTCTGGGCTGTCCGCGGTGGCGGTGGCTCTACCTGGGGTGTCGTCACCTCCATGACCGTTCGCGTTTACCCTAAGAAGCAGTTCTCTGGACTCACCTGGAGCCTCAACACCGCCGAGAAGAACATCTCCAGCACCGTCTTCTGGTCCGCCATGGAGGCCTACTGGCGCCGTTTCCCCGACTTCTCCGCTAGCCACAGCTACGGCTACTCCACCCTGTTCCCCGCCGGCAACGGTGCCTTCCTCTGGAGCATGCGCCCCTGGCTCGTCCCCGGCATGGCTCTCGACGACTTCAAGGCCATGGTCGCTCCCCTCTTCGAGGAGTGGGCTACCCTCGGCTTCAAGGTCGAGCCCGAGTACTTTGAGCACGACAACTTCTACGACACCTGGAAGAACCACTTCCCCATGGAGAGCGTCGGCAGCGCCACCATCCGCACTGCCTCTCGTCTCATCCCTAAGGCTAACTGGGAGGATGCCGCTCTCCTGAACGAGACCATCTCCACCCTGAGAGGTATCATCGAGGAAGGCTCCGCGCTGATTCAGTACAACATGAACGCCGCCGCCCCCGCCGAGACCACCGAGAGCGCTGCCAACCCCGCCTGGCGTGAGAACCTCATGTTCGCCATCATTGGAGGCGGATGGGCCGACACCGCCACCACCGAGGAGGTCAAGACTGCCAACGTCCGCATCACCCAGGACTGGATGGGCAGACTCCGCAAGATCACCCCCGGCAGCGGTGGTTACGGCAACGAGGGAGACGTCATGGAGCCCGACTTTGGCCAGGCCTTCTTCGGATCCAACTACGCTCGTCTTGTCGAGCTCAAGAAGAAGATTGACCCTTGGGGAGTGTTCTACGCCCCCACTGCTGTCGGCAGTGAGGACTGGTACATTGCCCGCCAGAACGACTGGCTCACGCTCCAGACTGACCGTCTCTGCCGCAAGTAAACTTAATGTAATTATCAGTTGATAAATGGTGACCAAACATGGAGTTGGGTAGCGGATTCAATTGAAATAAACTTGTTATCACGTCCATCTGCAAGAGACCTTCCCCGCGTACAACGCAATGGTGATGCTTTGTGATCATTCGCCACAGCTGTTTAGAATTCTACGTAGTATTTGCGCCGATGATGTCGGTAAATCCATCCAAGGTACCAACGTCAGATCATTCGTGGCGGCAAAGCTCCAGACGACACGACCCCGAAACACCCTCCATGGCGACAAGAAGCAACGTCGTTTCTCCCTTTGAGTCCAACGTTACCGAATGCCAGAGTTGGGAACCGGTAAAGGCATATTAGTTTCGGACCATCATTTTTCCCTGTCTTCTCAGTGTAGTACTTCATATTGCTGAGCTTGACGAAACACTTGCCTTTTATGGCCACCGCCATGTACGTTGGTGTTGGTAACATGCGAGGAAGGATATTTGGCCGCTCTAATTCGCCTAAATCAATGGATCTTTTGCCTTTTTCAGGAGCCGTGTCCGAACAGAAGCATGATAAGATCCGAGCGAACCGTTACCTAGTCACACAGAGGGGTAAGTAGCCTGCATTTTGCTCCTCCCATCTACACCATTTTGTTAGGGTCGAGTCTATCGCTGCCTCGCTGCCGTCGCATCGAAATCTGGCAATCTCCGCACAACAGAACTCAGCAAGTTTTAGCTAAATAATCGCTCGGTTCAGCTACCAGAAGTGATATAACCCAGAATGTCGGATTCGAATGTCGCAGAGGCTGCGCAACCCGCTGCGCCGACTGCCACCGCCAACAATGTCCCTGACCATGAGTTGGTTCTCGAACCTGACGAGCAGGTGAATATCCGTCGTCTTGCCGTAACGAACGATGTACTCAGATGCTAATAATAGTTTACAGGATGAGAACTCAGAAGTAGACGTTGTCAGTCTGATGGGGCGTCGTGGTGTGCACTGTGTCGCGAAGCTGACTTGACTACAATACCCAGCCTAGCATTGCCTCATCAACCGCGAGTGTTTCAAGCTCCATATTGGATTACCGTCGCGAAAATGGTAGAACGTATCACAGATACAAAGACGGTAGTAAGTCAGCACTGCGAAATCTAGACGACGTTCACTTAGTATCAATGTACAGAATACAACTTGCCCAACGATGAGAGAGAGATGGACAGACTCGGTATGTATCTTCCCTGGTTAACGGGTAGATTTCAATGTTGACGTGTTTACTAGATTTACAGCATCACATGTTCCTTCTCTCTTTCCACGACAAGCTTGGAACTGCTCCACCAAACGAGGCAGGAGCCAAGGTCGGGCGTGTTCTTGATGTTGGCACTGGCACTGGGATATGGGCGATGGACTTCGGCGACGCGCATCCCGAGGCAGATGTCTGTGATTGGCGACGACATGCTTAAAAATGATTTCTAACTGTTCACAGGTGCTTGGCATTGATCTTTCAGCCATACAACCGGAATAGTAAGATCCCTGCTGTTAGATTAATATCCTCATCAGAACCCTCGCGAACTAACTCTCAAAGTACCCCTCCTAATGTCAAGTTCGAGATTGACGATCTCGAGGAGCCTTGGACCTTCTCCCAGCCTTTCGATTACATTCATAGCCGTCTGATGAACTCGGCTGTAAGCGACTGGAAGGGTTACATACAAAAGTGCTTCGAGTAAGTGAAGGTCTCGCCTCAAACTTTGTTCATGTTGCCTTGGTCACTATTCGAAAACCACCTCCACAACCCTACTCATAGCTCACACTGGTGATTTTCTTCATTTACTTCGTGGCGGAGCTGATCCGTCTTCCGCAATTTAGGAATTTGAAGCCTGGTGGATACTTGGAACTGATCGAGGTCGATCCATTTCTCAACTGCGACGACGGTACCCTGAAGCCTGACCACTCCGTCATGAAAACTCTCATGCTTCTCATGGAGGCCGCACAGAAGCTTGGCGCCGCTTACCAGGACCCAAAAGAGCTGAAGTCTATGATGATTGAGGCTGGCTTTACCGATGTAATCATGCAGCAGCTGAAGTGGCCTACCAACCCTTGGCCGAAGGAAAAGCGGTACAAGGAACTCGGCATGTGGGGGGCAGAAAACATGGACGAGGGGTGGGAAGCAATCTGCATGGCACCCCTTACTCGAGCTTTCGGGTGGACTCGCGAGGAGGTTCTGCTCATGATGGTGCAAAACCGCAAGGACTTCCATGACAAAAACATTCATGCCTACATTTCGATGTGAGTTTTCCGGAAGAACATCCCCTCCGCGGATCCGGAACTGTACCTTGCTTACGATGCATCTTCTAGCTGGGCCATCCACGGAAAGAAGCCCGAGAAAGAAGCGGCTTGATTTAGAGACACTTGCCTTCAAACCTGTCATCCTTCTCCCCGGAGAAGACTGATCGGGCAGCTGGGCATTTCCTGTCCACCTAAACTGTATATAGTCGGCTTTTTGATCTTTTTGTCCATCGATTTTGGTTTTTTCTCGTGCGTAGCCAATGGTCTTGGTAATCACAGCGCCGACGTGATGTTCCTAGTGGGAGAGAATAGCCTCAACTGCTTTACAGAACCATGGATTGTGCATCGTACGATGGAAAGATCAAACAGTCGGCGAAATGACGAAAATGGAACATTAAGCGAAATGCGACATGTCGTTGAGCAGAAAAAATCTCAGAAGCGCCCGATGTCACCTGGACATCTGAAAGCGGCTATCGACAACCACGTGCCGCGTCGCGCTAAAGGTGGCAGCTGAGACCTCAACCCCCATCATTCTTCGTTAGCCTCCATCTTCATGGTTCTTCACCGACATCATCCTGCGGAAATCTCACGCATACCGTGGCCTGCAAGAACCCAAGAAGCATTCGAACATGGGTTTCGTGATTCTCTTCGCCGTCCTGGCGGTCGGCGGCCTCCTCGCGAGGGAGTTCTGGCTTTGGTACCGTTTATCACATGTCCCAGGTCCGTTCTGGCACGCCATCACCGGCTTTTCGATGGCGCGCGCGGCGCTCAACGGATCAGTTCACGAGTACTACATGGAACTTCACGAGAAATACGGTGAGGGCTGGGTTCTAACGCCCGCCTGGTATGCGCGCTGAGATTCCACAGGCCCGCTTGTCCGAATCGGACCAAACACAGTCATGTTCAGCGATCCCGATACCTTGAAAAGAATCGCGGCTGCGCGGAGCAAATACACGAAAGGCGAGTGGTACGCAGTTGGAAGAACGACGCCGGGCGAGGATCACCTTTTTTCGATGCGCGATGAGGAGAAGCGGAAGCATTTGAAGAGCAAAATGGGCCCGGGTGTAAGTACAGCTCGCGCAGCGAAACCCTGTCTTTGATCTGCAGCTCCCACTGACATTTTCAGTATTCCGGCCTTGAAAATGGTGGTTTCGAAGCTGGTATTGACAAACAAATTGCCGCATTTATTGACCTCATCGACACTAAGTACATTTCCACACCAAACGTGTTCAGACCCATGGACATGGCCAGCAAGTCGACGTACTTTGCCCTGGATGTGATCAGTGAGCTTGGTTTCGGCCACGCATACGGCTTCTTGAAGGAAGATCGTGACCTGTATCAATATGTTGCTACAAAGGACGCCTTTTTCCCAGTGATGATCACAATGGGAAACGTACCCTGGCTGGCCAAGCTCATGCACAGTTGGCCTCTTAACCTGGGGCTGCCGAAGTCAGCAGATTCGGCCGGCTTCGGGGCACTTATGGGGTAAGATCTAAGCAAAGTAAAATTGAAGAATGAACATTGGCATTAACCGGTGGCGTCAGGTTTGCGAAGACATTTGTCGACGGCAGATTGGCCCCCGATACGAAACCAGGGAAAGACATGATACAGTCTTTCATCAATGCCGGTCTCACTCGAGAAGAGTTGACACAGGAGGTCTATGTGGAAACGTACGTCTTTTAGCAACCTGCGTCTATTTATCATTAAAGCTTAGGCTAACAACGCTCAGAATCGCTGGATCAGATACGACAGCCACTGCCATCCGCATGATACTGCTGTCACTTTTATCGAACCCTTCCGCGTTCGCAGCGCTTCGTGCAGAGATAGATGCTGGCATCGCTGCCGGTATGCTGAGCTTTCCGGTCAAAGACTCAGAGGCCAAAGCCATGCCATGTCTTCAGGCAGTCATCCGAGAAGGACTTCGTCTCTATCCACCCTCAACCGGCGTTGTGAGCAAGGAGGTGCCCCAAGGGGGCGACACCATTCACGGCTACAAATTGCCGGCAGGAACGCAGCTAGGAGAGAACGTCTGCAGCATTGGGAGAACAAGAGAGGTCTTTGGTCCTGATGCTCATCTTTTCAGGCCAGAAAGGTGGATTGAGGCTACAAATTACAACGAGAAGTTCAGGATGATGGTTGCAACTACAGATCTTGTCTTTGGATTTGGCAAGTTTTACTGCATGGGTAGAAATATCGCGCTCATGGAGTTGAACAAGATTTTCGTCGAGGTAAGCTGTCTCATGACGCCGTTCTGATGACTTTTCTGCTACTGACAGGCTAACCGTCGTAGCTCCTTCGGAGATACGACTTTGCCATTGCTAAACCTGAGAAGCCGTTGAAGCTTTGGAGTGCTGGATTTTGGATCACGCACGACTTTTGGCTGAGAATCTCAAGGCGGAATGGCCGGGGCAGGTAGAAATTACATGTCTCAGGGATTAATGCTTGAAGGATTTCAAATTATCTTCATTGGTTTTGTCTTGAGAAGATTCCACACGTTGTATTGAATGGCCTACTTATTGTTTACACCGCAGCCATTTTCTTACTATTCACATTGTAGCTGTCGATATCTTCTGCGCACTTGCCAGTGCCAGTGTGGAAGCTCCTACCCTGAAGTTCAAGAGCTCTGAATGCTAGTTATGTTCAAAGGCAAGAGAACATGGCTGTCAAATTTACCACCAAAGTGGAGGACATGAGACCCCTTGTTGCGAGTTGTGGAGGTCTTGGTTCTCTGCGCTCCCACGAAGAGAGGGTTGGTATAGTTCCCACCCAGCTGCTGCATAGTAGGGCTTGTACCTGGGACATAGGTTCCATTTTCCTCCGGAATTTCAATGCCTGCAACTCCAAATCCCATGTCCAAAGTTGACGGTGTCAGCACCGTTGGAGAAACTGTGAGAACTATTCTCTCGCCCGGATGGAATCGTAGAGCTGTTGGCCATAGGCCGATGTCCACAGGAACGATTTCGCCTGAACTGAGCAAGTCCTCTCGTTCATGCAACAGGTAAGGCTCAGATGGAGTCGAACGAGTCTCGTCGAGTGCTCTGCGGGAAACGCGAATGTTTCCACGTGCCGCAGGATCGGTACTCTCTGCACTACCAACACGTGGAAACGGGTTGCCTTGGGCATCTCTCTTCTCGACCGTGATAGCGAGTTCCAGATCATCTGAGCCTTTCGCCTCCACCCAAAGACGGACTTTGACGTACCCGATGATCTCAACAAGGTCTGGGACTGTGTAAGAGAACAGCACGCCAGTGGTATTCGCGTTGATTTCGTAGGACACGGAGGTGGATGAGGGATTGAGATGGTGACTGAGGGTCCGGTTGGAGCCGAGGAAGAGGGTGGCAGACTGCAGATCCGGCACAGGCCAGTCCTCGACAACACGACCGACAGTATCATTGGAGCCGGGGTCAAGAACAGAAATCCGTACTCGGGGTGTCTGCTCCCAGTCGTTCGGGCTATCTTTAAGAAAACGATCGAAAAAGACACGCAGCTCTTCAGTGTGTTCCTCGACGTAAAAGTCCTGCCACTCATGAGTGTTGTGCACGCGAAGCCACTTCTTATCGGAGCTGATGTGTCGAAACCCGTCAAAAGTGCCGTGAGTGTGCGCGAGGTTAGTGTAGCTTGCCACGACATAAGCTGGAACTGTGATGTTGCTTAAGTGGGGGCTCCGATTCCGCCAGTAAATATTGTCCAAACTGTTGTTCAGCATCATCCTGGGGGTGTCTTCAACATAGTTATTTCCTGAGAAAGTGGTCATGACGGCCTCTTCGAAGCCCAAGTTCCCAAGTCCAAGCGATGTGGCTGCTGCTCGCAAGATATCCGTAGCGCCCTCCCAGGGGGCAATGGCTGCCAGGTGTGGGGGTTGCGACGCCGCAATGTGCCACTGTGAGATTGCGAGAAAAGAGTTGCCGGCCATGCCTATTTTGCCATTGCTCCATGGTTGGTCTGCGGCCCATTCGATAAAGTCGTATCCATCTTCGGCGAGTTGGCGGCCCCAGTAGGTGATGTTACCCTCCGAGGCATAGGCTCCGCGGGCGTCGGGGTTCAATATGGCGTACCCCTTTGATACCCAGTAGGCCGGGTCAGGGGCCTCAAACTTTTGCAGCTCGGACACAAGGGAAAGGGGAACATTCGACCGGTTCGCAAGGTCATCGAGCCACTGGCCTCCGATTTGTTTTCCGTAAGGACTCCAAGCCACAATTGCTGGGACAGGTTGATCTCCGACCGGACGGAAGACGTCTGTGTAGATGGTAATGCCGTCGCGAAGGGTGACCGGGACATCCCTTTCAAACACGATGTCACAGCTCAGAGGCATTGCCCCCTCCCTTCGAATGGTCCCGTTCTTGAGGAGCAAGGTTTCCTGCTTGAACCCAGGGTAACGTGCTCTTGGTGCGTCGGTTGGCAGTAGTCGGCGCATGAAGACTGGATAGGCATCGTCGCCATGAATGCGTATGGTGCCTTGGACTACATCTGGCTCAGAAGCCTGAAGGAGCGGGTTGGCGGCAGCTTGGCCAGCACCAAGAATGACGGAGAAACAGGCTGTGAATGAGAAAAGAGTGAGAGATTTCATGATTGCAGTTGCTAGATATCGGATTGAGTGTGTTATAAGACGGATAGTACGTGATTTTCTGGAAGAGGACTGTGACTTTTATAGCTCGAAGCAGCCATCCTGAACTTGATCAATCCATCAGCCATCTTCGTTCAGTGTATGGCCCGGGAAACGGCTTCCCCGAAGTTGTCCGAATCACCTCCGCTGCCACAAGTAACCACTTTTGGTTTACACAGTCGTATGCCCGAACTACCGAAGCAATCTTATCCAGCCCGGTCTCTGTGTGTCCATGTTAGTTTGAACTTTCAGAGGCTCAGTCGGCCTTCGGAAAGCGGAGACTCTCAAGAAAACACAGGCAACGTAGTCTCGGCAGTGCAGTGCTTGCTGGCTTCGAGGACATAGCCTAGGAGCTCATGATGCCGCTTAGTCACGTAGCGGGAATTATAGAATCAAATAACATCATTCTTCTGAACTGCTTGCAGAGACGCCTCCCTTTGCCAAAATATTTACTAGAAGCTCACCCCCCTGCTCAGAAGTGGATGCTTGGATAGACCGAGCCTCGATAGTACTAGTCTGAAGAAGGTCGTGATGCCGCTTAGTCACATCATCCATCGCAGAATGCAGAAGATCGCAACTTCTCTTAGACTCGCGGGCCAGAACTGTCTCGCACAGTTACCGATCTATACTTGCGGATATTTACTTTACTTCCCTGCGCTGGGCCACTTCGTCGAAAACGCCCCATGCGACCTATGCATTGCATGGGGTCGTATTACATTGAACACGTTAAACTATCCTTTGAAGGCTCGGATCATCTTCAGAGCATTACAATTACTCCAGTGGCCATCTCACGGGCATTCTGTCTTATCTTTGAGGCAACCCCCTTAAGGTGGAGAACATTATTGTCCATCATCTATGTATTGATTGATGCAACCTCAGCTCACAAAGCCCACCCCAGTCATCGCCTTTCGTCGCATTAACGACGAGTGTCTATCACTGACGGTAGTCTACTCTTGACCGAAGAGCGCATGGAGAAGATCATTCTGTTCGGGGGTTGAATCGGCATGGGGCTGTGTCATTTCGTTCCTCCTTGGCACGATCTGTGCGCTGCTGGTTGACGGATTCCTGATTTCCTGTTATTCTTCCGCTGAGTGGAGGATTAGCATGATCTGTGGTTCCAAAAGCTCAGAATTCATCTTGAATAGTTTCTCAACCCCCTTTGACCTGGCTGGAGGTTCAATTATCATCCGAAAACCCTGCGCTCATTGGCTGTTTGACCTGTGGCTTAGCCTCGTCAGTACCCTGCATGGATGATGTGGATATCTGAGCCGATCCCGAGTTGAGCATTTCCCGAGGTTGAAATGCACCGAGGCCCGCTCTAGCACGCCAAATCGAATGAAAATAAAATACCTAGAGTGAACGACATAGACATTGTAGTTCCTGTTCATTTTGTCAGACTGCGGATTCAAATCACAAAAGAACCCGCTGCGTTCACAGCTTCCCGGAATAGTTTTCGCAGACATTGAGTAAGATGGTCTGCAAACATCTACGTGAAACTGGAAATCTGCGTTCACATTCAGTTATAAAGTCCACAGCAAGGCTCCTGTCGGAAAATAGCAAGTTCTGTCACTTCTCAGTTGCCGAATGATACCTCCAAACTTTCCGCGAACGAACCAGGTGAGATTATCAAAACCGAGTAAATTCGATGCTAATAGTTGGCTAACTCGAATGTATGAAAAAAAGTCAGACTTGAGATCTTCCGTTGATTCTACCTAGCTTAGGCAGAAAGCAAGTACCTGAACTAACTTGATATACGAAAATTACCTGCTCCCGAATGAGAAACACAATGAGATGCGGCTACTGACCATTCCGTGATGAGGCTGTCAATGTCTAATGTTTCCAAATACACATACTTTTCCCGGTTCAGAGATGTCTCGTCTGTTGTTAGTCCAGTTCTACTACGGATACGGAGCAAAGATATTTACATGGTTTCGCTGCACAAAAGTTTCAGCACATCGCCGAACACGAATGCCGCTGAAGGCCTCCTGCTAGAAGTAGCACTGACTGATCAGCGCGCGCTCTTCAGCGACCCGTTGATTTGTTGAGACCAGTTGAAGCAGGTAAGTGAGACAACCTCTAATATACAATCAACCTACAGGCATTGCGGACCGTTCTCTACATGACCTTAGACGCCTTATTCGTATTCCCACCGTCAGATTGTGGCAGTGCTCGAGGAAACATGAAAATGAACACGTTTCCCTGTTAGCAGAACAACAGCAACACAGCCACCCTCCTCTCTGCAAAGGACCAGACAACGCGTGCCTTGTTGCTCCAGTGCCAACTTGGGCCTTTTTTGCCCAGAAGTTCCCTCATCATCTCTAATGGATTTGATGCCTCTTTCACCGCCTGTTGATGACAACGTGACGAGTCCACCAGGCGACCTCTACTCGTCAATACCGCTCCCGCATGGATCGCGCTCAATTCGAGTGCTCGAGATCGACAATTCTTAGACCTGTGACCCCCAGAGTCTCATTCGTGGCAACTTACGAAATTTTAAGCTGAGCGACAAGCCCGATATCAATACACTCTCTTACGTTTGGGCCACCTTCGACTGTCCATCGCAAACGATCACAATCGGGCTTAATCGCATCGACTGGTGTGGAGGCCCGTTTGAGCACACCGACACCCCAATGGACTATTCCGGGATGTTTTGGAGTCCATGCTAGTAAATTTGGGCTATGGTGTGATGGGGGCCCGCTTCTGCTTGGCAAGGCGGCTTAACACACCTGAGCTGATGGAATTTCACGCGAGCATATGCAACGAGATGGCCAAGAAGGGTAAGTCCATCTTTGTTACGGCTCCGCACCTATTAGCGACTGGGAGCTGCCCCGCCAACATAAAAGTTGGGGACGTGATCTTCCTCGTTGCGGGTGTTCCGATGCCCCTTCTCTTGCGCGAGGGTTCTGGAAGCGATAACTACCAGCTTATCGGATTCGCTCTCGTTGATGCCCTGATGTGGGGGCAAGGATGGGGAGACGTCGTTGAAGACGACCTACAGGAAATTGCTTTGCGTTGAACTGCGAGGCACTATTGACCCTAGTATTCATCCTTCCCACGCAGATCTCTTCAGTGGCTATTCTACCTCTCTACGCTTATTTGTCAAGCGCGTGTAAATCCAAATATTAGGTAATGGCATTTCGGTAAATTCAAATCTTGGAGGACGTGCCTTCGTCTTGTTTCTCATCGACCCCGCCGGAATAGGAAAGGCTGGCGACTATGATTATCGGGCTGGTTTCCGGCTACGCGACAAGTCATCATCGACGGCACAATCGCTAGCTAACCTAGTAACTAAGACACCCGGGTTCTCATGGCAAGAATTTAACGACGTCATCCCATGTGCCATAGTCACATATGTCATAATGCAAGCATTCTCTATTATACAAGGTTGGATTCTTCAATATACGTGCTAGAGATCCTCCATCAACTTGGCCATCATCATACCAAAATCCTCAAAATGGGCGCAACCAGTCATTTCGTCGTCCAGAAACAGGACCATCCAGGCTCCTCTTACCAAGAGATCGATGATGAGCCAAACTGGGGCTCAGGCCACAACCATCGTGTCGGCTTCAAGAACAAAGACAATCGCGTGCCCGGCTACGTGGAAGAATCGAAGGGAAAGCTGGGTGCATATCACACGCGCGTTAACAATGGAGAGCTCGTCAATTTCGAAGATATCATCAGGGCCCAAGAGAATTTGAGCCTCCGCCATCCGGAGAACCGGTCAGTAGGATGGCGGTATGTGCTGAACGTTACTGAGGAATGGGTCAAGTACGGGCAAAAGTGGCCTGCGAATCTGGAAGCGGAGAAGAAAGCGAAGGAGAAGGGAGCCAAGGAGGGAAATGGAGAAGCCACAAATGGCAGCAGCCAGCTCCAGAATGGCCATGATGAGCAGAACGAACATCAAGATGAGGAAGGCCAAAAAAAGCCAGAAAACAAGTACTCCCATCACGAGCTTGCGCTTCTTCGGGGACTGGAACACGAGAGCGACTACATCAAGAAGCTTGAAACCAACGACGGAAAACGGGAGTCTCCCCAGAAAAGCCACCGAGAGCACATTCCCATAGACGAAGCCGACCAATTCACCCCTGACAACTGGCTCCCGCGCAGTCCTGAGCTTATCCGCCTCACCGGGAAGCATCCCCTCAACGCCGAGCCCCAGCTTACGAAGCTCTTCGACGCGGGGCTGATAACGCCGAATGAGCTTCACTACGTCAGGAACCATGGCCCCGTCCCTCGCCTTCTATGGGAATTCCACACGCTCGACGTGGAGAACGGACGACTCGTCCTTACCATGGACCAACTGAAGAACAACTTCGACACAGTCAACATCCCAGTCTATCTTGCCTGCGACGGCAATCGCCGGAAGGAACTCAACCTCATCCGCAAGTCCAAGGGCTTCAACTGGGGCGCCGGCGGAGGTAGCTGCGCCTACTGGAAAGGTCCCCTCCTAAGAGACATCCTCCTCGCAGCCGGAACCCTCGACGAACTCAGCGAAACCAAGCGGTACTGGGTCAACTTCGAAGGCGCAGACGAGCTAAGCGAAGGGAAGTACGCCACCAGCATCCCCTTCGACTACGCCATGGACCCGATGAACGACGTCCTCCTCGCCTACGAGATGAACGACGTCCCCCTCCCGCCCGACCACGGCTACCCCGTCCGGCTCATCGTCCCGGGCTACGTCGGCGGGCGCAACGTCAAGTGGCTCAAGCGCATCTGGATCAGCGAGACGGAGAACTCCTCGCACTACCACGTCTGGGACAACCGCGTGCTGCCGTCCTTCATCACCGACATGGAGAGCGCCCTCGCGGAGACCATGTTCCGGCACCCGAGCACCGCGTGCAACGAACAGAACCTGAACTCGGTCATCGTGCGCCCCGAGCAGGGCGAGAGGATCAGCCTCGCGGACGCGCAGGGTGGTAAGGCGTACCGCGTCCAGGGGTTTGCGTACGACGGCGGCGGGCATGAGGTGCAGAAGGTGGAGGTGTCGCTGGATGGCGGGGAGACGTGGCTGTACTGCATCCGCGAGTTTCCCGAGGCGCCGATACGACATGGCAAGAAGTTCTGGACGTGGCTGCACTGGCATGTGGATGTGCCGCTGGCGCATCTGATCCAGGCGAGGGAGATCAAGTGCCGCTGCTTCAATGTGTTTAAGAACACCCAGCCCGAGAAGCCAGCGTGGAATCTGATGGGGATGATGAATAATTGTTGGTACACGGTCAAGTCGGAGATTGTGGAGGCGGAGGCGGAAGGGGATGCTGCTTGTGTGTTGTTCCGGCATCCTGTTGAGCCTGGGACTGGGGAGGGCGGGTGGATGAAGCCGAGTGTGGTGAACCAGGTGGAAGCGGCTAAGCGGGATGCCGGAACGCCACAGAAGCAGTTCACGAGAGAGGAGATTGAGAAGCATGACAAGGAGGATGACTGCTGGATTGTGGTGGATGGGAAGGTGTATGATGCGACGTCGGTTATGGCGTGGCATCCTGGAGGTAAGGCGCCGATCATGGCGCATGCTGGAAGGGTGCACCAGGAGGCGACGGAGGAGTTTGAGAGTATTCATGATGGGTTCGCCTACGAGAAGTTGAGCGGTAAGATGAGCTTTGCACCGGGGTTTTTGGAGATACTAACGGTGTTGCAGAATGTTTGCTCGGTGTTGTCACCGATAAGGCCAAGAACTTCATCAAGAAGAACGCCGAAAAGGCAGCGGCCGAGAAAGCCAAGGACAACAGCAACGAGAAGCGGGCGTTGCAGAAGCACAAATGGATTCCTACCAAGCTTATCAACCGCAAAGCGCTTTCGGAGGACACATTCTCCTACACCTTTCAACTACCAGACCACCAAGCAGTCCTCGGATTGGGAACATGCCAGCATGTCTTGATCGGATTCCATCTGAAGGACAAGATGCTCGTGCGGTCTTACACGCCGACGCGTCCCATCCTACCAGCTGCGGATAACGCACCCAGCAAGGTATCTGAGAAGAACGGAAATGGAGTCAAGAAACACGGCCCTGCAGACGGCGACGGCACCTTTGAGATGGTAGTCAAGACGTACTTTCCGACAGAAAAGCAGCCCGGCGGAGCCATGTCCAACATCCTACATTGCATGCCCATCGGAGGCGAGGTGGAGATCCGCGGGCCGACAGGGGAAATCACGTATGAGGGTAACGGTAGGTTCATCATTGACGGCGAGGAGCGCGTGTACCGGCAGGTCTCTCTGGTGCTTGGTGGATCAGGGGTCACGCCTGGGTACTCCCTCGTTGCGAGAATCGTGGAGTCGAGTGATGATCAAACGGAAGTGCGAATTGTGGATGCGAACAAGTCGGAGGACGATATACTTCTTCGAAAGGAGTTTGATGGCTTCGTGAAGCGGAGCGATGGGAGACTGAATGTCACGCATGTCTTGAGTCACCCGAGTAGTGACTGGGATGGCTTGAGTGGCCATGTTGACGGAAAAGTTCTTAGGAAGAACCTGTTCCCTCCGTCGGATGATAGTGCCGTTTTCCTTTGCGGACCACCGGCGATGATCCAAAAGGCTGCGTTGCCGGCATTGAAAGGTACGAAGCAGCGTCTCAAAGTGTCAAGATATGCATACTAACTGGTCTTAGAATGGGGCTACGAGGAGGACAAGAATGTCTTTGGTTTCTAGTCTTTATATTCTTAGAACGTAGAATGCATACTGCCATCGTTGATCTAACCCTGCCACCTGCGGTAAACATCGAACTGCTGGTGCATCCTCTCCTCCTGTCCCGGAGTGAACTCCGTCGTGCTATATCTCCAGTCAGCCAATCTCCCTCTCAACCGCCATCGTCAGAACTTACCAAGTATCATCAGAATAATCCATAAAGTTATGGATCGGATCCAACCCAGGCGCATCAGGGCACGAGTCCCTGCCCACAGGACACCCTGAGCTCGCGCCCGCCTGCGCCGGCGTGTCCGCCACCTGGTCATTGATCCCGTCGCAAAGCCTTCCATGGAACGTGTGAAACAGCCCAAACCAATGGCCCACCTCGTGAATCGCAATGTGCCCCTTGTTCGGGACTACCGTCTCGTTCCCGGCGCTGCTGCGAGGGACCATGCCCGGCATGCTGTCGCCGTTGACCCAGCACCCGTCTAGGTAGAACTGCTGGCTGCCGTCCTGCACGACGCCCGCGAGGTTGCAGTACCCGCCGATGCCCTCGTTGAGGTCGCTGAAGAAGTAGACGTTGAGCGCGTCGTAGGCGCCGCGGCGCGTGGCGGTGCGCCAGGCGACGTAGGCGTCGTAGTCGGGGATGCCGATGCCCTCGTCGTCGTAGAAGCCCTTGCCGGCGACGTCGTCGACAACGCGCGAGACGTTGACGAGGTTGAGGGAGAAGCCGTGGCGGAGGTAGGTTGAGTGCAGGACTTCGAACTGGGCTGTGTGTTAGTGATAAGTGTCTTCGGGAAGAGGGAAGGATGGGTTACTTGGGCATCGACGGTGGCGTCGCTGATTCTGTCCTTGTTGGCCTCGGTGCTGGCAACGTGGAAGTAGACGTCAACTTCCTTGGGCGCATCTTGCCGCTTTACGTACGTCGGCAGAGAGATTTGGGGAAGCTCCGCTGCGGCGAGGGTGTCATCGTTGACGCATTGGAGTTTACCTAACGCCAGCGATGCGCCGAGCGAAAGCAGAACAGTGGTGGCGCGGGGGAGCATCATCTTGGCCAAAGGTTGAGCAGATTCTCACCGAAAAGCTGACCAGCAGAACGTCTCGAAGTCATCATGGAGCCGTTTGTCACCGCCTATTTAAACAAGACGTTCCGCCCAGCAATGACGGCACAGAAAGCCAAGATAAACATGTCAACCCATGGGCCCATCGTGAACACGAGGGCTTGGGCTCTTGGCGGACTGCTTAGATCGCGAGAAACTCCACCGCGGGGGTGACGCTGGATGCTCGGGGGAGCAAGGGTGTCGAGCGAACTGCCGGAATGAGAAAGGCTCCCGAGTCGACGCGCCTCGTATCGCGGGAGTGGACGATGATCAGATCAAAAAGCATGCATATGGTGCTGTGTGTTGTTGGAAGGCGCAATTTAGACGGCCTGAAGATGGAAATAACCTTAACCAGCTTCCTGTTGTGGACTTGCTGTCACGGGAATATCCCAGGTGCCAAGAAGTCAACATTTTGGCGGTCGACAGAATACCCTGGCCTTATATCTTTGGATTGATCTATGCAAGCTTCCGGAATGGGTACATCGTGAGCAAAACCTATTAAGACCGACCGGCGAACATTGGGCCCGGCGGAGACCGGCACCGGGCCCGGCGGCGGCCCGGAGCATTGTGGAATCGGCATCGACATGATCTCCATCTTGGGGCCTAAAGCAGGTGGAATTTGGTTCGGAAGAATCAGAGATGAATTAGGCTAATGAATCTAATTGCGAACGGCCTCAAACAACAACAGACTCCCTCAAAGCTTCGACTTCTCCCTCCTCTGCCCATCCGCCTCACCCCCCGGCTCCGTACTACTCGTCTCCGCCTTCAGACTAACCGGATCGCCCAGCTGCGACGGGTTGCCCGCCTCGTTGTTCTCCTCCGCAATCTGCTTCAGCCGCTTCTTCTCCTTGTCCTGCACGGGGCTGCCGTCCGAGTTCTTCGCGCCGAGTACCCCGCCTTTCTTGTCGGATGCTCCTCCCGAGCTCTGCGCGCCCTGCTCGCCCTCCGTAGGCACCAGCTTCGACACCTCGGCCTTGAGCGAGACGGGGTCGCCTAGTTGCGAGGGGTTGCCGGCGGCGACGTGCTTGAGGCGCTCGGGTTGCTTTTGCTGCTGCGGTGCGTGTGAGTGGGAGGAATCGGAGGGGCTGGCGCCGAAGCGGTCGAGGAGGGAGAAGATTGGGCTTACAGGGGCCATTGTGTGTGTGTGTGTAATGCGTCTACGCGGTTTTGCTTTTCAGAATGACAATGTTATCGATGATGGTCATTGGGGTTCGACAGAAAGCCGGACAACACTCGATTTAAAGAGTATTCTCCGCGTCTCCTTAGTCGAAGCGCAGCCGTTGCAGAATCAATGGCGTTCTTGGGGTTCTTTGACGCCTTCATCTCAATGACGTGTATGACTTGGACCATTCGTGACTTACAACCGACGCCGGCCGTGCTGGGGGAACTAATACCGGACGATCCCGTCATCGCCTTTTCCACATTCCAGCAGTCAGAATTCGATTGCAAAGACGCATGTGAAACCCCAGATCGATCTACCCGTTCGTCTCTAGTCTTGGCCCTACATGCAGCCGATCGTCATCACCTGCATGCCCATCGGCTTCTCGATGTCGGTAAAGAATTCTGTTCTAATGTATGTACTCCAGGACTGAGGTATCTACCGCGCGCTCAACGCACGCAATGCTGAAAAATCGATACAAACCAACAACTCCGTCTTTAACCCGTAATGCCACCTGTAATCGTCAACGTGAATTATGCACATGTCTATCCGTGTGCCCATCGTGAATTACGCCCGCACCGCAGCCGCCTGGTGCTGCGCGGCGCTAGCAACAGCCTGCAGCGGCTCCAGCTCCTCCTCCATGTCCCGGTCCGTCTGCTCCACCCCGGCAACCTGCGCATTCACCCCCTCGCCGCCGCCCGGAGCCGCCGCTGTTGACGTCGCGGTCGTGGTCGCAGCGCTCGCGGGCGTCTGCTCCGGCGAGCCCATCCCAATGACGTCGATCCACTTCCAGAACTGCACCTTGCCCTCGCTCCTGTCGAAGATGGCCTTGTCGTCCATCAGCCCGTCGTCCGGGCCGTTGTCGCCGTCCTCGTCGCCCGAGATGCCCATCTTGCCGGACCCCGTGCCGTCGACGAGGTCGCCGATCCACGTCCGCGCGACGGGCACGTTGTTCGCGCGGAGAAGCTGCAGCTGCGCGCGCAGGTTCAGGCGCAGCGCGCGCTCGGGCTCCTCCGAGTTGAAGATCTTCTTGGTCAGCCAGGGGAAGAGGATGCCAAAGTCAGACTGGGAGAGGTGTGCCGAGTTCTCGACGTAGAAGAAGTTGGGCTCGGGGAGGCGCACGCCGCTGCGGCGGAAGGTGGCGGGGGTGAGGACGTTGGAGGACGGCTCCGGGGAGAGGACGCGCGCGGTGACGTGGAGGTGGTCGGTCCACTTGTAGAAGGCGTCGGACTCGACGGCGAGGATGGCGGTGCCGCCGGGCGCGGCGGGTTTGTTGGCGTAGGCGGGCAGGGGCAGGTCGAAGAGGGCGGATGAGCCGGGGGCGAGGAGGGGGAAGCACCACATGTCGAGGAGCATGGTGACGTTCTTCTCGGTGACCTGTCTGCAGAGGGCGGAGTCGCGGCGCGGGGTGAAGAGGGGCTTGGGCACGTGGGCGAGGGCGGAGGACTCTGCGTAGTAGGTGGTCTTGAGAAACTGGACGATGGAGGCGGAGCCGAAGCTGTGGCCGCCGAAGAGGATGCAACCGGGGTCGTGAACGTGGAGCTTGTTCTTGAAGGGGGTAAGGGACGGGGTGGACTTGTTGAGGTTGGACATGGCCATGCCGAGGTCGAGGTTGAGGGCGACGACGTGTATGAGGCCGAGCTCCCACAGGCGGATGCGCAGCTGGTCCTCGCGGGCCTCGTAGATCTCGGGGCGGGCGTCATGGTCATGGCGGACGTACGGGACGACGCGGCGGGTGTTGCGGAGGAAGTACTGGTCCTGCTTGCCGGGGATGCGGACGAAGGAGGCGACGGCGCTGCCGTCGCGGTGCTCGGGGCAGATGACGACGATGCCATGGGAGGCGAGGGAGCCGGCGAGGTGGGAGTATGTGTTGCGGTTGCCGCCGAGGCCGTGGGAGAAGATCATGGTCGGCCAGCGGCGGTTCGGGGTGTCTGGTTCGAGAATCTCGGCGTTCTTATGGACGGGGATCGTGGTGTAGTGGAGGTGTCGCGGGAGGAAGCTGTCGGAGGCGATTGTCAGCACAGATTGTCACTAGGAAGAAAAGGAAGACGTACGAGATCATATCGGCCACCATTGGGCGGATGCCAATGAACTGGGTGTACGCCGAGACATGCTGGCGCTGGGGCGAGGGCAGCCAGTTTATCCTCTTGCCGTTGGATTCTGGCACAGCTGGGTAGAAGACGCGGCACTGGACGGTGTGTATCTCGGTGGCCGTGTAGGGCGTCGGGCTGGGCGACTCGAGCTCGGAGACGGGCACCTCGATATCAACGGTGCCGACCTTGTGCGGGCCGGTGTAGTCGGGGAAGGCCGGCACGGGGCTCAGGCGGGAGAAGAAGGAGGCGACCTTCTCGGCGGCCGTCGGGGGCGCTTGCGCAGCGGGCGACATCTCTGTGTGGTGTTCTGCTCTGCTTCTGCAGTCGTGCTGCTGGCTGTGTGTTTTGACGAGCTCACGGGCAGGATTGGTCGTGGGTTTTCTGGTCTGGTGATGTGATGCTGCGGTGCGCAAAAGGTTGAGAAGACAAAATCGTAGCGCAGGCCCGAGGATGGGAGGAAAAATAAAAAAGAAGGGACCGGATCGGATCGGCTGTGGTCGTCAGGACGTGATCGCGTTATGCCCTTTACAAGCTTTTTGCGGTCGGATATGCGAGTGTCGCGATGGTGTTTTAAACCAATGTTTCTGCCGATCCAAGGTGGTCTGTCGCTCAATGCGGGTTCAATGCGACGGGATGGAAGCAGGGAAAATGTCGCCAACGAGGCAAGATGCGGAATGCAAGCCAGGGAGAGAGACAGTTTCTCTTCGTCAGCGGAGCCACTACCGAAAGACTTCTTGCTGCGGTAGGCCAATCTAATCACTTGGAGCCCAGTCCGGTGCGCTATGGCGTGCCGCCAGCCAGGATGTCGGTAACTCTGCTGTGATGACGGACAGGGGTGTTGAGGCGTTGGTGTTGTGTCGAAGCTACGCAAGCAAGCTGTGGCCGGCGATATCCGACCTTGGGACACTTGTTCGCAGACAATATGCAATTAAGAATGATCCAGACTCAACGACAACGAGGCGACAACGTGGCCGTGTGAGAGACCGCAGAAAGGAAGCAGGGCGAATTAGTCGACAGATTCGCAGTGCTCGGATGGGATTTCGAAACCCGATTGCAATTAGCTCGGCGCGGGATTCCCTGCTGGCAGCCTCAAAAACTCAACGAGCCAAGTCAGCAGTTCCTTGTAAACTGCGTTCGAGGAGCAGAAGCAGAGGCCAGAGTCCAGACTGAGTTCTGGGTGGGATGTCGCGAGACCGCACGAACACCTCCATCTCGCACCCTTTTATCAGTGACGGCCACCAAGATTTTGACCAAAGGCAAAAGGTCAAAGGCAAAAAAAGGGTAGCTTCCTTTTCTTGACAACCAATCAATGTTGCTTATCCAGGCTGTCGTGTGGCCATTTGCCTGAGATGGAAACGTCATCTACGCGTATGAGTCGTGCGAGCTGTTGGCCATTGTGCCCGGCGGCCAAAATCTTTTTTTCTTTCTACCTCGGTCAACGGAAACGGTTTAGAGGCTGAAATTGACACCGACGGTACTAAGGCGAGGCTTGGTCTCAGCTCCGGTCCTGTTGCTGTTGGCTTGTCTGGTATCCGAGCCGCATGTACCTCAGGTCTTTAATCCACCGACGGACAGCCCGAGATGCTGGACAGCGTCAGGAAGAGAAATCCGATTGGAAGTGGGACGCGACGGCGGCTGCTCCGGATTCTGGGCTGCTGTAACACAACGTGACGAGATCAAGACCATTGAAGAGGGCAGGGCGATGCAACTGACAAGCTGTCACGACGAAACCCCCTTTTTCATCATGGCCTCTGCGTTCGCCAATGCATGAACCATTCTCAACGTCTCCAAGCTGTGACGCCAGCCGCATAGACTCGGGACATGCAAGAGAAAACCGCCCTGCTTCGTGGACAGGGCCGATGTCTTATCGTTATCTCGATCCCGATCAGCTCAGGGCGTGCTCCACAGAGCATGTTGCAGAGACAGCTGGGTCTCCCAGGGACGCTCCTTGTCACGATGAAGAACGATTGACGAAATGGAAGCGGCCCAGGCTGCTTCTTCGTTCCCGACGGCCTGTCTGTTTGGTGGAGATGTTCGTTGGCAAAAATAACGAGGTGAGCAGGGAATAACGTCATTGTCGGCCCTGGAGGGCGCCGACGCCGCCCCGCTCGTCCAGGAACCTTACGTCAGACGAAGCGCGGTGATTGGCTGTTAAAGGTCTTCGCTTCGGTCCGGACCCGCTCGCTGCATTTGGATGTGACCCACCTTCATCTACGGTTCCTTATGTAATCAATCAAGCATACGCTAGACTTGTTTGGGGAGGGATCCACTGCCAAGCTCTCATTCGCTCTCGCTTTCCTTCATCAACAGCTTCGAACAGCAGCCAATTTCGCGACTTCAAGCATGGTCACTTTTGTACAACAGACCAAGTGGATTCAGCAATCTCAGTATTTTTACTTTTCCGTTGACTACGGATATCTCCAAGCTCAGGCAGATACTCCCTTGAGAAGGCTCTCCTTGCGCTTCTGCAGGATGTAGTAGTATCGTCCCATGTCGATGGGCTTGTTTGGCTCCTGGTCGCCCTCATACGTGCCCTGTCCGTGTCCATCAAAGTGAACCTTCCAGGCTGTTGGGATACATAGTCAGCATCAACTTCATGGAGGGAATTTGACAAGCAACACTTACTGCTGGCGTCAAAGCCGAGGTACGACCAGCTGTCGTTGAGATATGCCCTCTCCGTGCCGACCTGGATCATCTTGACCGTGCCCATCTCACCCGGCGCAGGCCGCAGCTGTCTGAGGTCCGCCACGAGCTTGACGAGGCCGGTGACAAAGGCCCGCGCGACGTCCTGGCCGACGCACTCGTGCTGGCCGTAGCTGAAGGGCTTGATGTGGTCCGTCGAGCGCTTCGCGTCGAACTTGTCCGCGTTGGGGACCTCCTTGG